CCGTGAAATCCCGTTAAAAAACGCGGCCCGGAATGAGATTCTCGTCGATAATTATTCTACAACATGTAGACAAGTCAGGGATGAATAACATCGATAGCTAATCAAGAAAAGGAAAAGGAAAACTTATTTCAGATCAAAAAAATTCTTTTTCTAAAAAACTACTTGAAATAGTTGTATTTTTTTTAATGTATTTGATTGAGAAAATATTTTTTTCTTTTTTTCGGCATTTCTTTTAATTTAAAAAGTAAAATCTTGTAATGATCATGATATTACAAGAAACATTTCTTTCCTAAAGTTTGCTTCTAAATTACACAGTGAAATTATGTGTGTATTCTGACATATTATTTTAACCATGACCAGAACTTTATTTGTGTATATATGTCTCTGATATAAACAATTCACCAAAGTTTCATGCAAATTAGGTAAAGAGTTTTGAGTTATTGTCCGACATGTTGACGACGGACGGACAACGGTATACCATAATACGTCTCGTAAACGGGTGTATATAAACAAAATAATCCCCAAATTTATCTCAATCCGTCCATGTTTTGTTATTAGGAAACTCAAATTACTGGTATCATTTGGATCAAAAACAGAAAATGTCTGTCTGGCAGGGATCATCTGACCATGACCTCATTTTCATAATTCATTGGTCCATGTTTAGATTCAGTAGTTTGGTCGTTTTCTATTATACAATAAACAAAAGATCAACTATATTTGGTGTTTGGAATGATAGTAAGGTGTAGTCATTTGACCTTGACCTCATTTGCATAGTTTCTTGTACACTATAAGTAATGGATCAACTATATTTGGTGTTTGGCAGGCAGGGTCATCAAACACAATTTTTAAACCAGATACCCCAAATGTTGATTATGGCCATAGCCTAGTCTATTTAGCTCTAAAATCACTCAACCTGCAACTAATTGCAACATAAGGTTTTATTTAGTGCAAATTAGAATATAGACTTGTACTAACAACGTATTAAAAATCTACATTAATATAGTTTGAGGAAAAGGTTATTTTGGGGTGAAATATGTGGTTTTTAGAGAAAAAATACTGAAAACTGGAAAAGAAGAAAAAACTGAAAACTGGAAAAGAAGAAAAATTGTTATTGATGGTTACATTTTTAGCCTTATAGCTTGGTGAAGACAGGACACTTTATCTTATGAGGTATTGTGTAGTCCTCTAGTTATTAATATTATTATTAGGACTGTTTTTTAAATACAGTACATTTTTTGTATGATTCAATTTTATCTACTTTGGCACACAAGGGGAAACAACTCAGATAACCTAACTTTTCTTACCAAAAAGTTTGATTAATTACACTACTTTCCGCAAACTATATTTTTGTAGATTTTTAATATGTTGTTCATAGAAAGTAACAGACTTGTTTTTCAGAGAAAAACTTTGTGTTGCAATAAGTTGCAGGTTTTTCACCAGATTGACTAGACTACCATGTTTGGGTTAATTTGGCCAAGTAGTTTTGCACAAGATTTTTGTAAAAGTTAAGACAATGGGACGACAGACGCCAAGTGTTGGGAAAAGCCAGGTGAGCTAAAAAAGGATAACTGGAATTACATACAATAGACATACAAAAAGGCAACACAATATTCAAGAAAGCCAGACTTGATACACACAAAATGAGGCAGCATGGGATTACTCATTTTGTGTGTGCCTATTTTGACCATGCCTCATTAAATTAATACAATTCTAGGTTCAGAATTGATCCAGGGGTATCTCTTGATGAACAAACATGGCCACTGTTATATAAACAAGTAGAACTGTCAGCTATTGCTCACTTATGATATCCATGCTTTAAGTATTTGTTTAAAGAGTAATTATTCTGAAAAACCCATTACACAGTAAAGCATGTTCAAATGAAGCCTGATAACAAATTTCAGGAAGGTCTTATTTGTAGTTCCCTAGAAAAATGTGGGGGGAAATTTCATTTATGGCCTGCATGTGTTAGTACAAGCATTTGGTAATCAGGAAATTGGTAATCAATGAAACTGAAACCATTTGACATGGTATAGCATGCTGACATGAAGCCATAAAATAAATTTCATGAAACTCTATTTTGTAGTTCACTAGAAAAATGCAACGAAAATTTAATACCTAGCTATTATGTTTAGAATATGCAAGTTTTTGGTAAACAGGAAGTTGATGAGTTATGATTCTGAAAACGTGTCACAAGGTATAGCATGCTGACATGAAGCCATATACATGTCAATTTCCAGGAAGCTCTGATTTGTTGTTTCTGATAAAAAAGTGACAATAATTTCATACATGGCTATTATGTTTAGAATATACAAGTATTGAGTAACTAGGAAGTTGAGGAGCGATGAATCTGAAACCACGTCACACAGTACAGCATGCTGACAGGAAGCTCTGATTTGTAGTCTCTAAAGAAAATGTGACAGATATTTTAGGGGAAGGACAGACAGAGGTAAAACTGTATATACCCCCCTCCCCCCCTTTTAGGCTCTTATTTCTGCATCTGTGACCATGGTCTTGTATGTTTGGCTTCAAAACAGATGATTATTCCTTTCAATAATTTTGACATATATACACTTGGCTACAATAAAAAGTGAGGTTTTTGAGTTAACATGAAACAGCTTTTCTGCATAAAGGAGGTATGAGAGCTAGAATTTTGGCCCCTGAAATTGGAAAAATAGTAAAATTCTTCAATCTTTTCAAAATTTACAGATAAATGAACAAGGTAATATAATTTGGACACTTCAGTTCAGAAGTCAGTTTAGATGTCACTATGATGTCATAAACATGTTAAAACTGACAAATTGGATCTAAAAAGGCCATTTTAAACATAGCTTTGTAACAGCCACTATGTTCCGTCAGTTACTTTGTTCCGGCGGAACTTTTCAACTAGTTATTTCGTTCCGATGGAACTTTCCAACTATTTGTTTTATTCCGAGTGCAGTTGAAAAGTTCCGGAAAAAAGTAGCTAGTTGAAAAGTCCCGGAACAATGTAGCTAGTTGAATAGTTCTGGCGGAACAGAACAACTAGTTACATCGTTCAGAATATACCATATTTCGTCCTTTTTGTAGAAAGAGGGGGAAGAATGAGTAACAGTATATATAAGAGCAAATCATTAATTTACAAGAATACCCAACGCACTGAAAGGGGTTTCTTTGGGGACAAATATGCAAAACTTAAGTTGTATTTCATAGCTCACATAAAACGGAATAAGTTGCATTATCATGTAAATTTAGTATTCATAGTACCCTCAAGAGAGGGAAGAATACCCCCCTCCTCATGTGGTTCTTTGCATCAATTCTCCAAATGGAACTTTGTGACTGGTTGATAAGTTCCGTTGGAACTTTTGGGCTAGTTTGTTAGTTCCGGTTTTGACTAATTTGGCAAAAAGGAACTTTCTAACTAGTTGATATGTTCCGTTGGAACTTTTCAACTAGTCACTTTGTTCCGGTGGAACTTTTAAACCAGAGGAAGAACAAAGTAACTAGTTAATTAGTTCCTCCGGAACTTTTCGGCTAGTTAGTTCTTTCCGCCCGGAACTTTCCAACGTCGGAACAAAAGAGCATTTACAGTTATACACCATGCTATGAAGTAGCAAGGGGGATATGGGTTTCGACTTGTCTGTCAGTCCATCAGTCATTTTTGTTTCCAGATGCTCACTCAAATACTATTATATATCCAAGTGCATCCATACAAGGATATATAGTCACATATAATGAGAGGAAGGTCCCTATTGATTTTGAGGTCACTATGTTTAAGATCAAGATCATATATAGTAACTCATAATAGAATGAAATTTCTGCTGAAAAGGTTTCTGGATGCAAAATTGAATACTACACATAATTTGCAACCATACTTGGATATATAGTTACATATAATGTGAGGAAGATCTCTATTAATTTAGAGGGCAACAAATCAAAGGTCAAAGCTACTAAAAATAGACTAAAATTTGTGCAAAAAGATGTTTCCAGATGTTAAAATCAAATACTGCATATGGGATTGCTACCTTTCTAGGATATATGGTTACAGATAATGAGAGTTAAGGTACCTATTGATTATAAGGTTACTACATCAAAGGTAATCAAAGTACTGAAGTACTGAAAATCGGATGACCGCAAGTTCTTGTGGATGGTCAAAAGCACTTGTCTCAGAAAAAAAATCACATCTCTATACCTGAAACTGAGGTTAATGTACAGAGATATATTTTTTTCTGAGACAAGTTCGTGCGTGGATGATGAATACATGACAGGAAATTCAACCTCACCGTAATAACTATTATATTGTAGTGATACAAATCAGTATGCACTGGTATGTTGTTATATATTATATTAATATAACAGTTACATGTATATATAATTTTCATCCATTTGTACATCATTCTATTCTACTATTCTAATAATAGTGCAGTGCAAGTGCATGCTGGACACTCTTCTGTAAAAATTCGATTTTTCTAAAAGATCGGATATGAGTAGGCATTCATATTTTCCCGCAAAAACAAACATCCATGCAGAGTTACCGGTCCTTGCGGGGATTGACACAAAACGGTCTTGAGATATTCTTCCGCATTCGTTAACACAATTTTTTGGTACATGTGCATAGATATTATCAATGATTTTTTACTTATACATATATATCTAACGACAAAACATTTTCATATTATTAATTTATGTTTTAAACAAAAATATTTTATCAGTTTTCATTGAAGAGATGTATTTATAACAAACGATAAGAAATGTTACTTTTGCACTCCTTAATGTCTGCGTATTTATCATGTTTATAGATCGGTTACAAACCCAAAACGAAAGTTACGTAATGGAAATCTAGGCGATAGCAATACATCGGAATGCCCTCACGGTCATTGGGATGTAAAAAAACAATGTATGCTGAGCAATGGACCTTCAACCCAGATAGCTAATAAACAAGATATGATTATTTTCCATCTGTCCAGAGATAATTTATGGAAGATGTTCTCTTTTTGTCAGTGTATCAAAAACACAACACAAAATAACAGTACTTAAATTGAATTCAACAATTTATTATTCAACATAGTTTTCAAAACATAACAAATAAAGATAAAACTTGGTAAATAAAATCAACAGCAGGTAACCTTTCTTTGGTTTTAAAAATCTTCCTAACATATCATGAATAAACAAAAGTCAAATACATCTTCAAACTTTTCATGAACAGTTTACACAATTCAAATTTTTCTCCCTCAGATATTTCATTTTGGTTTTCTTACTTGCAATGCAATAAGCTAAAAATTACACTTTGAACACTGAAAATGATTGCCAAGTGGTGTTTTGATGCATTCTGTGCACATAGTATATTTGCAAGCACAAGGTTCCATGTTACAAAATGGCTGCAATGCTTTGAAAAAAATAAATCAAAGGGTACATTATTTGGAAGAATACAATCATGGTTATATACCAACTAAACAACTCAAGAGTTGAATATTTAATTTAAACAAAATTGTGTTGCTATTAACTATTTTGATGACAGGGTGTAATTATGGCTTGTAATTACAGTTATTACTTATTATGCTACTTATATGATCAGAAAAAAGTGTCCGTGTTAAAATAAGAACACATGTGATTTTTATAATTGCATATTATTCATCACATTGTGAATTCTAAGCCTCTCATTAATCCGCATACACATGCTTGTTGATAAAAACCCCTTGCTCTTCTTAAAAACTAACTTTCATTTCTTTGAAGATTGAAGACCCTTTCTTCTCCAAAAATTTAAATAATATATAACTTAGAATGGTTTCAGATTAGGTCAAACTCAGAAAGAAAAAACAATCAGCTACAAAATGTAGCACAGTTCTTACTAAGACATATTTCATTATTTAAAACGATGAAAATCTATACTATTATCACATAAATATTACCTTGCCAAAAACAAAATTGGAATGAATGAATTAATTTATTTCTTCATTTTACAAGCATTTACAGATGAACCTGACCAACATTTTTAAAACATAATCTGAAATACTGCTACACCATATCTACGACATCTTGAACATCTTACAGATAAATATTCACTTATTCAAGGAAGAATATTCAACATGCTAATTGTGAAAGTAAATATTCATGATCACTGTCATCAAAAGAATATTGTCTGTAAATTTCTCTTCATATGATACAATTCTTCTTTTTGCTGGAATAAAGATTGGATATTATTAAGTTCAACAATGAAATAAAATGTACACTTTTTTCTTTGATAAATTAAAAAAAAAAACCAAACAAACAAAAAACAAAACAAGCATTCTGAGAGTATTGCATAGCAATAATAATAATAATAATAATAAATTCTGAGAGTATTGCATAGCAATAATAATAATAATAATAATAATAAATTCTGAGAGTATTGCATAGCAATAATAATAATAATAATAATAATAAATTCTGAGAGTATTACATAGCAATAATAATAATAATAATAATAAATTCTGAGAGTATTGCATAGCAATAATAATAATAATAATAATAATAAATTCTGAGAGTATTACATAGCAATAATAATAATAAATTCTGAGAGTATTGCATAGCAATAATAATAATAATAATAATAATAAATTCTGAGAGTATTACATAGCAATAATAATAATAATAATAATAATAATAATAATAATAAATTCTGTATTTAAAGAGCACAGTTAGTTACAATAAACTAATCTTCCCTGAGGCCCTCACATACAAATTACAATACAATCAAAAACAGATATTTACACATAGTTAATTTACAGTCAAGTAGTTCAATGTATTATTATTAACATGATAAGATATAAAGCTGTTCAAGAGGTACATGTAGTAAAAAAGGGGGCTGAGGGGGATAAAGAATCTGCATCTAGAATTAATCTTGCTGCCCTTTTTTTGGAGTTTTAAAATTCTTGTTATCCCTTCATTTTCTACATTCACCCCAAATAATACAGCAGTAGTCAATTAGGGGCAGAATATACCCATTGTAATCTCTTTTCCTTGCACTTATATCTAAACACTTCTTTATTTTAGAAAGGTATATTCTGGATGATATATTAGCATAAACTTTGTCAATTTGATTTCTCCAGTTAAGTGTGCTGTCAATTTTAACACTTATAATTTTTCACATGAAGAATTTTGTAATACTTTTGAATTCATTATTAAGTTTGGTTGATAAGTCTGAATTGATAGTTTCTGCTTTGTTCCAGTAACCAAACATTTTGTTTTATTTGCATTAATGAACATGTTATTCATTTTGCACCACTCTTCAACCCTGTATAAATCTTCTTGAACATCATTATGTATATTTTCTATGTTTTTCCCTGATTTATGAAGAGTGGTGTCATCAGCATTTAGGTCTGTTTCACAATGTTCAATGCATTAGGGAAAGTCGTTTATAAATAACACAAACAATAGAGGACCAAGTATAGAACCATGGGGAAATACATTGTCCCCTACCGGTTAAGAATTCATTGTCCTGGAACAAAATGCTAACTTGATTTATAACTTTTCATGGTGTAAAATATTTAACAAATATAAAGTCAATATCTTCATGCATGACGAAAAAAATGTGCGGAAAACTGATTATTTGAGTGAATTTTCTAAGTCCAAGGACCATAACTCTGCACAAAATCATCAGATCAGAACAAAATTTGAACTTGATCTGTAACTTGTCATGATAAAACTATATACAAATTATCAAATCAAAACCTTCAAGTATGACAAAAAAAAGTGTGGAAAACTGATTTGCCGGACTGACAGATGGACAGACAGACGGACGGAGTGCAAACCTAAAATCCCCTTCGACTTCGTCGGTAGGGGACTAAAAACAAGATGCACAATTTACATTTTGCTTTTCATTTTTCTTGTAAATCATGTTTTAATCTCTTGTATAATATGTAGGATCAGAATTTAATTCCTTCATGGATATCCTCAGGTAGTGTTCTACAACTTTGTAAAAGTTTCATCAATATCCTTCTTGTAATTTAAAAGTTGTACTAAAAATGCACATTGACAGACAGGGTGATTCATGTATATCCCCAAACTTTGTTGGCATTGGTATAAAACACAATTTACTGTTTTCATTGCCGCACTGGCATTTAAAATTTGTTTATCGATTGAAACAAATGTTGCTTCCTTTTTACAATATTGAAATTTACAACTTAAAACGTATACGAGTAAATTAAATATAACGTACAGATTCTAACAAAAGCTTCTTCTGCAATTGAGACAGGTCTTCTCTTAACTTTGATTTTAACATCATCTAAAATGCAAAACAAATTAGCATGGGATATAATTATTTTTTTAAATTGATAAGACACTTACAATTGGATTAAAAAAAAACTATTAGGAGAAATCACATGTTCACTCCTTTCACTATTTGTGAAGATAGTGGTAAAGCCAGTTTAGTATTTGGGAAACCAAACAACATTTGAAATTAAACATATTAAAGAAGATCATTCCAATCTGATGCACATATTTTATTTGTTCAAGGGCAAGAAATGCAAACAAATTGTTTTGGTTCTTTTTCATTAATATCCTACAAGGAATTTAGGCATGAGATAACTAACATATTGTTTTCCTGATAATTTCTTTTTGCAACAGGCATAATTCCTGTAAAAGTAGTTGATCAGTACAGATTTTTGAACTCTTTCACATTACTTATATATTTTTTTAAAAAACTGACTACTAATGTAGACTTGAGAGCCGTTACAGATGTATACATATTATTTTTAATTGTATTTCTTAATGTGCTGATTTTAATTGTATTTGCCACTTGAGAAAAAAAATATATATAAAACATGAAATTAAATTAAATTTCACACTTGGAAAAGAAAAGATATGAATCCTTAAATATTAATTTGTTTGGCCTATTCTGCAATGTGATATGAAAAAGCAATTTTTCCATTAGTTTTTTATTAGGTCAATGAGGACTAATTGAATACTGTTATAAGGGAGTCATAATCGGTGTATGCAAAAGTCTCCAAGCAGAATTCTTGCATTAGTCCATGTCTCAGCTGATGACCAAAAATAAGCCACAACTCCTTAGCATTAGATATTGCTTTATATCAACTCTTTATTTTAGTTGTGTTGATCATATTGACATTAAGTAACTCGAGTTGATTACAAAGAGATATATAGATTCCACCACTGCAACAAGCGTGTTACGATATTTCTCGACTCGAGACAGTTAAATTTTAATATTTAAAGCGAGAGGCTTGCCGAGCTTTTTAAATAATTAAAATTTAACTGTTGAGAGTGGAGAAATATAGTAATACACGAGTTATAGTGGTGGAATCTGTTTCTCTAATGATTTTTATCCTTCCTTTTCAAAGATTTGCAGAAAGTTGTGTTCTTTATATGTGATGTCATCAGGCATGGTCGCCTTTTTTCATGACGTCACAATAGGAAAATTCAGAAGAAACCAAGAAAATTTGATGTCATAATTAAATTTCAACAAATCATTTGCGGAGAACAGATATTTCACTAGTGAGGAGAAATATTTTTCTCACACCGATCAAGAAATGTGAAAATAGCACAAAAATTAGAGAAATCCACATCTCACTCATTACCAAACTAAAGTTATAAATCATTTGTAATATTTAGACGTTTAAACATGGTGCAAACAATACACACAAAACTGACTGTCAAGATACAACCTACATGTTGATTTGTTGACTGATTCTCTACTTCCTTCATTTCATCTTCAAGGTCTTCCTGTACTTCACATAGATTAGACAATCTGTAGAAGAAACAAGATTAAAGAAATCAATAGGTACAATACAGGTTGGTTGTTGGAAGACTGGCAAAGTGTCTAGGTTAATTGTTGAATGTTAAAAAAACATGTCATTACTTAAATATCAGGGAACTGAATTTTGATACAAAACAAAACAATAGATATAAGAAGATGTGGTATGAGTGCCAATGAGACAACTCTCCATCCAAGTCGCAATTTGTAAAAGTAAACCATTATAGGTCAAAGTACGGCCTTCAACACGGAGCCTTGACTCACACCGAACAGCAAGCTATAAAGGGCCCCAATAATGACTAGTGTAAAACCATTCAAACAGGAAAACCAACAGTCTAATCTATATAAAAACGAGAAACACTTATGAACCACATCAACAAACGACAACCACTGAACATCAGGTTCCTGACTTAGGACAGGTGCAAACAAATGCAGCAGGTTTAAACATTTTAATAGGCGCCAACCTTCACCCTACCTGAAACAATAGTGTAACATCACAACATAGAAAGACACACTATAAAATATCAATTGAAATGGCTTAACTCAATCAAAAGACATATTAACAAATACAAGTGAACATACACTGAACGAATAAATTTGATCTATGACACAATGTAAATACAAAATTAATAAAACAAGGGAGTTAGATGTTTAACAATATCAGAAAGACAACCATAACCTTGGACAAAATGCCGCCAAATAAAATAACGTACACAGGTAAATAAAAATAATTTTGTTGTAAGGTATACATGGAGTAAGGAAATAATTTTTACAAAATAAATAATTTTGTTGTTCCTAGTACGAGAACAAAAGTGAAAATTTATCTTCATACTAAACACTTATCAAAGGTGGTATATATTAAAAATAGTGAGACAAGATATAACACTGAATAAGTAAACATTAAATAACAAAAAAACATTACAAATTGTATCAACAGGTCAAATTAACACGAAAGTACGATTTGAGAGTACTCGCAGTTACTGAAAGCTAGTTAAAAGCCAAAAACAATTAATAATAAAAAATCATGCATCAGAGACTAAAATCAACTAAAACACATCCTAGGGATTTAGTGTTTTAACTTTATGGACAGTCAAAGAAGACATGACTTGTGCAATGAGTCCAAAGTTGGCACAGCCATCAATTGCTTCCACAATAGCACTAAAAGAAAAGTGAATACCTTTCTTGACATGAAGTCATGGTTTATATTTATGCTGGAAATTTATGAACTCTTACCAAAATAATTTACAACTTAGCAAGGCACAATTAAGGAACAGTAATAGCAACAACAGTGAAAATTAAATGTGATCTGCCTTGTATGCATGGCCTGTAATTATTTTGTATAATTTTGTTTTATAAACACTTTTTTTCTTATTCAAATTCAAGATCCTATTAAGTCAATTTTCATTGTTTTCAAGGTCAGTTATTTATCAACTAAAATCATGAAATTATTAAACTGAAGTTATACAGTGTATTTCTGTAATTCATATGTCAATGTTAAAACATGCAAACTATTTATCAAATTAAAAATTAAGTAACCATCAACTAAATGGTTTACTTAGTTCAGAGACTGTAAATATGAATATCAGATCTAATTCTAAATTAGCTACCATGTGGCTACAAAAATACAAGGTGATCTGCCAATGTGACGCAGTGGGTGTATTTGATCCCTAATGAAATTTTTTGCATGGAACTTTTGTTTTGGTGAAAAATGAAGTGGAAGGACTCTTAATGCTGTTTTCAGTGAAAGAAATTTGTCCGCTCTTTAAGGATGTTCGCTCCTCTTGTTTTTGAATTTTTGTCAGATATTTGGAATCCTCTGGTTTTATCCATGTAATGCCATTAACAAAAATTTCCCGCTAACCTCTACTTTTCTTTTCATAATTTTATTACAGATAGTTTAACCCTTTCGCCGATGAATCCCGGTTTACCGGGATTCAAGCTTCAGACAGCTGACGATGAGTCCCGGTTTACCGGGATTGGAATACCTCCTTTATATTTCCCGCTGAAAACCATTGCGAACACGAGTTATCTTTCTTTGTTTAATGCTCGGATGAAAGTGTAAACATGGAGCTTCCGTTTGTTGAAAACCGGGTCAAAATCAAATGAAATTTACGGATTTTACTGAAATTTGAAATAAGGGAAAAATTTTTTGAAAGAAGAATTGAAGCCAGTTTGGAATCCTTTTTGACATAAAATACCGTGATATGTACAAAACACTTGGAATGGACATCGTTCAGTGTAAGGAATGATTACAACGTTGTTAAAATTTTCAAACTTATGCCGTTTTGGGTTAAAAATTTATGATTTTGGGTCAAAAAGTCGAATTTCGTTAATTTTATCTATTTTAATGCCGAAAAATAGCAAATTTGATTTTTTCTGACAAAAAAATTTATCAAAACATAAACAAAACTTGTGTCCATGGGGTAAGTGAATAAAATAAAGACATAAATAACTACAGACAAGTTTTTATTGATATTTAATATGAAGATATCCCCTTGTGTCACAATAGCTAGGGAAGCCATAGTTTTCCTAGTTTTTGAAAGGTAAAAGGTGTCAATGCTAAATGTATGATAATTCTAGAGAGAATCATTTCCTGCCAAATTTTAAATGGCTTATATCTAGAAAAACAAGGACACAGACCCTTCATTTTTTTCTGCTATTTCAGTTCCACTATTGGAATACTAGCAATTTATTACAGCCTTCTAAAAATCTTGTTATTTTGAAACAGAGTAGCGAACTATCCATACCTGCCAACCCTCCCATTTTGAGCAGGAGACACCCACTCAAACAGCGAAATTCCAGAAATCTCCCCCTTGCCGGTCCGCACATCATGTTCAATCAAATTTTCTGTTTCTTCTGGTGGTCTGTACGACGTTTGAAAGTATGCTTATTGTGGGTCTCACAACAAAATGAAAATATGGAATGTTATGAGTTATGAGACTCAGAGGTATTGAAAAAGGAAAAAAAAAAAAAAAAAAAAAACACACCTTGTATAGATTATTACCATGAATTGAAGAAATAAAGTATATCTTTTAACTCTTATTTGTGTTTTGTAGATGAATAAATAAACAAGTCATATATTTAACTTGAAAATGTCGTTCACGCAAAATCTCCCCCTCAGCTGTCATAGCTGAGAGGGAGATCTCCCTCTTTGAAGGTTTCAGAGGTTGGCAGGTATGACTATCTCAAGCTAGAAAATTCTTTTTATGCTAAGGTGGCAGTTTCTAACAATTAAAATTTACTCCTAGTAACAATTTTTTAACCTATATAGTCAATACTTCCTGACTTTGAATAATTTATCAATACAATCTAATTGCGCCATATTTTGTAGATAAAGCTAATCAAGCACATTTATATTGCAGGTGTGCTTGTCCAATTAGCCTTATATCAGGCTTTGTATAAAAAAGGGGGGAATGGTCACCTTCTAGTACAATTCTAATAAAGAGCTGTGCCATGAGCACATAATACGCCCGTCGCTTTTTCAAAGAATAAAGTTCCACAAGAAATTTATAAAAAACTAAAGGGAGGTTATTCTAATAGATATAAAACCGCCACCAAAGTTTAATGAAAACTGTTCAAAGCACTTTTGAGTAACTTGAAAATCCCCCCTTTTTTATGAATAAAATCCCATAACTCGGAAACGTAAAACCTAAAATTTATAAAAATCGAAAGGGAGCTTACATCAATAGATACAAACAATTCACTGAAGTTTCACAAAAACCGCTCAAAGCATTTTTGAGTTATTGTTGAATAAAACCCCATATCTCGGAAACGTCAAATCTAAAAGTTATAAAAATCGAAAGGGAGCTCACGTCAATAGATATAAACAATTCACCAAAGTTTCATGCATTGGTTGAAGTGTTTTTGAGTTATTGTCCGACATGTTGACGATGGACGGACAGCGGTATACCATAATACGTCCCGTAAACGGGCATATAAAAATCTTAAAATTGCTTATCTATAAAAACCTATATAACATTCAAAAGATAAAGTATTTATCCTAACGGGACACTGAAAACATTAGTTTAGTTATTCTATCATCAGACACAATGACACAAAGTCTTGGATGCACCACATTTGCCAACAGCATTGAATAGCCTGATGTGCTTCCAAATTAAAAGTATTACCACCAATAGTCTTACAATTACTTAACAGGAAAAATCTTTTGCAATCAACACAATGATATTGTCATTTAGTACTACATCTGGATTCCCAAATGCAAAATGTATCCAAGTGATTGAATCTGTATAGGAACATGAATAGTTTTCATCAATGTCTGGAAGCATGTTTCAATGGATATTTATTTTTGAATTTTAATTAAATTTTTTACCTTTTTTAAGGACTTCTCTAAACTCGGAAAGAACAAAAGAAATGCCCAACTTTCTTTTGTTTTCCTGGAAGCATAGAAACCCTGACACTTTTAAGGTATTATTCTAAAGAGAACTAATATTACCATCATAAAACAATCGATTACAAGTTTTAGATATCCAAGATCACAACTTCAGAAATCTAATTGCTACAGCAGTAAAAATTAAACTTGATGTGCATTCCATGGTAGCAGCAACATTTGAAACTTTATGTGACCATCCAGTAACCATCATGAAACATTTTGAGACAATGTAAGGACTTAATTGGGCAAAACTAGCATGTAGGGAACAGATGTTGCAGCATTGGAAATCAAAATACAGCTGCATTTCATAGGAAGTAGTACCAATGCAGGTTCCTTCACTAAGTAAAAATAAGTTATCACCATGAAACTTTTTTCAAAGGAATAAAGAGACAAGAGTAACTGTATGCTCCAACAAATATTTCATGGTACATAAAAGTTTATTAATATTTCTATTAATGAAGTATCCAGCTTAATAAGATTATAACTGAACCCCAAACTACTTGTGTATGCATATAAATACACATAATTTAAAATATTTTCCCAGCTGGTTAATATCTAGAGAAAATTTCACTTACACATCGTTGTATTTATTTAGCTGAAACATGTTTTAAAGGTTCAAAATATGTAAAATTTGGTAATATAAGGTTAATATGAAATACCTTTTCTCTTGTTCTGTTCTAAACTGTTGAAGATGCTTCATTTGTTGTTTGAACAATGTCTGAAATGGGTCATTCTTATAAAAATCAAATATCTCTCTTACATGTAAAATTATGATACATCAATATTCACAAATTAATAAAAAAAAAAAATGTTAAAACTAGGGCTGTCTGCATAGCAAGCATTATAGTTGCTGCTGTGAAATTCAGAATTGAGACTGACATTTTGAGATATTTGGCTTTCAGGAAAATGGCTCAAGGGTCAAGGTCAGAGTTACCTGACACATCCCGATCCAAAAAGTTATGCACCATAAACAAATCAGACAATGTTTTAGTATCACAGGGATCAAAGGTCAAAGGTTAGGTCAAAGTGACCTTAATCTGGTATATGACACACACATAGCCCAAGATGCAACTGCATACCAAGTTTGGTTATCCTAAGATTTACGGTAAAGTTATGAACAGTATTCAAATGTCCCCCGCCAATTCACATACATATCTTATCTGTCCAAGGGTGATAACTCCCAATATATTTTTTTTTATTCTTTAAACTTTTTCATTCTACAAGAAATGTAGGCTTGAGATTGCTGTCAAATTTCTATTTCCAAGTTAAATAACTCCTGCAAAAATAGATGATCAGCTTTTTTTAAGGTAGTTATGCCCCTTGGAAATTTAAACTATATGGAAATTTGAATGTAAGCTTCTCCAGCATACATTTCTAGTCAGATTTTTGTCCCACCTGTACCTTTGAGGAATAGTTGATTATTTTCAAGGGAAGGAAAACCATTGAGATATAACTAAAGACAACCACTGATGACTGACTTTGGATAGAGGTACACTTATGGTTAGTCTGAATAATTATGACGTCTTGAAAGGCTATTCTAAATTTTTTCTGTGACGCCTTCCTACAACGTCATAAGGCTGCAGCCATTTTTTCTGTCTAGACTTTGAGAGAGAATTTTCGGCGGAACTTTGAGACCAAATTTGGCTTGAAATCTTCATTGACGGCTAGAAATTTTTGCATAGATACAAAGTCTTATTTTTGTGTGTTTGTTGGTGCAAAAATTTCCAGAAATATCCAAAAGTATTGATGAAATAAGTTACGATTCCATTTGAGGTGTGCAATGATCTACTTTGATTTCAAAATGGATTCCCTGGTTTTCCAAGATTCTTCACTTCCGGAGAGTATAAAATACCAAACTGCATAAAATTTTATGGCCTCGAATTTCTGGAACGTTTGATTTGTATTATCCGGAAATTCAGGTGTGCCTAGTTTTACCGAATTTGATATTTTGTACTCACCGGATGTGAAGAATCTTGGAAATCGGGGAATCCATTTTGAAATCAAAGTAGATCATTGCACACCTCAAATGGAATTTTCAACTTATTTTATCATTACTTTTGGATATTTCTGGAAATATTTTGAACCAAAAAGCACACAAAAGGTTAGACTTTGTATCTATGCAAAAATTTCTAGCTGTCAATGAAGATTTCAAGTCAAAATTGGGTCTAAAAGTTCCTCTGAAAATTCTCTCTCAAAAGTCCAGATGGAAAAAATGGCTTCAGTGTTATGTCGAAGGAAGGCATCACAGAAATAAACAGCTGCGCCATGAGCACATGATACACCCGTCGTCTTGTGTGTGAATTTTTATGCAATCAGCATCAATAGTTTCTGACATACGGCGTGACATGCGAAAACCCCCCCCTTTTTTTTTTACAAAAAACTCAATATCTATAAAAAAAATTTTTGAATCAAAACCAAAAAGTATACAGATCTTTAGATTAATATAACTAAGAAGTGTGTAAAATTTTAAGCAATAATCATAAATCGTTTTTGAGATACGGCGCGACATGTGAAAACACCCCTTTAAAAAAAAAAAATCAATATCTCAAAAATAAAATTTTGAATCAAAACGAAAAAGTATACAGATCTTTAGATTAATATAACTAAGAAGTGTGTAAAATTTTAAGCAATAATCATAAATCATTTTTGAGATATGGTGCGACATGTGAAAAAACCCTCCCCCTTTTTTTACAAAATACTCAATAACTCAAAAATAAAAATTTTGAATCATCACCAAAAAGTATACAGATCTTAAGGTTAATATAACTAAGAAGTGTGTAAAGTTTTAAGCAAAAATCATAAACTGTTTTTGAGATACGGCGCGACATGTGAAAAACCCCTCCCCCTTTTTAACAAAATACTCAATAACTCAAAAATAAAATTTTGAATCATCACCAAAAAGTATACAGATCTTAAGATTAATATAACTAAGAAGTGTGTAAAGTTTTAAGCAATAATCATAAATTGTTTTTGAGCTACGGCGCGACATGTGAAAAAAAACACACACCTGTTTTAGTTACTAAGTCCTGTAACTCAAAAAGTTTTAATCTTATTTTCACCAAAAAGTATACAGATCGTTTGACCATCATAAGAAACAACTATTTTAAGTTTCATGAAATTTGGATAAGTCATTCTCAAGTTACGGTGCGACATGTTTACACCGGACAAACAGACGGACAGACAGACGGACATTTGTATAACATAATACGTCCCGTCAAAAATTTGACGGGCGTATAAAAATTAGAATAGCCTTTCAAGCCATCATAATTAATTGGACTAACTTTTGGTTGGATGCAAGGATGGATAGAATCTAAAGTGAACAGCTTTTTTCTTACCAAAGCATTGTCCTCTGCTTCCTTTAAGCAAGCTACATCTTTTTCCAGTGCCATGAGCTCCTTCATCATGTTACCCTGATATTTATTCAAAATGAATGACCTAAACAAATAAAATTATAATTAAACAAAAAAACCCATATTAAGCATCAAAATATTACATGAATTACTAAATGGACAAGGTTATTGCAATAATACCTTCACTTTTGGAATGAGGGTATTATTTTAGTCAATAAATTTTTTGTGTGCATTTAAATACTTGTTGACACCCCCATTTTATATTATTTATTCAAATTAGGAATCCTTGTACAGGAGTAAACAAAAGCCTGTCAAGTCAATTGGAAAAGGGGGGTTACTTGTCATATAAGTAAAATCTTTTAAAAATGCATAAATGTCACATTGCCTTGCCAATTGTGCTGGTTAAAATTTAGACAAGAAGGGCAAGATAAAAATATTTTATCAATCATGAATTCGATAATACCTTTTCCTTTGCTGCATTATCCAAGCTGTATTCATTTGCTTTTGTGTTGACTTCAAAACAGATTTTGTAAGCAAATCCAATTGATGTCTTTTTTCCTGTCAAAGAAAGAATACAGTTAAATTACAATCTTTGTATGAATGAGAAGAAGAGATGAGGTGTATATGTCAATGAAACAGTAATACTGCACAACCAAAAGACTTAAAGTCAACATGTCAGACTTGTGTATAAAGAGCCTGTAAATTACAGTCCTGGACTAATGCAACCGCAGATGTTAAAATTTTATAATCAAAAAGGAGCTTATTCTCAAGAAAACCTAACCTTAAGTAAACTTTGAAAAGATTAGTTATGGCAATCTCTAATTATCACAAGATATCATTGGACCAACAGATAGACAATAGTATACCATAATACATCGGGACTGGGTTGCTCATAACTATGGCTAAATTAAGCCATTGGTTAGCTTATCCAATGGATAATTATCTTATCCAGTGGCCTACTATCCGTTGGCTATTTTTCAATTGCTCAAAAGCAACATTGAAGTGTGGTTAGTTGGCCACTGGTTAAGGTAACTTAACCAGTGGTTAACAGCTACTTTCAACTCATCCCAAGTAAATAATTCCCAAGTTATTTACACAAATCAAAAATAAACCTTAAATATTACATAACCGGTCCGTGCAACTAAAGATTTCAACTGCGAGTGTTTCACAATAGGGTTCCTAACCATAGGTACAAGAGGAGATTTTATTTAATGTAAACATATACTGAATACACTATAAAGTTAGTGTATTATGGCTATATATATTTTACTAAAGAAAATCTCATCTTGTACCTCATAACCTGTAACGGAAACTTTCAAAGAAAAAAAGGGTGCTCTCTAACACAACCGCGTTTATGTCTAAAAAAAGAAACTCTAAACCCGGAAAAAACTTATCATCACAGATTATGTTCAGCTCAGCATTAAATCGTATGTTGATCATCAGTCATTTTTTGGTATGGTGAATTTTTTTTGGAGGGGGGGGGGGGGGGGGGGGGGGTTCCTGATCCCGAAATCCCAGTCTTAAAAACATGGAATCCCGAGGTCCCGAATTTAAAGAAATTTAAATCCTGACATCCCGAAATTCGAAAAAAAAATTCTCGGATCCCGAAAGGATCAATCTCGAAATCCTGATCTTTAAAACACCCGATCCCAGAGTCCCGATAAAGGTCCTACCCCCCTCTTTCAAGATGTCATAATTATTTGGAAGGCGTCACAGAAAAAAAATGAAATAGCCTTTCAAGACGTCATAACTATTTGGACTAAATGTAATATAAAAAGGGGACTACTGGCTAGAAAACGTTAATTCATATTGGGACATGATACTGGCACACATAAAGGTAATTTATATGTGGTTATGTTCCGGACAATATGAGTACTAGGACCACAAGGACATATATTCGTTTGGTTATCAACAGTCTGTATATATGAGGATTTAGACCAAATACGTATTATGAAATAAATTCGAATTTTCTTCTCAGGAACACACTGTTCTCGTTCTCCGAGCCAAAATTTGCACAAGTTTACTGACTGAAATCCTTTATATTTAACGTATTGTCCAAGTCTTGGTTCATCTGTTGGTAATAGGTGAAACCCCAAGTATTTGGGGGGATTGTTTTTTTAGCAGTTACCCGGGATGTTTAGATAAGCTCGAAAGAAAATAAATCCTCTAATTTTTATTTATTTTTGCAAATAAAAAAGAGGGACAGCATGTAGTAACTGCGGTTAAATAAATATAAGATAATATGAATATGAATATGAACATTTCATAACTAAAACTACCTTGATTTGACTTCATATTGAATTCACTGAAAATAATATTTAGCAAAAATTAAAGGGAGACATAGGAAGTTAAAAAATCGGCTCAGCATGTCAGTATAGAACAAAGCAGGGTTAAAAAAATTGAAAATGGAAATGGGGAGTGTGTCAAAGAGACAACAACCCGACCAAAGATCAGAAAACAGCTGAAGTTTACCATGGGTCTTCAATACAGCGAGAAAATCCCGCACCTGGAGGCATGCTTCAGCTGGCCCCTAAACAAAAATATGTACTAGTTCAGTGTTAATGGACGTCATACTAAACTCCGAATTATATAAAAGAAACTAATATTAAAAATCATACAAGACTAACAAAGGACAGAGGCTCCTGACTTGGGACAGGCGCAAAAATGCGGCTGGGTTAAACACGTTATTTGAGATCTCAACCCTCCCCCTATACCTCTAGCCAATGTAGAAAAAACAAATGCACAGCAATACGCACAGTAAAACACAGTTTAAAAGAAGTCTGAGTCCGATGTCAGAATAGGTAACAAAAGAAACTAAACAAAATGACAATGATACATAAATTAACAAAGGACTACTAGCAGCTACTGACATGCCAGCTCCAGACCTTAATTAAACTGATTGAAAGATTATGTCTTCATCATCTGAATATCAAGCACAATCCCTCCCGTTAGGGGTTTAGTATCATACCATCATAAAATATATGAGAACATAACCCGTATCATGCCAACAACTGGTTTTAGAATAAATGTGTTTATTTCCGATGCAAAGACCCTATAAGTGAATCAATATTAAAGACAAAATATGCCACCTTTAATGACCTGACAACAGTATCGTAACTATATCCCTTTAAAGTCTGTTTAAAAGTTTTGTTAGCTTTTTGTTAATATATTCATATAATTTAATTTTGGATGTAACGCGTCTTCTGATTGGCTGACGTTGTTTTGTTTATATAGCTCATAGACATAATTTTGTCATGTGACCGTGACGTCATCAACGTTTTTTCATGGTTTACTCCGGTTTAAAATGGAATTTAGAATTAAATTATAAGAAATGACTGTAATATTTTTCTGTCTATTCGAAATAACATAAAAAATGTGGTGCACACTTTAAAATAACACGGGTTATTCAGTGTGCACCACATTTTTGATGTTATTTCTTCATAGACAGAAAAATATTACAGTCATTCCTTAAATTAATTAATAAGATGTTCCGATGTCATATGGTATTTTGAACCCTATGGTAAATTGACCCCGGGGTCAAAATACCGTTATGGTAAATTGACCCCCCCCCCCCTGTATGGAAAATTGACCCCCCATGGTAAATTGAACTGTTTTTTCATTCTAGATGATAATTAGAACATTATACATTATTCTAAAGCTTATCATAGATTAAAAATCATTCATACAAGAAGGGGAGGTCAATTTTCCATAATTTGTTAAAAGAAATATCTTTGCTTGGTATAAGTGCTCTGAAGTATTTACCAACAAAATTTCATTCAAAAATACTTATTGAAGCATTATAGCTAGACCATGTATCTTGAATGCTTTAACAAGAAATGATTGTAACAGGATGCTGTTACGAAGTCTCCCAAACGAAGCTCCCATAATTCGTAATTCCCAGGGTCGCCTGACATTGGGCAACGTCCAGTGAAAATTGGTTTGGTCCAGTAAAGTTATATGCATTAGTGATGCCTGGGGACTAACCTTGTATATCATTCAAATCATCTTGGCATGACAAACCAGAATATATATGGTTTAAGGGTGGGGATCTTGATCACTTAGAAGATATTAGAATTTTCTTAAATGGCAGGGGGTGGGTATGACCCCTGGGGACTAACCCTGTATTTCATTTGATGTGCTTTATCATGGCAAACCAGAATATATATGGTTTAGGGGTGGGGAATTCGACCATTTACAAGATATTAGAACTTTCTCAAATGGCAGGGGGTCGGGATGACCCCTGGGGACTAACCCTGTATATCATTCAAACCATCTTAGCATGACAAACCAGAATATATATGGTTTAGGGGTGGGGATCTTGACCACTTACAAGATATTAGAACTTTCTTAAATGGCAGGGGGTGGGGGTGACCCCTGGGGACTAACCCTGTATTTCATTTGATGTGCTTTATCATGACAAACCAGAATATATATGGTTTAGGGGTGGGGATCTCGACCATTTACAAGATATTAGAACTTTCTCAAATGGCAGGGGGTCGGGATGACCCCTGGGGACTAATCCTGTATATCATATATGTTAAAATACCATGGCTAAGTGAAATTGTTGAATCATCTTTCCTTCATGCTCTTTCATACCAACTACTTATTTAATAATTAAATATCTTTAAACACTTTATTATAGATTGAAATTCAGACATCTTAAAAGGGGAGGGTCAATTTCCCTTAGTAGAAGGGCAACTAGTGCTGTAAAGTCTTTACCAAAATAATTTTCATTAACTTTCATTCTAACTTCTTTACATAGTCATAATACATGGTATTTTGACCCCCCTGCCATGGTATATTGAACCCCCCTTTTAAACCTCCAATTTCAAAATTCTAGCTATTATAACTCCTTTACATAGTAATAATACTCCAATAAGTAGTTTGTATATATTTAACATGCTTGAAAAGATGTTTTGAAAATTTTACTTCGCCATGGTATTTTGACCCCCCTGCCATGGTATATTGAACCCCCTACTATAGACTTCTAACTTCAAAAATTCTAGCTATTCTAGCTCCTTTACATAGTTATAATACTCCAATAAGTAGTTTGTATGTATTTAACATGCTGGAAAAGATGCTTTGAAAATTTTTCTTAGCCATGGTATATTGAACCCCCTACTATAGACCTCCAATTTAAAAAAAAATCCTAGCCAACAAATTGTAAATTAGATAATCTGCAATACTATTTATCTAAAACAGGGGGGTTCAATTTTCCATGGTGGGGTTCAAAATACCATATGGGAAAAATGCCCCCGGGGTCAAAATACCATGCGGTATAATGACCTCGGGGTCAATTTTCCATATGGTATTTTGACCCCGGGTTCACTTTTAAGGGGGTTCAAAATACCATATGACACCGACAATACAATTAACGTAAATGCATAGTGGCACATGCTGCGTTAACTATAAAAGTAGCTCATTAATCGGGTCTTCCAATCTCCTAAATAAGGTATGGTTAGATTCAGCATATCAAAGAATCCAATATACTCATTATATGTTGAAATGAACAAAGTTTAATTTTAGATCTTTCGACCTTAATGTGGACTAGTTTAAAATTTAAAATCCAAATACACGGTTAGATTCGGTATTTCATATAACCCCAGTGAATTAATTTTTTGATGAAATCATAATAGTTTAATTTTGAATCCTTTTTGGATCCTTTGGACCCCAATGTGGACCAATAAAAAAACGGAGCCCAAAATACAAAATTTAAATACACGGTTAGAACCCTGGTAATTCAATTTTAGATGAAATCAAATAAAGTTTAATTTGGGATCCTTTGGTCCTCAATGTGGACCGATTGAAAAACGAGGCCAAAAACCAAAATTTAAATACACGGTTAAATTCGGCATATTAAAGAAAAAAAATAAATTCAAGACTTTGAATTAAATCCCGTTGAAATTGGTAAAGAAATAAGCAATTTATACAAAGTATTAGTAAGTATTGACCTGTTTTTTTGGTCTCTTATTCCTAACGGTTAGGGCCATAATCCCCAAAATCAATCCCATCCTTACTTTTATTATATGGAACGCTGTGGTACAATTTCATAGAGATCATTAGACTTACACTCAATTCATTGTCTTGAAACCTGAAAATCATTGTTTTTTTATGCCCCTTATTCCTACAAAAATAAGGAGATGTGGTATGATTGCCAAAGAGACAACTATCCAACTAAGTTCAAATGAAGTGGATGTAAGCAATTATAGGCAACCATACGACCTTCAAAAAACGTGAAAAACCAATACCGTGTGGTCGGCTACAAGAAAAAACGGTCATATGAAAAATACGGAATAATATATTAAGTCAATAATCGGCAAAAACAAAACACTTTTATGTAATAAATCCTGTGTCTTATGGCGTGTTTACCAAACATTGAACAATTTTTTATTTGAAAGATTATTTTTGGTCAAAAGTTACCAAAGTTGTAGTTCTGCAAGATCACATTTTACAGGGACTTCTCTTCACCTTCCTCAAGTTTCATTTAAATCTTGCTATAACTTTATATGCTGTGCTGTATGTATAGATATGCAGCCAAGTCATATCGGAATGGAAACGTTAAATCTAAATGCCTCATGCAGGCGAATGTCACTATATCTGCACGTTAAAGAATCATTGAAATATCTCCTTGTGGTCTGAGTGATCCGTAGCCTGTTGCAAGGCAAAATTTCTGCCCTATTCTTTCAAAAGAGGCAGTTTATATTTGTGCTAACAATTCTTGAAGAATTGGTATATTTTGTTTTTGTCCCGAATATGCATGAAATACTGCAATTACATGTGTATTCAACAGGAATCATTCTTTAAAAACGTTCTTTTATGCATAGATGTACAAGAGATATATAATACAATTTCATTGTATTTCAGGCATAAACGCAATTATGACCAGCATGATGTTGTTAGAAAACATTTATTTAGTCTCAGATGCATGATTTTTTATATTAGTTGTTATTGGCTTTGAACTAGATGTTAGTAACTGCGAGTACTCTAAGATCTGTATCAAAGTTAGTGTCTTCTTGTTGTTGGGATGTACAAGTTCCCGGTCATGTCCACGTGTTTTTGTTATATGTATTTCTATTTGTATCCATCTGATAAGCCTTTTTCAACTGATTTTTATAGTTCGTTCTTATGTTGTACTGTAACATCACTGTCCAAGGTTAGGTTCCCGCTTACATGTTTAACCCCGCCACATTCTGTATGTATGTGCCTGTCCCAAGCCAGGAGCCTGTAATTCAGTGGTTGTCGTTTGTTGCTGTGTTACATATTTGTTTTTCGTTCATCCTTTTGTACATTAATTAGGCCGTTAGTTTTCTAGTTTGAATTGTTTTACATTTAATATTTCGGGGCCTTATATAGCTGACTATGCGGTATGGGCTTTGCTCATTGTTGAAGGTCGTATGGTGACATATAGCTGTTAATTTCTTTGTCATTTGGTCTCTTGTGGAGAGTGTATACCACATCTTTTTTATATTCACTTATACTTGTATATTATGGGAAATATACATTGGCTCCCTTTCATCCAACTAAAAGTAAATTATAGCAATAACTTTTAAAACTGTTGTCAGTACATCTGTTTTAATGGGGGAAATATACAAGAGCAATAGCGAAATTAATATTAGTTTGAGATGCTACTACTACTAGTATAACATAGAGGGGATTAAGGGCTGCCTTGATAAATAATCTGGGAATGATTGAAAATTTAAAAAAAGTGTCAAACACAAAATTAAAGTCACCTAAAGGAAATTTGAAAATTGAATAAAAAAAATATTTAATAGGATTTGAACATTTTTGTAATTATTACATATTTGGTATCAAAACACATACTAAATTGAAAATAAGTATTATAAATTAAGTATAAACAAAATCAACAATGGCAAAGTGAAATATCATAGTTTTTTAGAACCTAGAATTATAGTTTTTTTTTAAATCTAAACATTAGAACAAAATAGGTATTGGGTACAGAGTTGAAGCATTTATTTTATACCTCACAGTAATGCAAACCTGATAGAACGCATGGCAACGTGTAATTATATTGAAACTATGGATTCATAATATGTACAACTCTAGATCTACCACTGGTACCTGTTGATTAAATGCGTGCAAATGTAATGAACCACTACCACTATATGTTGATAAAGTATTGTTTTCTTAATTTCTGGACTGGTAATCGCAATGTGCAATTAAAGAACAGCGTCCATGGAAGCCGGGCCATCATCGGCTTTCAATGTCAATGAGGATGACACAGATTTATAAATTGACATGTATAGCGTATATGTATTATAAGTTGTTGACTTCACAATTACCATATAAAACGCCACAAGTGAGTGTTTACTGTGTATGACATACAATCGAAGTAAAGTGAAGAATTTTTTAAGGGGAGGGGGGTTGAAAATTTACACCAAGATCAAATTTTCATGGGGTTCAAAATACCATACATGACAGATATAAAGGTGGACGAGTTATAAACAATGAAATTATCTGAAATTTCAAAATATGAATTTAAAAAAACCCATTGTAAATCAATCTCAATGCCGTTTTTAACCAATGGCTCAAACTTAACCAGCAAAAAAGTACCGGTTAAATTTATCCAGCGCATAGCACGTTTTATCCACTGGATAATTTTGAGCAATAGAAATAATTGGTAGGTTTAAAGTTAACCAGTGGATAAGCAGTTTAACCACTGGCTAACACTATCCAACATTTTGAGCAACCCAATCCTGGTCTCTAATGAATGTGAAAAAAAAGGTAAATCCAACTCTTAAAGAAATGCCTTCTGATGATACACATTGGAACAACTATACAAGTACATGTTATGAAAATGAAGTACTTACACCGATATGTCTCTGAACATCTATGCCAAAAGCTTTGAGTAAAGTTGAGACCTCTGTTGTAGGATCTACATCAGACAGTATCTCACTACTTCTGTCTGATACTATATCATTTGAATAAATTTGTTCTTCCACCATATATTTCTGCTCTGGAAAAATGAAAAGACCCACATGACTAAGTATCTAAATTTGACATTTATTAAAATCATTAATAAATAAAGATGCAATTGGTTACATTTAGTTTCTATATAAGGTGGAATATAGTGTACATACAATTCTGTCCTATACTCCGTTCACTAAGGATGATAGACTAGTGTACAAATGACATTTGATAATTAAAGAATTTTGACGACTTCACATGCATCTATAGATAAGATCAGATAACGTTGTCATTATTTTTTTTAATAAAAAAAAAATATTTTTGTGAAAAAATTATGTGTAGGCACATGCCTAAAGTGCCTAACTACAGCTACGCCCTGATCCTGTAATAATCAGTATCTCATTCTGTTGCCGTACAAAATTAGCCTTCAGAAACACCGTCCATTGGAATGTAAAATTGTTGGAAAGCACCTTCTACTCCGCTTTAAAAAGTAAAAGTTTAATTTTGCTCCCGCTCTCTTTGACAAAACTAGATATCATTGAGATGGGAGCCATCTCTGTGGGCCCGGCTGTGAATAATGTGTGGTAAAAAAATTTTTGTCTTTATCGTTGGACATGGGGTTGTCAAATGAAACCAAAGTTTTTGACCTTGACCTTTGACCTAGGAAGTTGTACATAAATTATGACACACCCTCTGGTGTTGGTTTATATACATGCTTTGAAATCATAACAGTTCTCAAGATATAGAGCGGACACGATCTTTACCATAGAACATGGGGTTGTCAACTAAAACCAAAGTTTTTGACCTTGACCTTTGACCTAGGAAGTTGAACATACATTATGACACACCTTCTGGTGTTGGTTAATATACATGTCAAGTATAAACTTTGAAATCATAACGGTTCTCAAGATATAGAGCGGACAAGATCTTTACCATAGGACATGGGGTTGTCAACTAAAACCAAAGTTCTTGACCTTTGACCTAGGATGTTGAACATACATTATGACACACCCTCTGGTGTTGGTTAATATACATGTCAAGTATAAACTTTGAAATCATAATGGTTCTCTAGATATAGAGTGGACACGATTTGTTACGAACGGACTGATCACTATAGGGCGGCCGCCATTCGGCAGGGCCCTAATTATTGAACAAAGAAAAACTGAAAATAAAAGATGACACTGACTAGCTTCTAGACTATTGCACTATATTACAGTAGACTATCGATTCAGAAGAGTTGGTTTTTTTTCTTGTCACTTTTAGAAGTTTGCCCCAGCACACTTTTCAGTCTACTCCTTTGCCACTATAGTCAGGGTTCGACACTAACGCTAGTCCGCTAGCCCGAGGCTAGTAAAAATTAGGAAGGACTAGTAAAGTTTTCATCACAGTAGTCCGACAGGCTAGTAAAAATTTTGTTTAAAACTAGGAATTTCACAAAATTTTAATTGTCAACAAATCCCAGATTTTTTGCTGACCTTTGCGGTCTTTATTGTACAGTTTATTCTTGTATATTTTGATTGTCAGACATTTTTTAACATGAAAGGTACTTTTTGGGGAGGGGAAAGAAACGGAAACAATGATGGTACTTAATACATTGAAAACCACGTGTGTTACAAACGCCGTGATGATTCTAATCAGAAACCTGGATCTCAAAAGTGCTTTCATTATATCAAAATAATAACATGAATACGAAATTTACATACATTACTACCGATACCATCACTGTTCGGGGAAAATGTACAACTTATTGGGAGGAATTTTAAGCCATTTTTTAGTAAATGGGAATTTTCTCTAGGGGAAAAAGCTGTATTTTGAATGTAATTTGAGGCAAACAATATCATTGAATTATTGTCATAAAACAAAATTATAGGTCTCTGCAAGGATTTGTATACTATACAATTCCTTGGTCTCTGGTAAAACATACAGATTTTTAGGAATAAAATCTTTTCCTGCAAAAAAAAAAAATAAACTGAAACAACAAGGGAAAAGAAGGAGTCCATGAAGAATTATGACAAAAAACAGCAAGGGCAAACCTTTCCTCTTTTGTGGGTGTATTTTTAAATCCCTAACTTATCCATCTTCATTAAAGACACTAGTAATAATGATAAGTAAAATGAGGATGATGATGAAGTAATGATCGAAAGGGGTCTTCAAAATAATTCGAACACATTCTTAATATAGATGATTAAAATATGATTTTTTTTCTTTTTTTTGTTATTTTTTATTAGCAAACCAGTGAAATTTCATGTAACAAAACGTGTTCAAAACCCTCTGGAAATGCTCCAGAACACAGGATTTAGCTTCATTTGTATCAAAATTTTCTGGGGGGGGCATGCCCCAGACCCTCCTAGATAGGGTCGTGCCGGTGGCACGACCGTCCAAGTGCCAAAGCTTGGAGGACTAGTGAATTGACAAGAGAACTAGTAGAATAATAATTTCATTAATTAATAGTGCATACATTTAGTTAGTGTCAAACCCTGGTAGTGTTGAGGGACAGACAGACTTCAGTATACCATAATACGTACCGACTAAACAGTAGAATAAAAAAGCCATTTGTGACGCTCAATCCCTATTTTTGATGAGTACGTTATATTGGAATCCGTGAAATGGGACTTTCTAATCTACCGCTTTTTGCCGAGCTGGAAACCTCGTCATAGAGCTTTTATGTCACAATCAAGTTACATTAGCTAATGCGCACAAACAATAGGCTGTTTGATCTTTAATCGGTTAAGACAAAACTAAGTTTTGAAAAATGAAATAAAAGTATTTGTCTGAAGATAATGCATAGCAGTATGCTGTATTTAAACAAGGTGTCTGTTATTGCATAAAATGCAAAAAGACAGTAACAGATCCTGGACCAGTTCATTTAAACTAATACACATTATGCACTGTACTTATCCAACATATTTGGTTTTGTGTTATCTGACAAAACATTTTGTTCTTTTTAGTAAAGAAGCCAAAGCCTGATGGGGGTGTACGCATTATTCATGATTGTAGTAGGCCAGTAGGTACTTCCGTTAACGATCTCGTGGGCGAGTTTCCTAAACAAAAATTTCAAACTATTGATGATGCTGCTAAATTGGTGGCTCCAAATTATTTTTTGGCAAAAGTGGATTTAAAATCTGCCTATAGATCTGTTCGAATTAGTAAGTGCAAATTACCTTTTGGTGCAAAATTAGCACCAAATAATTTTCATAGATTGTCTCAGGCTGTCAAACGTATGATGTCACGTAGAGGCTTTACTATTGTCGCATATTTAGACGATTTCTTGATATGCGAACCAACACAAGCAAGATGTTTAGAAGCGCTAAACACACTAGTTCGCCTTTTGTGTTCTCTAGGTTTTTTGATCAGCTGGTCAAAAGTTGTAGGCCCTTGTCAAAAAATAACCTTTTTGGGGATTGAAATAGATTCCACGCTTATGGAATTGCGCCTCCCTGATGTAAAACTCTCTGCCTTGAAGAATGATTTAGCAGACAGTTGGTATCTCAATTTTCATAGTCTTAACTTTATTTCCAATAAAATAAACAAACCTCTGAACAACTTTCTTGGAATGTAGGGCTTATCTAGATCATCATCATCATCCTGAGAACTTTCTAAATCTGAGGTCATGATAGCCTGTTTCTAGTTATGGAAATAAACTTCAACTTCAGTGGAACACAACTAAATAGCTCTTGAAATTAGAATACCTTAATAAGAGAGCATTCTTCATAAACACATATACATTCAAACCTAGTACTTTCTAAAATTTGGATAAGTGTCAGTCTCTGTAAAATTACTATTTGTTCAATTCCTTCTTTTTAACCCTGTTGAGTCGAAATCAACTGATTTGAAGCCTGTTATCTCAACAAGCTCTGACACATTGCAACAGTAATGATGCCATGTTGACATTATAACTGCAATGCCTCATGAAAATCACAATTTTGCCTAATTTTTTGCTAAATTTTTATAGTTCTTGCTTCAGATAACCTTGGCGTCAATTGCATGAACCACCATAATTTTTGTTGAGCCTGCTACTTCTGTCCCAGAAAGCTAGACATAGGGATAGTGATGTTTCAAGGATTGAGGCAGAAATTAGGCCTTGCAACAGGCCATCTAAAAGACAACAGTCCAAAAGAAGATATTATTCATACAACAAGCCAACCAGAACTCTTAATCCTAGATTCAAGATGTTCAGTGCAGATTGAGCTAATACCAATGTTTGATATGACTAGGCTAAAGATTTAGCTAATCCTGCACTTGAAGAGAGCTAATAACTATGAAAACACAAGGACATTTACAATTACTCACAAATAAGTATTATCTCATGTTACTACAATGATTGCAAGTTTACAAAAATAAAATCAATTGGATGCCACAACACAAAAAAGTATGGAAAAGAAATAAAATTAAGTTTTTAGGTAACTTTTTTACCATAAAAGGATACACTATATTTTCTTTTCAATGATGATTTTGATGGTCTGGTAGTAGTCGTTGGACCTGTAAAAATAACATTGTATAATACTTCTGATCAAACTAATCACTTCAGCTTTCCCGATAATTGGCTGTGATGTGTATATTTTTTGAAAAAGTATTGTCATCTATAATAAATCAATTTTTTGTGACTGAAATATTTATGAAAAAATATATAAATAGAAACAACTAGTTAAAAACTGCCTAATGTTATAGTGCCCAGGAACCTCATCAGGAGCTGTCTATTGTTATAACTATTGGGTTGTTTTTTTTGTAATTAAGGGAATTGGTAGAGTATCAATAGTCTTAGGATTATTATTCTGATTTTTTTTTGCTAAAAAAAGAGATAATCAGATTGTACATATTTTCCATAGGAAAAAAAGCCCTTTATTCAGAAAAGAAAGTAAGCTACCTTTATTTAAACTAAATCAATGGTTAAGAAATGCCTTTTCATGGAAATTTTTAAAGTCCAATTAAACTTAATTCATGTGTCCAATTCGGCTAACTGAAACAAAGCTTACAAACATCAGTGATCGGGAAGGTCGTGCACCATGCGCAAATTGCGTATTTCGACCAGAAATGGTGCATAGAGTGGCAAATGTCAGCGCCAGTGTGGCGCACAATATTTTTTGTTTCGTATCTAAACGTTTAGATATAGTAAAATGGATTTCCAATCTTGTTTCGTGTCGCCATATTTGTGTACAAAACTGTGTTGTGTTCCCTCCAATGACAGGAGCACCGCCTATATATTTTTGGGCCGTCTTGGGCGTTTTCCTTCATGTTAAGGATAGCAACGTGCGGTTTATCTGATTACCACAAAAACGTAATTAACCATTATCCATGATCTAAATTTTCAAAGTAAACAACTTAAATTTAGTGAAAGTTGGCTAGTACAGACGATTTTTAAAAAAAATTATAATCTTTAAAGTAAACTTGCTATAATTTCGATTGAAAAACCCAAAGGCCTTTTATTTTAAAATAGTATGTGTCTCCATAAAAGGCGCTTAACTGTGCTTGTCAATTTTTTGGTCTTTAGTTCGTTTGTAAATTTTGTAAACATGCCTTCAGCGAATTGTTGTTGTGTCTTATCAAAAAACGTTACTCTCTTTTGTTAGTCTTGATAAAATAATAATGATACAAGAAATGCATAGGAAATGTCTGAAACGTCCTCTATAACGGAACGTCGGGAAGAAAGTATGGCAATCGACAAAGACTCAAATTTAATGTCAAAGGAACATGAACATGGACAAGGCGATGGTACCAGTAGTAACATTGTAAATAAAGGTTCTCTTAAATATAGCCCAGTTTGGGAGAAGTTATGGCCCTGGTTTCTGTATGATGGCAACCAAATGTTCTGCAAATCTTGCCAAAAATCATTTCAACTAACTTTGAATTTAATTGTTCTAGTTTTCTTATTAAGATTCATTTCTTCTTTCTTCAATATTTTGTGCCACAAAATCTAGATCAGCTACTTTTAGTCTGCCATTGTCATAGTTCTAGTAACTCAGTTTATTGTTTTTGCCCAATATTAATACAGCATAACAGTTATTATTTTTATCTTTTATTATGTTACTTCTATGATTGTACTGTATGGTTTGATAATTATTAATATACATGTATGTTCAAGTTTCATGTTTTATCAAAAGAATGAAATTCAATCAACATGATCAAATATCATAGATTTTTCAATAATTACTAGTACAGATTTTAAAAATCAGTCCAGATCAGATGTCTATTCTTGATCTCAGCATTTCCTTATTAATGATTCTGTTCATTGAAGTGGTGTTGGTCTAGTCATATGTTGCTCAGTTTTGTAGTTTTTTATTATAAGTCATAAAAAGTTTAATTTCTGAGTGATGTTACATTTCATGAACTCATACGATGTCATTCTTAGTCACATCAGAGACATATATTCTTTTGTATGTTTTTGGTAACATAAATCACCATGAACTAAATTAACTTTATTCACTGAAACTACATAAGCACAGGAACAATATCCATGATATCAATTAAAATCATACAGGTTAGTACCTCTTTGCTGAAACATACGCTTTTTTTATTTCTTGTTATAAACTAATGGCCCACTCATTTGACAACATGGCCCATTAATTCTAAAAATGGCCCATTGATTTTATTTTTGGGGGGCCAATGGCCCATAGAGAAAAAATCTTTCCAGATCACTGAAACGTATGTACAGATTTAACAACTATATTCTAAAAAATCTGTCTACTATAATAGAAACTGTATATCTTAACCCAGTTTACCCCTCTGTAATGGCATGCATGTTGGCTAGTTGACAAAGAAAAAATTATAAACTTGCAGTGGCTATGCAATTTAATCTCGTTCTTTTCAATGATTAACAACACTTAATTTACACAAACTAATGGAGAAAAGTTCACATGAAACTATATTTTATCTATCCAAGGTACAAGGGCAATAACTAAAAAAAACACTTTTGTTTCGTTCTTTAAAAGTTTTTATAAATATTTTAACAAAATGAAGGCTTCAGAGGAAATGCAATGCGATTTTCGTAATAATCAATATTTCAAAGGGCATAACTCGTTAAAAATATTTTATCAGCACTTATTTTAGAAAGTGTTCAAGACATTGATGATATAAACCTATAATATAAATTTCCATAAAAATCTGGCAAGAATTGTACACATGAGAGCACTAACAAAGCAATTTACCATATAATCAATATTTCCAAGGGCATAACTCTTTTAAAAATATTTTATCTGCACTGATTTTAGAAATCGTCCAAGACATTGCTGATATAAACCTATGATATAAGTTTCATAAAAACTGGCAAGAATTGTACACTTGAGAGCGCTAACTAGACCAGACAGACGCCTGCAATGCGTTGCGCGGGGGACAAAAATCAGACAACAGCCAGTCACATAAATATTTGCTTAACCCATGCTTACTTTAAAGCATTCATGCTTTCTTACAAACAATACCAACCGGAAATTAATCCACCTGATTTTAATTTTTTCTTCTTGTTCCTGTTTATCTCCTCTGTCTTTAATTCTTGAGAATCCTGAAATAACAAAAATACTGCATTATTGTAAAGCATATTATGCAATTTAATTATTGCGTACTTTACATTTAATATATTTCTTATATTAATGTGCAACAGTTTCTACTGATCAATATAAAAGTACACACTGAACTGAACAACATGGATCTAGGGTCAAACTAACTTAATTAAATTTATTGTTACCAGTTATGCCCAGCTGATTTTTTTGCCTTTAAAAATCAGAATATAAAATATCTATATATATATCTAGTTAAAAAAGAATTCTGAATTAAATCAATTTTAGACCATTAAACATAATTTTTTCATCTGACAAAGGATTTTATATGAGAATTTGATTGAATACCCTAATCAGAATAGAGCTTATATGTCAGATAAATCAATTAAAACTAATATGGTAACTGTTCCTGTTTGGCACTTACATCAGAAAAGATGCCTCTTCTTCTGCAAATAAAATGTCTAGCCTCCTGCCATATTGTATTTTTATGAAGGCAAATTAATTCTCAAATTTAGGTTAGCTCACCATATATTATATTTAAGTATGAACAAGAATGTGTCCATAGTACACAGATGCCCCACTCCCACTATCATTTTCTATGTTCAGTGGACCGTGAAATTGGGGTCAAAACTCTAATTTGGCATTAAAATTAGAAAGATCATATCATAGGGAACATGTGTACTAAGTTTCAAGTTGATTGGACATCAACTTCATCAAAAACTACCTTGACCAAAAACTTTAACCTGAAGCGGGACAGATGGACGAACGGACACACAGACCGAAAAACATAATGCCCCTCTACTATTGTAGGTGGGGCATAAAAATGCTTATCATATTATAATGATTTCTCATTTTAAGATACACACTTAATCCAAAAACCAATGGAACAAAAATATACTTCAAAGCCAAATGAAATATATAAGATGGGCATACTCTTTGCAACCAATCCACCTACCAATATTATCATATTATCAGGTCAAGTTACTGAGGAACTGATTCATGTCTGGAAACTTACCTGGAATACTAGAGCATAAAATTGAGGCCAAAGAGCCGATAGAAATAAGTTAATTCTCATTTTTTAAAGTTAAAAATTCACTTAAAATACAATAACTGTACCTCTTGAGATAATGTTGGATTTTCATCAGTTGTGTCTAATGCTGAAAAATTGAAAACAAAATTAGTTTTCATGTTATTGCATATTTTGGCATATAAGGCAAAAGAAAATAGGTGTTCATTCATAAAAAAACAATTCACCTTTCTAACCAAAAAAACCCATAACAAAACAAAAATTACACCACATCCAAGTTGAATAAAAAAACCATTTACAACAGAAAAAACAGGCAAACTCATAAACAATACCCCCGCCAGTTACCGAACAAGATAATAACCTTGATATCAGCAAGAGGTAAACAGGAAGTGAATGAATGATGGATTTGACAACACATCGCACAGTATAACATGCTAACATGAAGCTTAATACCAAATTTCAAGTTTTCCTATTGATCCATAGGTCAACGAGCTTGTAAAATTGCTTTCAGGCCTGTAAAATCAAATCTACAGGCCAATGGAATGTTAATAAATTTTTGTGAAGTTAACCTTGGGGGACATACTTCGCAAGATCTGGTTTGCGCTTACCCAGTTTTAATAAGCGTGGGGCGTTTGTCTTCCTGCGGACAGTGTTCCGCTGTACTAGCACCCTGATATCCTGCAACTACAGTAAGCTAGCACAAAGCAGTCAAAATTATACATACACCCATTGTTTTTTTTTATAAATCTATTTTATTTCCTTATCTTTTTTAAGTACATATAAAACTTTCTCCAATTATTTTTCCTAAATTCACAAACACATATTTAGGCCTATTTTAGGTTTATACAACACATTTGGCAACGAAATTCACATACACAATTTTGCATAGCAAATTTCTCCACTCTTTACTTGGCTGCTGGTGCACTACAACAATGTTGCTGTTGCTTATTGTCGTTTGTTTGGCTTTTTCTCCTGTTCCAGATTTTGGTGGCACATATTTTCTTTGTAAATTTTTCATTTTTTATTTTTTATTTAATTAAGTTCTATTTATTTATATTTTTTATTATTTAATCTGTCAATCATTATTCATTTTATTTTTTATTACTGTTTTACAATATTTAGGTAATGTTTTTGTCTCAAATGCCCCAAAAAGGCGTAAGTCAGGGCCGAGGGTGCGAGACCCTAATGAGTAGTCAAGGTTGTTAAAATCCCCCCTAGTAGTAGGGCCCATATATTCAAGTTATTGTGAAGACTGAATTTCAAAAAGCTGAAGTTGGCAGTTCCTGAGGAAAATGTAACAAAAATTTCATACATGGCCATAATATGTTTGACTATACAAGTATTTGGTAACCAAGAAGTTTTGGAGCAATAAATGTGAATGTATAGCATGGTATAGCATACTCTTATGAAGCTTAATACCAAGTTTCATAAAGCTGAGAATAGCTGTTCCCAAGAAAAAAAGATGAAAATTTCAAATGTAAAATCAAAAAACCATCTAGCATGCAATATAGCTCACAAAAAACTTGCTATCAAATTTAAGGAAGCTTTGATTTTGTAGTTACTGAAAAGATGCGGCAAAAATTTCATAGGACATAACAGAGGTAAACCACCTCCTAAATTGGACTTTTTTTTTATTGGAGTATTAAAAGCTATCCAACAGTGACCAATTCATTATAAAAACTCACCTCCCTTTTCTTCCAAGTCAATAAGTGATGCAAGACTTCTGGATAATATTTTACTTATAGCTGAAGAAGGGCTATATGTTTCCTAAAAAAAAGAAAAAGAATTTCAAATCTTGTACTTATTACCAAACCATAATGTTAACCCATCTTCTTGCAATTGGTCAGTTTTAATTGAATTTTATCTGGAGTTACACAATTCTGCTATTGTCTACAAGAATGTAGACTAGTCTGAGCCTGGCGACAAAGACTTGATACTGATAGACAAACTAGTCATGCTACAAATTTTGATAAAGGTCAAATGCAACCTTTAGTCAGAACAATATATTCACCAACTGGATATCTCCAATTAATCTGAGAATTTATTATATTTCTTGATTTTTACTACGGCTAGCCTTTAATATACCTCCTGCTTCTCAATTTCATTCTTCTTATCCTTTTTATTTGAATTATGACCCTTTATGTTCTCTTCTTTGTTTCTAAAAGACAAATGATAGTACATGATGTATGTTGATGTTTAAGATGTGTGAAAATTTAATCTTAGAAGTAAAAATGCTCTTCTATAAAAGAAGGTAAAATCAATTGTTTAATAGTCTCCCCGATTTGCTCTTCATGAGGTATTTACCTGCTACAGGGTGAAATAACACGATAAGCAAGATAATGGATGTTTCCAGAAAAATGACATGTCCCAGAGAGAAGTACTTTCTGAAGTTTATATTCAAAGAATCAAAATTGGTTTAAAAATGACATGCTTATGGAACTTAATACACTTTTCCTCATTGCTTTTTTTCTTACCAATTGATTTTTAAATGTCATGCAAATCAGGATTATCACAGAACAATTAACTAATGAAACATCCTACACTATTTTACTATTTTTTTTTAGATAACCAGTGCTTCAGATAGGGTTAAATGTTTAAAATGACAAAGGGAAAGTAATTTTACAGAGTAAAAATAACAGTTTTAACATGTTTAAATACGTGTTTGAAAACCATAATTACAGTCAAACGAGACACAAAAGTATATTTCAAAAGGGTTTAACTTTAGTTGAGCCTGAAAAATATACAACCAATATGGACCACAAGGAAGAATTACATATGATTTACAGCTCCTTATGTACATATCCATTGAACAACAATAATAACACAAGACTCCAAATGCAGAATAACTACTGATCATATTAATTAAAATGTGTAATTTACATTTTCAAGTTCAACAAGGTAGAGATCAATACTCCAAATGTACTTCTTCCAAAATGAATTTGGTCATTCTTTTTCACTCAACAGAACAAAATCTCATCTTCAAAAATGGACACTCTCCAACATTGTAGACTATAATCATGATAATATAATCATGACAAAAATATTTTTTTATTGATCTTAAATTGCTAATCATTTTTACTGTTTTAAGTTTCTCAACACAAAAAAAATTAAAAAAAAAAACTTCTGTCATTTAAGGACATTAACTCCAATAAGGAGTCACCTGAAGATTTCGGCCATTAGACTAATTTGTAGATCTTGTCTTGATGAACAATTTTGCTTTTAAAGTTTCTATTCATCTTTTATAGTTTTCAAGAAACAAGACAAAAAGTAGATAAAAATCTTCATTTAATGGCAATAACTCCAAAAAGGGGTCGACTGACGATTTCTGCCATTCGTCTCATTTGTAGATCTTGTCTTGCTGATAATTTTTTTCTATTTCAAGTTTCTCTCTATCATAATTTTCAAGATAGTAGACAAAAATGAAATAAATTGGTAATATTCGTCGTTTAAGGACAATAACTCCTATTAGAAGTCGTGACAGTTTTGATGTTAATGAACAGTAGGTAGATCTCCTCTATTTATAGTGGTTTTCAAGATATTAGAAAAAACTTGCATTTTACCCCAATATTCTATTTGAGACCATGTCAACCATGTTGGTTGGCAGGAAACGTCATTGGACACATTTTTTAAACTAGATACCCTAATGATGATTGTGGCCAAGTTTAGTTAAATTTGGCCCAGTACAAATGTAGTTGTTAAATTTGAAAGACGACGGATGTCATGTGATGAGAAAAGCTCCCTTTGGGCCAGGTGAGCTAAAACTGTTATCTCGGAAAATGTAGTCTAGTCTAGAAGTCCATGCATTTTATTGACATAACATTAAATGAACAAACTTATGGGACGAATGAAATTATTGTCCAGTTTATATATTACATGTAATGCTTATTTGCATATCTTTTTTTAAAAATGCCATCCAAGCAAGATTGTTGTTCAGAATTCTAAAAACTCAAAAACAAAACAAAAAACAATTAAAAACCAATTGTTCAGAGAACAAATGAAGATCTTTCCACCTCAAATATTCATATTTTGATAGGAAAATATTGAACTTCCGATTTAAAATGTCAATTCTGGTGTCAGATGATAGCTTAATTTATTCCAAAAGTAGATACTTCTGGTTTACAACATTTCATTTCCGGTTTCATTTGAACCTTACCTAACACTGATTCCAAAAATATAAAGTTTTAGTAATTTTACATGAAAATAATGCAAAAATGGCTACTTCTGGTTTACAAAAGATCACTTCCGGTTGACCTTCTTCAACGTGATATGTCAGCAACCCAATGTAAAAGACCCTATGACATTATTATTTTTAATAAGTTAGCAAAGATCAAAATCTAAAACGTCAAATTCAACTTTGACCTTGACCTAAATTTTAAGGTCATAAAGCAAGGACCTCAAATCAAAAGACCCTAGGTCCCTACTATATATGGTTAATGAGTTATACCACCATACAGTTAATTTTAAATATAAGAGGGGAGAAAACTCCCATAAATTGCCAACGTACCCTTTCAACCAAAATTTATGTGTTACGACATGTCGCAACTAACAATTTTGTAAAATATTATGTAGATATCTTATACGGTTTCTGAGGAAAAGCCAAAATAAGCCAAAATTATAATTTAGAACATGACCTTGACCTTTGACTTTGACCTCATTTTCATTTTGGTGGACCAAGGACTTCAAAATAAAACACCCTTGGTCTCTATCACTTATGGCTTATAAGTTACTATTACATTTCACTTATATCAAATACAGAAGGGGAAATAACTCTAATATGGAGTCTCCGGAGTGCTTCGGTAAAAATTATTCTCAACATCCCGAGGATGTAGCGAGCAATTTGGCAAAATAATTTTGTCCTAATCTTTTACGGTTGCGAAGGAGTAGTAAACACAAGAAAAACAGTGTTTGGGGAGATAACTCTTACAAAGAAAAGTGTTCGGTTAAGCAGTGTCAGTTTCAAAAGCGTATAAACTGTTCAATATAATATACCAAATATCTAAGCGACATCTTGCGAAACAACAATACTGCGCAAGAACAAAAATTAGGCGGAAGAAAAAAAATAATAATCAGAACAAAAGCAAAAGGTCTTTCCACTTTTCTAATTAAAGAGTTCACAATTGTTATGACAATGATTTTTTTCTCTCAAAAAAAAATGAAAAAGGCACAACAAACCTGATGAAAACAGACAAACAACAATCCAAATTCCATCATATCCGAGGCATCTTGACTCTAACAGTGTTTTGACTATTACAGATATACTTACATTTTCAATTCTTCTTCCTTTTCATCGCCAGAGTCCTGAAAACAAAGCAAATACCTTAATGTGTGAATATCTGATATGAAAAAGTCATCTGTAGCTATTTTTCCCTACATATCAAGAAAAAAGTTATCTTAACTTATGCCAAATGGTATCTTTCAGAAATGGAATTAATCTCAAAACACATACATGCTATTAAATTTACATGGTCTTAACTTTATAAAAAAAATCTGCAAATTAAAGAGAACATGAACTAAACAAGATGGTCAAATGCCCTTTAAAATGTGAGTTGCCTGACAAAAGACATCAGAGAAGTTGAGCTCACCAGGTATCATCATCTGTAGCAAGCATTTGAAGAGTTCGAGGAACATAATTCTTGCTATAAGTCTTTGAATTCTTAACCCTTACCATGCGGGGCCCTTAATATTACGGTCAGACCCAAAATATCATTATATGGCTCCCATGGCTCTCGGAGGTCAACTTTATGACATTAATTTCAAAGTGTATGCATGTTACCTCAACGTTACGCTATTTATTGTCATGTTCCTCATGTTTAATGTTCATTTTGAGCTCAAATACCAACTTCGAAAATTGAAATCGGATAAAACTGGGTTTTTTGGAGGGGTGGGCTTCCCTTTGATGTCTGACACACGAAGTTCAGAGGCCTATAATTTCAAAAAATAGTGTAAACCCGCTGATCATGTTTATTATTGAAATACGCCTAGGAAACGGCTACTTCCGGTTGCAGGTCCAGTTGAAGTCAAAAATTGGGAAATTCCGTATTTTTTGTGCAAATGACCTTCTTTAGACTGCTGTACACAGATCAGTTTCACTCTGGCCTAAGAAATTTTGGGGTTAATGTGTTCACTTGGGTCCACTCTACATGCAGACTTTTTTTTTATTAATATCTTAGAGAAATGAAGGTTTTAAAGCAAATGCAATGTGATTTCAATTATAATTAATATTTCCAAGGGGCATAACTCTTTCAAAATATTTGATCAGAACTTATATTTTTGAAAGTTTAAAGACATTGCTGATATAAACCTATGATATAAGTTTCATAAAATTCTGACAAGAACTGAACACATGAGAGCGCTAACAATGCAATTTTCCATATAATCAATATTTCCAACAATAAATTTCCTAAAAATCTGGCAAAAATTGTACACCCTAGAGTGCTCATAAGGCAATTTTCTATATAATTGATATTTCCACGGGGCATAACTCTTTTAAAAATTATTGAATGGCACTGATTTTAGAACTTGTCAAAGACATTGCTAATATAAACCTATCATTTAAGTTTTATAAAAATCTGGCAAGAATTGTACCCATGAGAGCGCTAACGAGGCTATTTTCCATAAATTTAATATTTCCAAGGGGCATAACTCTTTTAAAAAAAGTCAATCGTCAACCATTATAAAACTTGTCTGAGATATTGCTCATATTAACCTATAGTATAAGTTTTGTAAAAATCTGGCAAGAATTGAACCCGTGAGAGCTCCAACAAAGCCATTTTCCGTAAATTTAATATTTCAAAGGGCATAACTCTTTTAAAAAAAGTCGTTCTGCCACCATTATAGAACTTGTCCGAGATATTGCTGCTATTAACCCCTAGTTAAAGTTTTATAAAAATCTGGCAAGAATTGTACCCGTGAGAGCGCCAACAGGGCCATTTTCCATAAATTTAATATTTTCAAGGGGCATAACTCTTTTAAACTAGAGGCTCTCAAGAGCCTGTATTGCTCACCTGTATCTACTGTGGTTTTGGAAACCATGTAAAATAAGGTTAAAATCATAATAAATAGTATTAGATACCCTAATAATGATTGAGGCCAAGTTCGGTTTAATTCGGCCCAGTAGTTCAATTTAAAGCAGGTCATCCCATTGTAGTCTTACAATAGTTACTGTAGACCCCTTATCATTATTTAAATAAGTTTTCAAGTTGTGACCATTTGAAATTGTTTTTTACAATTTTCCCAGGGACTTCTATAGTAAACCCCCATGTTCTATTTTTAGCCTTGGCGGCCATGTTGGTTGGATGACAGGGTCATCGGATACATTTTTCAATCAAGATACCCTATTGAAAATTGTGGCTTAGTTTAATTCTATTTGGCCCAGTCGATTAACTGGAAAAGATTTTTGTAAAAGATTACAAAAATTTACGAAAAATTGTGAAAAATTGACTTTAAAGGGCAATAACTCCTGAAGGGGTCAATTTGGCCCAGTAGTTCCAGAGGAGCAGATTTTTATAAAAGATTACAAAAATTTACTAAAAATTGTGAAAAATTAACGTTAAACATGTTAAAGGGCATAGGCGGATCCAGGAAGGGCCCTGAGGGGCCCGGGCGCCCCTTTTGTGGAGAAAATTTGGTTGATTATATAGGGAATCACTGAAGCATGACTGGAGTGGGCCTCTCTTAGGTCAGTCAGCGGGCCCCCCCTTATAAAAAGTTCTGGATCCGCCACTGAAGGGCAATAACTCCTTATGGGGTCAATTGATAATTTTAGTCATGTTGACTTATTTGTAGATCTTACTTTGCTGAACAATTTTGCTGTTTACAGTTTATCTCTATTTATTATAATATTCAAGGTAATAACCAACTGCAAAATTTCCTTAAAATTACCAATTCAGGGGCAGCAACCCAACAACGGGTTGTCTGATGCGTCTGAAAATTTCAGAGCAGATAGATCTTGACCTGATGAACATTTTTACCCGGTCAGATTTGCTCTAAATTTCAGAGATATAAGCCAAAAACTGCATTTTACCCCCATGTTTTATTTTTAGCCATGGCGGCCATCTTGGTTGATGGGCGGGGTCATCGGATACATCTTTTAAACTAGATACCCAAAGGATGATTTAGGCCAAGTTTCGTTTAATTTGGCCCAGTAGTTTCAGAGGAGAAGATTTTTGTAAAAGGTAATGGACGACGACAACTACGACACCAAGTGATGAGAAAAGCTTAAAAAAGACGATCGTCAACCATTATAATACTTTTCTGAGATATTGCTGACTTTAACCTATAGTACAAGTTTTATAAAAATCTGGCAAGAATTGTACCCATGAGAGCGCTAACGAGGCCATTATCCATAAATTTAATATTTCCAAGGGGCATAACTCTTTTAAAAAAAGTCGATCGTCCACCATTAGAGAACTGGTCAGAGATATTGCTGATATTAACCTGTAGTATAAGTTTTATAAAAATCTGGCAAAAATTCTACCTGTGAGAGGGCTTACAAGACCAGACGGACGGACACACGGACGCTCAGTATTTCTATGTCCCCGGAAAAAGCATGCACGGCGAACAAAAATAATTTCTTTCTACACTAGATTTATTGCTCTTCTTCTCTTACTTCAGGTAAATAAGCTTTTTTCTACTTACCACCAAAAATGACTTCTGAGAAGAAAATATTCTGGATATATCTAGAGGGATTTGATCTGAAAAGTCAATAAATCCTTTATTATAGTAATTAGATTTTTAAAACTTATGGTATACACACTTACGGTGTATATTGAAATTGTTGCAAAAATAAAATGGAATATTTAGAAGGCATTTAATCAAATGCAAATAAAATGGTTTTGTGTAAAAACATGACTGAGAATACGTTTAACATGTATAAAAATTGTGTCAAATATGATTATTAAAACACAGGCACTTGTCTCTGAAAAAAAAATTTCCTATATACCTTAATATAACACAAGGCACCTAACTTGTATATTTGAGAAATAAAACCCAGTCGCTAGCTTTCTTTATATTTCTATTCTGCAGTTGTCTATCCTACTGAAACTTGTTGTAAATCTACATTAAATCATTGGTGTATTATTTGATCAGCACTTATTTTCTAAAGTGTCAAAGACATTGCTGATAAAAACCTATGATATAAGTTTCATAAAAATCTGACAAGAACTGAAGACGTGAGAGCGCTAACAATGCAATTTTCCATATAATCAATATTTCCAAGGCGCATAACTCTTTTATAAATAATTGATCAGCACTGATTTTTGAACTTGTCAAAGACATTGATGATATAAACCTATAATATAAGTTTCATAAAAATCAGGAAAGAATTGACACACGAGAGCACTAATGATGCAATTTTCCATATAATTAATGTTTTCAAGGGGTATAACTCTTTAAAATAAAATGCTCCGCTGGGCGCAGCTTGATACGACCGCAGAGGTCGAACCCTGAACAGTTGGGGCAAGTATGGACACAACATTCAAGCTTGATACAGCACTGAATTTGGATTGTGATTAAATATTTGACACAGCATAGGTTTCTGGCACAGAATGAATGTGGTCTAAGAACTTAAAAATTTTTAATTTACCTATTCAAACCATATCATTATTATTTGCTTTTATATATAAATCAGAAATAACCAAAATGGAAAATTTTTAAGAAAAAAAAAGGAAAAAAAAATCCCCCCCAATTTTTTTTAACCCCCTTATGATTCATCACCCCAAAACTCAGTCCCAGTCTTCCCTTTGTGGTATGGTACCTTGCAGTACAATTTCATAGAGATCCATACACTTGAACACAAGTTATTGTCTGGAAACTAGAAAAATGCTTGTTTTTTGGCCCCATATTCCTAAACATTTAGGGCAATTACCCCTAAACTCAAACCCAGCTTTCCCTTTGTGATATGGAACCTTGTAGTACAATTTCATAAAGATCCATTCACTTACACACAAGTTATTGTCCTGAAACTAGAAAAATGCTTGTTTTTTGCCCCTAATTCCTAAAATTTAGAGGCAATTACCCCCAAAATCAATCCTAGCCTTCCCTTTGTGGTATGGTACCTTGCAGTATAATTTCAGAGAGATCCATACACTTGAACACAAGTTATTGTCTGGAAACTAGAAAAATGCTTATTTTTGGCCCCTAATTCCTTAACTGTTGGTACCATAACCCCCAAAATCAATCCCAACCTTCCTTTTGTGGTATTGAACCTTATGGTAAAATTTCATAGAGATCCATTCACTTAAACTAAAGTTAGAGTGCGAAAACCAATGTGTCTTCGGACGACGACGACGCCAACGTCATACCAATATACGACCACAAATTTTTTTTGCGGTCGTATAAAAATAATTGATTGTCACTAATTTTCAAACTCATCTGAGACATTGCTGATATAAACCTATGATATAACTTTCATAAAAATCTGGCCAAAATTGTACTTTTAAATTAGAGCGCTAATGATGCAATTTTTCATATAATTAATGTTTCCAAGGGGCATAACTCTATTTTAAATAATTGATCGGCACTGATTTTCAAACTCGTCAGAATCATTGCTGATATAAACCTACAAAGAGCACTAAGAAAGCCATTTTTTATATAATTAATGTTTCCAAGGGGCATAACTCTATTTAAAATAATGGATCGCACTGATTTTCAAACTCAACCGAGACATTGCTGATAAAACCCTACAATATAAGTTTAATAAAAATCTGGCAAGATTTGTACTTAAAAGAGCGCTAACGATGCAATTTTTCATAAAATTAATGTTTCCAAGGGGCAAAACTCTTTTAAAAATAATTGATTGGCACTAATTTTCGAACTTGACAGAGACATTGCTGATATAAACCTACAATATAAGTTTTATAAAAATCTGGAAAGAATCGTACACATGAGAGCGCTAACGATGCAATTTTCCATTAATTAATGTTTTCATGGGGTATAACTCTTTTATAAATAGTTCATCGGCACTGATTTTCAAACTCATCCGAGACATTGCTGATATAAACCAATGATATAAGTTTTATAATAGTCTGTCAAGTATTGTACATGTGAGAGCGCTTACATGACCCAACGGATGGAAAGACAGACGGAAGCCCGGTATTTCCATGTCCCCCTGCAATGCGTTGTGCAGGTGACAATTATCTGACGGTAGTTTACACCCCCCTTTTCACCTAGAGAACTAGCAATTGCTTGAAAACTCCGGCAATTTCAAATTGTGTGTAATCGTTTACAATATTTTAATGGGGAAACCTGTTTTCCATCATAAAGTAGTAGTTGAAAATGCTAGTAAATGGTTCTAGAACACTCGAGTGTTAAAACTAGTTAATATCACAAATAAACAATTGGGAACGTTGTATTTCATTTAACTGGAAGTTTGTATAGCACGTGTAAAACAAAAATAACAAGTGAAACTGCGAGCTACTGCTCACTGATGATACCCCCAACCCAAATATTTGACGGTAAACAGGAAGTTGTTGAGTGATCAATCTGAAAACGCATCACTATGTATAGCTGACTTATATAACCACTGACACCAAATTTCAGAAATCCTTGTAATGTAGTTCCTGAAAAAAATGTGACGAAATTTTTCAACTTGGATGTGTTGTGTAAAATGATGTAAGTGTTCGGTAAACAGGAAGTTGTTAAGTGATCAATCTGAAAACGAATCACACAGTAAAGCTGACTTATATAAACCCTGAAACCAAATTTCAGAAATCCTTGTATTGTAGTTCCTGAGAAAGATGTGACGAAAAATTTTCATAGGACGGATGGACGGACTGACGGATGGATGGATGGACGGGCAGACAGAGGTAAAACAGTATACCCCCACTTTTTTAAAGCGGGGGTATAATAATTAGTGAGTGTGTGAATAAAATCCGTACTTCATAGTTACTACTAGAATACCTAGAATATGACTTTGAAACTGAAACAATTTCGTTCTTTAGTTAAATACTATTCAAAATATCCATAACATTAATGTTGAATGATCTTCAGCTAAAACAAAATGCATGCGTCAGTATGAAACACCAACGTTTTGTAGTTAAATACATTGTAATGCGTAAGCTGGTTCCTGGGTTATTTATACTTTTTTCATTCCAGTAAATACAAGGGGATTCCAGTTTTATGCTATGCAATGCTATGAAAAGAAAACAATAATTTGTAACAAAGCATTTAATTTTGATATTTATCAGTTTATATTGGATTTTGAATGAAAATTGCATATCAATATGGATTAGGTAAATTATTGATTTTGAAAATTAGAAGGGCACCTAGTACATTTTTAATAACAAACATGGCAGAACGTAAAGAAACCTTGCTAAAAAGTTTTTCTCTTATTTCTTGCTTATCGTACTCTATAATCTGCACCCCTATCTGACAATATTAATTTTGGAGAAAAAAAACTCAAATTATACAAGCCTCAATACAGCAACTCTAGAATGACATATCAGAACTTTTTTTTTAATCATAACAGTTGGTTATGTTGGACAATTCCAACAATTTTGTAAAGTTGCCAGTAAATCAGTTATGGTACAATATGTGAAAAATTTGCGTAAATCTGACCATCTCTGAAACAACTAACTGGAAAATTTGAAAGGGTCCTTTCTATCAATCCCAACAAAAATGCTAAGTTTGGAGGAAATCAATCCAGGAATACAGGAGTTAGTGCGCAATATGCGATATATTTGCCTTACAGGAAATTTTTTTTGGGTCGTAAATTTGACTGTCTGATGTAAAAAATTTCAATTTTCTTCAATCTTCTATCTGAATGTAATCTATCAATGTGTTAACGGTAGCTTGTTTACTTGAATGATATCAGTTGAAAGAATAATTGAGGAGATTCTGTTTCTGTTTCTGGTTTTGTTTTTCATTGTTTTTTTCTCACAAATAAAGAACTGTGATTTCAGCTTTCCTTTGAGTGCATAGAAAAAATTTCAGAATAGTGTTATTCATGCCTCCATCTTTTTTTATTTTCATTCAATGTCATTGGCCTAAATAAATAAGAAAGAAATATGCTATACTTTTAAAAACATAATTAATAGATGAAAAATTAACAAACAATAAATGTATTTATCAAAGTTGTACAAAAATCGAACATGTAAAAATGTTGTTTGTTTATAGTTGACACGTGTTTGGTTATTTATAGTAAGGTCGGTTCGATTTGGATATTGAGTTCATGCACGAGTGAACCAGACATGGGGTAATTGAAATATGTAATTGTAATTGACCGTAATTAATTACAATTTCTCAAGTAATTGAAAGTAATGAATTACATAGCCAAAATTGTCTGTAATTGACAATTACTTTTCAACTACAACTCAATTACATTTGAAATTTTGGATCAGAAAGATTGAATCTTGTGTTTTCCAAAAAAATGATTAAAAGCCATGACCTTAGTAAATGTAGTTAGCTGACAAAGCAAAGCCTACACAGTATACTTTCTGTAATTACACAACCATGGGAGATTCTTTATTTTGTATTGAAAGAACAAAAACAAAAAACAAAAGATGGTAGAAACATGCCATAATTTGTGCTTAAAAGAAACCATTAGTAAGTCACTGTCTTATACCTTAATTAGCTTGTTACCTACATGTATATTCAGATAGATATTGTGAGACATTGATTTAACATAATCAATTTTAAAGGACATTGTCTGTCAATAAATATAACCTCTGGCTATTTGTTTTATTATAAATATATAATGACTGTTTTTACAACAGTTATGTTTGCATGTTAAACCAATTAGAGAGATATAAATATACCCCATGGTACATGATTTTTTTTTAAATCAATTAATTGTGATTAAAACTAAAGTATATTTTAAAAAGTCAGGCTTTCTACATCATTACTTTAAAAAATAATTTTAATAAGTTGTGAACAATATTAAAATTAGGGCTCTCATTTTGTTTTATTTTCAATGAAATAAATTAAAATATAAAATTTCAATAGGTAATTAAAACAAAATTTAATAGTTTTAAAATATTGAATAAGGCTTTTTTTATCATTTTGAGCATTAAATTAAACCAGACCTCTAGTATTAACGATTCCTGATAGACAAAGTATTATGTGAACTTCAGATTTATGTATGTTTTTTTTTTATTCCTGTAAAACACCAGATATCTAATTTTTACTCTTCTTTGATACTGGCTGAATTTGAAAATAGTCGTTGTAGATCTCATTTGTTATTACTATAAAGCAATGTATGATACTTATGTACATATCATAGAATAAATGCACGTTTTCAATATTTTATCTAAATTTTCCTTTCAAAAGTAACTGAAGTAATTAATTACATTGGCAAAAAAAGTCAAATGTAATGTGTAATTTAATTGAAGATCTTGTAATTGTAATTGAATGTAATTAATTACTTTCAAAAGTAATTGACCCCATGTCTGGAGTGAACTTAGGTGGTTTAAAGTCATTCGAGCCATTGCAGTCAAAGTGTACAGTAGCATTTTGCCAGTTTCTCTTCAACATATTTTTTGGTAAAATGGCAAGTTCTGAACGTGAAGAAAGTCCAATTTTAAGACATTATGATACTGACATAACAGATACGGTAACCAAAATTGCAGACTTAACCATGAACAATTTTAAACAGTATTTTGACAGTAAAATTGGTAGCCTAAAGAGGGAACTTAGAGAAGACGTGATGAATAAATCAGAAACCTTGTTTAAACAGCTTAAATTAGAACATTCTTATAAGTTTAAGTTTAATGGTAACCAGGTTCAGCACGAATTTAATTCTGAAATTGATTATGAAGTATTCAGGATCAAACGTGCAGCCAAGCGTGATGAATATTCTAAAGTCGGGGATATTTGCCATGACATTAAGGAGAAAATTCATAAGCGGAACAAGTGTATTTAGATCGCTGACAAGTCACCAGCAGGATGGGATACAGTCAAAGAATACCTGTCAGACGAGCTTGCTTCGGATTCCGAGAATGAAAAGAAAATTGGGTCTGCCGAAACACGTGCCTTGCGTACCAAGAAGCACAAGGAACATGAGCGTTTTAGAGATCAAGGTGATAAGTATTGTTTACATCATGTATAGTTTTTCATCATATTGAATATAAAAATTTTATAAAAATGAACATTTAGGTACAATTCAGTACATGTCATTTGATTATGAAAAAGAATCTCTCTCTACATCTGTTTAGGGAAATGAGAAGAACATTTATAATTATTGGAAAGATAATGATACAAATTCATTTGTTTTAGACATGATTGATAATGGTTATTCTATCCCGTTTATCACGATTCCACCAGTTATACTGTTATATTTAACAAGAACTATATAATAATGCTGAATTTGTTTCAGAAGCTAATTCAGAGCAAGGATTTGTATAGACTACAAAATGTTTTATCCTTGCTCAGAGCTATTAAATAATAACTGTATTGTACAGACCTTACTCACTGTTTCGTTTCAAAGATCGGAGAAAAGGGGGTCATTTTTTGACCTACGTGTAGTTAAACACGTTTGGGACTAAATAATTCAGTTCTTCTTTTGATGGTATCCAGTTAAAAATCAGATTTTTAATGATTACTAACTGTTAAAAAAGTTAAAAAAAAGGTAAATAGCAATCTGACATGTGCAGATGATATTATGTATAGTTATCACAAGCTTTAGCTAAATTATAATGCAGTTACCAAGAGTTTTATTTTGATTATTGTTGCTTAATATACCACTGGGCTTGATACTAGATTTCTTTAATGCTGAGTACATTTTGAGTAACTATTGGTCTTAATCACTTGGCTGATTGATTGTTAAATCTACTGCATGTGTTGGTTAATATTGAAACCACGTGCTCCTGACTGGTTGTCATTGATGCTAATTGGCTGGCTGTTATTGAAGCCACTGTGCTGATTTTTATTGAAGCCATTTGACTGGTTCTTATTGAAGCCTATGTGCTGATTGCTATTGACACCACTTGACTTGAAGCCACTGGACTGTTTGTTATTGAAGCCACTGGGCTGGTTGTAATTGAAGCCACTGGAATGGTTGTAATTGAAGCCACTGGGCATGTTGTAATTGAAGCCACTGGGTTGATAGTTATTTAAGCCACTGGGCTGTTTATCATTAAAGCCACTGGGCAGGTTGTTATTGAAGCCACTGGACTGGTTGTTATTGAAGCCAATGGGCAGGTTGTTACTGAAGCCACTTGACATGTCGTAATTGAAGCCATTGGGCTGATAATTATTTAAGCCACTGGGCAGGTTGTTTTTGAAGCCTCTTGGCAGGTTGTTGCTGAAGACACTGGCCTGGTTGTTATTGAAGCTACTGGACTGGTTGTTCATTGAAGCCACTAGGCAGGTTGTTGCTGAAGCCATTGGGCATGTTGTAATTGAAGCCACTGGGCTGATAGTTATTTAAGCCACTGGGCTGTTTATCATTAAAGCCACTGGGCAGGTTGTTATTGAAGCCACTGGGCAGGTTGTTGTTGAAGCCACTGGGCTGGTAGTTATTGAAGCCACTGGGCTGTTTATTATTAAAGTCACTAAGCAAATTGCTATAAAAGCCACTGGGTGAATGTTAATTAAAACGACTAGGCGATTGTTTTAGACACTACTGATTGTTATTGCAGCTATTAGGCAGAACTTCAGAAACGCATATTGGTATATTATTTGGTATGAAAAAGCTACCTAAATAAACTTTTAAATAGTTATATTAAAGATGCTGACATACACCTTGACTAATTTTTCGTTAAAATAACATTCACTAAGAAGTTCAATGTTCATAAGTTTAGAAATGATTCCAGACGTCTTTCATATACAAGAGCCAGGGCTAACACCGGTATTTCTGATAGGATTTTTTATGAAGCATAACAGGTTAAATTGGACAGAGATAAGGATGGTTACGTTAGAGAAGACTTTAAAGCACAGTTATCTGTTTATCAAATTTAGGAATTCATCAAATATTCAATGCTATTTTCCCGTTCTTTGTGTTTCGAGCGCACTTGTCTCTGCAAGTGGCGTCTCCCATGTGAGTTTGTGGTTATTTGATAAATATTTTATGTTCGTTTGAGTTTACGAATTAGAATTTAAATGTATTTATCAAAGTTGTACAAAAATCGAACATGTAAAAATGTTGTTTATTTATAGTTGACACGTGTTTGGTTATTTATAGTAAGGTCGGTTCGATTTGGATATTGAGTTCATGCACGAGTGAACTTAGGTGGTTTAAAGTCATTTGAGCCATTGCAGTCAAAGTGTACAGTGAGTAGCATTTTGCCAAGTAAATAATATTATTAATTATATTATTTATTTTAAGATTTGTAGACCACTAGTTTGGGGAAACCAGTACCAGCTGCTTAATGTCGGTGTATTTACACGAACTTTCCACAATATTATACCTATATTAATAATTAAATGTGCGCTTGTCTCTGCAAGAGGCGTCTCTCATGTGAGAGTTTGTGGTTATTTGATAAATATTTTATGTTCGTTTGAGTTTACGAATTAGATTTAACAATAGTTATTCACAGTTTTTTAAGCATTAATAGTCATTTTGCTATCAAACTTAACATTGTCATTGTTTCAAACACTGTTAAAATATATTGGCTAAAGCACTGTCTATATTACATTGAAAATATAATAACTTAAGTACTGGTTTTGGAACACTGGGTCATATAAGTACAAGCTAACTAGACTGCCTTTACAACACTTGGCTTGGGTAAGTTTATTAAATGTTTTTTCAGCAACAAAACCTTCCGACTGATGATTTGACAACATTCAACTTTTCTATCAATGCCTGTATTTACATACAATCATCCTTGGTATGTGGCATAAACAGAGGCCATATCCTTTCATTCATTCAATTTTCATCTCTACAACAGAACACCTGAAAACGGGATTATTGTCCTCCCAACTGAAGTTTCATATGTATGTTTATCTGTCTGTCCAATTTTTTGCCATGTCTGCCATGTTGGTTGGCCAGCATACATACTTTTTTAGTTAGGATATCAGGCCAAGAATGGTTTGATTGGGCCAGGAGTATTAGAGAAGATTTTTGTAAAAGTTAATAGAGGCCGAATGCCAAGTGAAGAAATAGCTCACACAAAAGTGTACTGTCTTTTCTGTAAAATTCATTTAAATATGAGACAAGTAGTTGCCATCAAGAAAATAACAACATTCAAAAAGAGGTTAAATGAATACCAATTTCACTGTACACAGAAGCAGGTGTTTTTGGAGTTTTTATCACTGAGATATCCAAAGATCTGTACAACTTTCTAATATTTCCAGGAGTTGTCGGTGTTTTCTGAGATTTTCTTGTCAAAACATATGGAGTTTCCTTCCTGATCTAAAAAAAAAGATGATAACAGAGGATATTACAATTCGCTATAATTATACAAAACTAGATAATATATGACCATTTTTAATGGTAGGACCCCTCCCTCCTCCACCAAAATAACAACAACATCAAAAACAGTCACAGCCAGTATTTCAATATGTATATGTTACAAGCATTTTCTAAATTTAGGCATTTTGTAAAATGTCTGAATTTTCAGGCAATTTATAAAATGCCTAACCTTGACAGGCATTATATAAAATGACTAAAAATACCTAGTCATTTTGTAAAATGACTGAAATTTGAAACCAAATTCAACAAATTGCCTGTTCAGTTTCAGGCAATTTGTAGAAAAAGGATATCATTGAGATGCATATGACAAAAAGTAGACAAACACACAACATCTTGCAAAGAAAATAACTAATGGTTTGATAGAATTAATTTATTCTTCAAAACCAGATGGGAAAGTTTGTATGTCATATGATATGTTCTTCTTAGTGAAACTATGTTAAGTATGTACTCACTCTGTATTTCAGATAGTAAATTTATGATTATTTTGTCAAAATGGCAGAAGGACAAATTGTTCTTTCAATAGAACAAAATTTACAAACAATTTTTAGAAAATCCAGATTCAAAACAGTGAAGTGAAACATATGAAGCAGAGAAAAAGAAGTTTGTTTTTAATTGACTGATTGACGTTTGTTTGCTTTCAGTAGCAAATATTTGATGCATTTTTAAGACCAGAACAATTTGGTTACAATTCATATGGGTTATTTATGCAATGGATTAACCTGGATAAAGGACAGGAATTCCTTCTGCCGCTTGAAATGAAGGTATTTTGGATAGGGACAGAAAATTCCACCTACAGAACGATCAAAGAGTTCTTAACCTGCAGAGAGTGTTGCACTTTACTAACATGAGGCAAAATATTTAATGTCCCCATTCAGAAAGAATGAGAATTTATACATCCACATCCAAACAAATTCCCCTCTATAGCATGGGTTTCGCCATACAAGGCCGCATCTTCACTGCCTCAAGGAAATTCCTGGATTTGCAATCTGATGAATTAATGAAACAGTAGCTAACTGTGGTTAAAATCTCAAAAATCGACCAAGAAGAGACAATTAACGGTGCATTGACAGGGTAAGCGTCTCCTGTTATAGATGCATCACCTGTCATAGGCAGATCTGCTTTAGTCCGTTAAAAGCTATAAGCCAAAAGATACAAGTCAAACTAATCATGATAATGTACTTTGAATCTTTTGGGAACATATAAAAAAAAGAAGATATTCATGTGTGACATGTGTGCTTATTGCGAAACCCAATGTTGTCGAACGTTAAGTGTTTTATCAGAAAAGGTAATGAAAGAGCTAAATGTGTCATGTTTCTTCAAACGTGGTCAAAGTGCTAAAACCAGATATTACGCCAAACAATGTATTTGCAAAAAATCAGGACAAATATTGTGTAACAGATCTGTCATCCAAACATTTTAAGAAATAACAAATAATTGTCGAGTTCTGAGCTTGTGTGAATTTGGAATAATTCAGTAAAACTTATTTTTGATTATTAAAACTCTTAAATTGCAAGCTTTAACATTCAGTAATTATCATAACTAAAACTGCTCTGTTGTTCAAAGCTTTCAATTGTTTTTTTAACATTTCATTCTATAAAATAATTTCAGGCATTTTGTAAAATGCCTAGAAAAATTAGTCATTATGTAAAATGCCTGAATCTTGCAGGCATTTTACAAAATGCCTAAATTTAGAAAATGCCTGTAACATATACAAATGTAGTTATAGATGTAATTTATTTTTACAGAATACAATGTTGGAAAGGTATTAGATGAAAGAAAAGGTGCGTTAAATCTTACTGTATAAAAAAAAATAGTTTGATAAATAGAAAATATATATTTATACCCCATCCCATATTGAGTTTGTTCCCTTGAATGGACTTCATAAGTCTATATTCTCAGTCTTTTATTTGTAACAGGATAAAATTTAATTAAAAAGCATCCTCATGGGAACATCCAAAATTGGTGTTTGTAAAGAGGCATTCAAAGACAGTGTATGTAGAAAAGGCTATAAAAGCTAGCCACTGACATTGTAAAAGATACCTTAGTAGCAAGATTACTCTTCTTTAACACTTCAGCTTCTTTACTGCAATATCAAAGAGAATTTTAACCAATAAGCTATGTATATAACTGTCAATACAAAGAAAAGAAACTACAATGAATGTTATTGAAAAAGAATTATCCTATAGATATCATTTATTTCATATTGGATAAGTTATGTACTCTTCCACCAGATTAACCACAGGATAATTGTCACCAGTTGGATTTTTTAAAACAACTGTGAAAATGAAGATTTTACACATCATTTTCTATTATTTTGTGTTTTTAGTTTGAAATTCAATTGAGATTGTACTACTGATTTATTGTAAATACATTGTATGATTACAACATTCATTGATGATTTTGTTGAAGTATATATATCTTCAGCTTAATTGAATAAAGAGCTGTGCCATGAGCACATGATACGCTCGTCGCTTTTCCAAAGAATATAGTTCTAAACTACTCAATGTCATATCGGAAATTTATAAAATAAACAGCTGCGCCATGAGCGCATGATACGCCCGTCGTCTTGTGTGTGAATTTTTATGCAATAAGCATAAATAGTTTCTGACATACGGCGTGACGTTGCGAAAACCCCCTTTTTTTTTTTTTCCAAAAAACTCAATATCTCTAAAATAAAATTTTGAATCAAAACCAAAAAGTATACAGATCTTTAGATTAATATAACTAAGAAGTGTGTAAAATTTTAAGCAATAATCATAAATCGTTTTTGATACACGGCGCGACATGTGAAAACCCCCCCTTTAAAAAAAAAAAAAATCAATATCTCAAAAATAAAATTTTGAATCAAAACCAAAAAGTATACAGATCTCTAGATTAATATAACTAAGAAGTGTGTAAAATTTTAAGCAATAATCATAAATTGTTTTTGAGATACGGCGCGACATGTGAAAAACCCCTCCCCATTTTTTTACAAAACACTCAATAACTCAAAAATAAAATTTTGAATCATCACCAAAAAGTATACAGATCTTCAGGTTAATATAACTAAGAAGTGTGTAAAGTTTTAAGCAATAATCATAAACTGTTTTTGAGATACGGCGCGACATGTGAAAAACCCCTCCCCCTTTTTTAACAAAATACTCAATATCTCTAAAATAAAATTTTGAATCATCACCAAAAAGTATACAGATCTTAAGATTAATATAACTAAGAAGTATGTAAAGTTTTAAGCAATAATCATAAATTGTTTCTGAGATACGGCGCAACATGTGAAAAAAAACACACACCTGTTTTAGTTACTAAGTCCCGTAACTCAAAAAGTTTTAATCTTATTTTCACCAAAAAGTATACAGATCGTTTAACCATCATAAGAAACAACTATGTTAAGTTTCATGAAATTTGGATAAGTTGTTCTCAAGTTATAGTGCGACATGTTTAAGCCGGACAGACAGACAGACGGACGGACGCCGGATATTTGTATACCATAAGACGTCCCGTCAAAAATTTGACAGGCGTATAAAAACTAAAGGGAGGTTATTATAACAGCCCCCACACTTAACTTTTGAGTCCACAAGCCAGACGCTGAATATTTTGAAAATTTTAGTTGGATTCTGTTGGCTTGTTTAGGAGAATTTTACAAGCCATGGCCGTAGGACTTGTGGTTAAGCATGAAGACTGTTATAATAGATATAAACCAGTCACCAAAGTTCATGAAAACTGCTAAAAGCACTTTTGAGTTATTGTCCTAAAACTGGAAAATCCCCCTTTTTTAATGAATAAAACCCCATAAATCGGAAAAGTAAAATCTAAAATTTATAAAAATCGAAAGGAAGCTCACGTCAATAGATATAATAATTCACCAAAGTTTCATGAAAACTGCTGAAAGCATTTTTGAGTTATTGTCTGAAAACTGGAAAATCACCACTTTTTTAATGAATAACACCCCACAACTCGGAAACGTAAAATCTAAAATTTATAAAAATCTAAAGGGTGCTCACATCAATAGATATAAACAATTCACCAAAGTTTCATGCAAATTGGTTATAGCATTTTTGAGTTATTGTCCGACATGTTGACGACGGACAACGGTATACCATAATACATCCCGTAAACAGGCATATAAAAATTTGCAATATTTTTTTTCTCCAAATAAATTCCACTGCAAAACTGATTCATAATCACTTGACCAATAAGTTTTCAGTGGTGGTCTACAGGTAATTTGTAATTTTGATGACTGCATGTTCCCATTTCATTAAAATGAATGTTAGGCCTATGAAGTGTTGATGGACAAATAGACGGACAGAATAGTATACCAAAATATGTCCCGTCTGTGACGGGCGTATAGTAAGTTTAAAAAAAAAAATTATATGTCCATCTGTATATTCATAGAATGCTTACCTTTATTTATTTTAATATACTTCCCACTTCATATCTTTAACAGACTTTATTAATTCCCAAATACCTTTACTATAATTATATCACTGGGCATTTCTTTCTTTTTTTATACTTCTTACATAGACTATATCCCCTTCCAAAAAAGAAAAAAAACAAGAATGTGTCCATAGTACACGGATGCCCCACTCGCACTATCATTTTCTATGTTCAGTGGACCCTGAAATTGGGGTCAAAACTCCAATTTGGCATTAAAATTAGAAAGATCATATAATAGGGAACATGTGAACTAAGTTTCAAGTTGATTGGACTTAAAAACTTCATCAAAAACTACCTTGACCAAAAACTTTAACCTGACGGACGGACGAACAAACGAAAGGACGCACAGACCGAAAAACATAATGCCCCTTTACTATCGTAGGTGGGGCATAAAAATAGAACAATAAAGGAAAACAGATTAATTTATTGCTGGAGCAGCACCAATGCTTTCAGATATAACAACATATTATTTTCTTAATTTAGGATTTATCATTTTTCTTACATTAACAATAAGAGGAACCTAAGAATATAATATTTGTATTTCATAAGAAGACACATGCCTGTTGTCGTCTTCTTCTTCTTGATCTTTGTTGCTCTCAACTATTTTCTGGAAAAAAGTTGAAAAATAAATTAATCTGAATTGCAAGAAACAGCTTTTGTGAGGGTATTTTTGAAAGTTCTTGATAAAATAAAATCAATTCTGGTATCCTAAGGCAACAAAATTATACGTGTGTAAATAATTCAAATTCAAGGGTTAGTAGGTCATGATTTTTCCTTTTCGGAGTGTGGGTCACAATAAGAAAATATCCTGTTTTCACCAGGTGTAGTTCAGGTATTATATATTTGCTTTACCAGAAGTATGTAATTTTTCAATTTGTTCAATGAACAAACTGGAGATGTTTTACATGTTTCAAATTGATTCTGTTGCATATTTTGGTTATATCACCACAAATTAAACAAGTGGTTACGACAACTGATATATTGGAGAGAAGATTTCTTCAAAATCATCATAAGAACCTTAGGGTGGTAACTCAAAATAAAGAGTCTGTCAAGAAACCTCAAACCGGTTTGCTGTTCTAAGTACTGTCAAACTGGTCTACAAAGAGACTGCAGTTGCCAGTTGGGCTATTTAATTTCAAAAGAGGGGCCTCGGTGGCCAAGTGGTCTAAGTAGTCGAACTACTGTATCACTAGCCAGTCAACACTGAGGTTGTGAGTTCGAATCCCGCACGGGGCAGGTGCACTCGACACCAATCTTAATTGACTAGGATTGTCAGTTATCCTACCAAAGGTCAGTGGTTTTCTCCGGGCACTCCGGCTTCCTCCACCAATAAAAACTGATCACCACGAAATAGCACAATAGTGTTGAAAGTGGCGTTAAGCACCAATCAATTAATCAATCAATAATTTCAAAAGAAAATTGTAGTGTGGTCAATTCATGTGTGCATTTTCCCCCTATATAATAATATAAATGTAGGACTCGGGAGATGCGATGGGGACGCTGAAGTGCGATGGTCTTCGCCGAAGTGCGATGGTCCTTTCGCTGATGTGCTATGGTCTCTAACACGCGTGATGGCTATAGCAGGGTCCGACACTTACGGTTGTCCGATTGCCCGGGGCAAGCTAATGCCGTATTCGGACAAGTAAAAACATCATCTTGGTTGTCCGATCGGGCAAGTGAAAAAAAAGTGTTATATGATTAAAATTTCACAAAATCAATAGTGTCTGTTGTTTTGTCCATAGATTACTCAGTGATAACACCGCACGGTCGAGTAAAGTGGTCTTAACCCCCCTTCAATGCGTATATTTCGTCAATTGTTCGCACTGAATTCCCCATTTTACCAAAAATAGATCACGTTTAAAAATATTGGCCAATCAGTCGGCCGCGGCGTTGCTTCGTCATTATCGTTATCCATCGGGACACCACTCGGGCGTTTCCGACGCACGTGTTATTCCCACCGACCAATGGAAAGCGGAGGTCTATTTTCGTTGTTCTAACTTTATAATTTGACATCGGATGTGTATTTCCCTAAGATGGAAAAACGTAAAAGCTTGAAAGAGAAAATGAAATTAAACTTTAACAAATTTGTCAGTTGTTGTCAGTTTATCAAGAAGGGTTTTTTGAAATGGCATTTCTTAGATAAATTATTATGAAATAAGTATCTCTATGTAAATGATCCAATAGTATATTTTCATACTCCATAATCAATTTACACCCCATATACATGATAACTATATTTTATCTGCATGTACTACATTACAACCACAAAAATAGCATGTAAAAGTTTGGGCATGTAGATTTCACTTTCGGACAAGTAAAAGTAATAGGGCACTTGCCCAACTGGACAAGTTGGTATAAAAGTTAATGTCGAACCCTGTATAGTAAAAATCTACAGATGTTTAATTAAAAAACTTTTATGTAACGTATATAGTGGTCAATATCTAAACGATTGTATGAACTATAATAAATAACTGCTTTTTTGTCTGAAGATATTTACAAAGTACACTACAACGTTACAGTTAGGATTGAAAAGGCAATGACTATTTATCATGACTGTTTTAAGTAAAACAGGTTATACTCCCAATATTTTACCTTTAAAAACTGAAAAGCTACTTCCAACAAACAATTGACTTTAACATTTACATGTGAACATTGATTTATGTAATCCATTGCACTTCAGCGTTACCACCATCAGACATCGGCGTAGCTTTCAAGAAGATAGCGTCACAATCCCACCATCGCACATCAGCCTGATCAAAAACGCACTTCAGCGTGACCATCACACTTAGGAGTACCATCGCGGTTCAGAGTCCTACATATATATGAAGGACTCTAAAGTGCGATGGTTGTTTGATTTTTAAAGCGCGATGATATGACACACTAAAGTGCGATTTTGTAACACGCTAAAGTGCGATTTTAAGACACGCTAAAGTGCAATGGTATAGCAATAAGTTCAGGCAATTGTTTTGTTTTTTTTTTTTGTTTTTTTTTTTGCTGTGTTCCTATTAATTTTTTTGTTAATTGTTTTTGCCGGATTATAAATCATGCCGTTGTCTTTCTCTTTTGAAATGTTTTCTACTGGTCATTGTATGGCCCTTTATGACTTGCTATGCGTCGTAGGCTAAGACTCCACGTTGATGGCCGTACGGTTATAAGTTGCAACGTTAACGACATTTGGTGTTTGGTGGATAGTTGTCTCATTGACAGTTATTTTCATTTAATGTACGATAGATGTTAAAAAAGTGAAATGATTACATTGCAGTAGCTAGTATTAACTTTATGCACCTGTTTCAAGCCAATAAACCTACAGCTGTAATTCAGTGGTAGTCGTTTCGTTGTTGCTGTATTTCATATTTGTTTTTCGTTTATTATTTTGTATATAAATCAGGCCATTATTTTTCTCGTTTGAAGCCCTTGTAAACAAAAATTAGCTGAATTAAGTTAACCTCTTCCAGAACCGACCAAAAATGTTCAGGGTTGGGATCATTTGGTTTCTTTTTCGCTGTCTAATAAAACCCTGGACAAACATTCTTGTTTTCCGGCATGTGAATAACTTCGTTTGTACAAACGGTGTGTAATGTCAGAATGCTTTTAAACTTAGCTAACTTCCTTATTTTCGTAAACAATCGCACTTTCGCGGAAAAACGCTTTTTAGCGTATTGAGGCATCGGACTTTAGCGTGTTCCATTGAATAGCACAGACCATCGCACTTTAGCGTAACGAACCATCGCACTTTAGCGAAGACCATCGCACTTTAGCATGACCATCGCGTTTTAGCGTCCCCATCGCACTTTAGAGTCCTACATATATATGTTGTGTACAAGTTATCATTTTGTACAAATTATAATTTGTAGAAAAAAATTGTACAAATTGTAATTCGTCCAAAAAGTGCTTGTACAAATTACAATTTGTACAAAATTTTACTAGAATTCACTTATAACTTGTACAATAATTTATAATATGGATTTGGTTAAAAATTATAATTTGTACAAAATGATAACTTGTTCACAATATATATGTAACACTCTCAAACGTGTCCATCCCCCAAAGCGTGTCCTATTCCCCCAAACGTGTCTATTTCGCCCAAACATGTCCTAAAAATCCTAAATCGCCAAAACGTGTCCGATAATTGTTATTCGCCAAAAGCGTGTCCTTTTAAAAACGCCACAACTTTTCAAAACTTTTAGCGCCAATGTGTCCTCATGCAGCGACTTCAATAACGTTGACTGTAATTCACTACAGAGTCATAAACAAACGAAATAACTGTGCATGTCACATTAGCATCACTGGTACCAGCCTTATAATTTATAATCGTTAGAAAAACATGTATTACTTAAAGGTAGCGTTAAAATACGTTAACTAGAGGCTCTAAAGAGCCTGTGTCGCTCACCTTGGTCTATGTGCATATTAAACAAAGGACACAGATGGATTCATGACAAAATTGTGTTTTGGTGATGGTGATGTGTTTGTAGATCTTACTTTACTGAACATTCTTGCTGCTTACAATTATCTCTATCTATAATGAACTTGGCCCAGTAGTTACAGTGGAAAATATTTTGTAAAAATTTACAAACATTTACAAAATTTATGAAAATTGTAAAAAATTGACTATAAAGGGCAATAACTCCTTAAGGGGTCAATTGACAATTTTGGTCATGTTGACTTATTTGTAGATCTTACTTTGCTGTACATTATTGCTGTTTACAGTTTATCTCTATCTATAATAATATTCAAGATAATAACCAAAAGCTGCAAAATTTTCTTAAAATTACCAATTCAGGGACAGCAACCCAACAACGTGTTGCCTGATTGGTCTGAAAATTTCAGGGCAGATAGATCTTGACCTAATGAACAATTTTATCCCGTCAGATTTGCTCTAAATGCTGTGGTTTCAGAGATATGAGCCAAAAACTGCATTTTACCCTATGTACTATTCTTTAGCCATGTTGGCCATCTTAGTTCGCGGGCGGGGTCATCGGACACATTTTTTAAACTAGATACCCTAATGATGATTGTGGACAAGTTTGGTTAAATTTGTCTTAGTAGTTTTAGAGGAGAAGATTTTTGTAAAAGATTACAAAAATTTACAAAAAATTGTTAAAAATTGACTATAAAAGGGCAATAACTCCTTAAGGGGTCAACTGACCATTTTGGTCATGTTGACTTATTTGTAGATCTTACTTTGCTGAACATAATTGCTGTTTACAGTTTATCTCTATCTATAATAATATTCAAGATAATAACCAAAAACGGCAAAATTTCCTTTAAATTACCAATTCAGGGGCAGCAACCCAACAACGGGTTGTCGGATTCATCTGAAAATTTCAGGGCAGATAGATCTTGACCTGATAAACAATTTTATCCCATGTCAGATTTGCTCTAAATGCTTTGGTTTCAGAGATATAAGCCAAAATCTACATTTTACCCCTATGTTCTATTTTTAGCCATGGCGGCCATCTTGGTTAGTTGGCCGGGTCACCGGACACATTTTTTAAACTAGATACCCCAATGATGATTTTGGCCAAGTTTGGTCAAATTTGGCCAAGTAGTTTCAGAGGAGAAGATTTTTGTAAAAGTTAACGACAACGACGGACGCCAAGTGATGAGAAAAGCTCACTTGGCCCTTTGGGCCAGGTGAGCTTAAAACGTTATGTGAAACTTGCAAGTTGTGAGTCATTTTAAATGTGCATTATCTTTTCAACTGTCACATTACGTGAATTAAATTAATTTTTATCAAAAGATAAAATAATGAAATAACTGATTGTTGCTTGCCAAACATTTTGTGGCAATTATTTCATGCATATTTAGGACAAAAGATTGATTGATTTTTGGATGCATAAAGTCCATACGGAAATATTTCATGCATGTTCAGGACGACAACATATCAACAATAAATTCAATAGGTAGGACATGTTAACTTGTGTGGTTTTAAAAATATGAACACCAAATGTTGATTGTTTACAAAAAGGAGACGTTGAGGCTCCAATTCGACACACTTGGGGAAATGGACACGATTGGGAGTCTTTAATAAAATGGACACGATTGGGCGTTTAATAAAAGGACACATTTTGACGTCATATGGACACGTTTTTGAGTGTTACATATATATTAAAACCTCTTATATTCAATCAAGCAAAATAATACATCAAAGGATAAGATTCACCAATTATTTTAAATTTACCAAAATATGGCCTTGAATTTGAACTTTATCATAATTTATCAAAAAGGTCACATTTTAATTCTTAAATGGTTTTATTGCAAAAGCCTTACTGTTAAGTAAAACAAATCTTGAATAATGATGATTGTGTGCATTTTTCTGACTTAAAAGCTTTAAGAAAACATTGGGTGCAACCTACAATCCAAAATGTTCTGTAATCAAAAGCTGCCAAGGTTTATACTGAATCCACAGAAACAATAATCTGGATCATGGGTTGTAAAAGTTAAAAGGTTTATATTCAATCCACAGAAACAATAATCTGGATCATGGGTTGTAAAAGTTAATTTTCCCAAAAACTATTATAAATTATAGAAAATTTGGACCAAAACTGAAGGTACAACACATAATGCATAATTAAGTAGCCATAACTTTGAAATTTATAATCTGATGTGCCAAAAAGAAGTTATTTTGTATTAATAGTTATCTCACAACAATTTCTTTAAAATTTTAAGTTATTGGCCAGATTTTAAAAAATAAATGTGGATAGTGTCCACATGTGGACTCAAGAATGGTAAAAGTGTCGCCACCAAATTTCGTACTAAATCTGTATTATGTAGTAATAGGCATTGTGTATAAGTTTCATAACATTTGGTTGAGGCAAACTAAAGTTAGAAAACGTAAACAAAAAATTTGTACTTGATCTTAGTTTTGTGGTAATGAATATTGTGTATAGGTTTCATAATGTTTGGTTGGGGCAAACTTAGGTTACAGAATGGAAACTAAAAATTTTGCAATCATTCGATTTATAAAGGGGCATAACTCAATAATGGTTAAAGTGACACTTCCCAAATTCAACTTGATCTGTGTTTTATCAGTGGAAGTCAAAATTAAACATTGCATTGTATAAAGCATTGATTTTAGTTGATTCAAATATAATCATGGACAAAGGAAGATAACTCCAATTTAAAAGATTACTTGATATTTAGAAGAAAATAAAAATTTTGCAATTTTTCCATTTATAAAGGGGCATAACTCTAGGACAGTTAAAGTGACGCCACCAAAATTCAAACTTGATCTGTGTTTTGTGGTAATAAGCATTGTGTATAAGTTTCATAACATTTGGTTGAGGCAAACTTAAGTAACAGAACGGAAACTAAAAATTTTGCAATTTTTCCATTTATAAAGGGGCATAACTCTAGAAAGGTTAAAGTGACGCAACAAAAATTCAAACTTGCTCTGTGTTTTGTGGTAATAAGCATTGTGTATAAGTTTCATAACATTTGGTTGAGGCAAACTTAAGTTAGAGAACGGAAACTAAACATTTTGCAATTTTTCCATTAATAAATGGGCATAACTCTAGAATGGTTAAATTGACGCCACCAAAATTAAAACTTGATCTGTGTTTTGTGGTAATAAGCATTGTGTATAAGTTTCATAACATTTGGTTGATGCAAACTCAAGTTAGAGAACGGAAACCAATTTTGGGATGTACGGACGGACGTACATACATACAGACGGACAAGGGTAAAACTTAATGCCCCCACCACTATGGCGGGGGGCATAAAAATTGAAAAAATTGTTAGGGTCAATTTTACCCTTCGTGAACATACTCCTTCACAATTAAATAACAATAATAATAAAATAATTACCTTACAAATACTGCTAAAATTTTCAAGAATAGAATTTGTTTCCTTTGTTGGTCCACTTGTCAAAACTGTACTGAAAAAAAATATAACAATTCACACATCAACTGTAATGATAAAAACAACATTTGTGTTGTTCAATCTACAAATTTAAGGCATTCACAAAGTTTTTCATGAATATTTTGAGCAATAAGATTGGTTCACCTTATAATCTTCCAATTTATAGTCTTCCAAGACTTTGATGCTCATCAGATAACATTTTTTTATCATTAACCCTTTCACCGATAGCTGCCCAGATAGAAGCTACTCTGAGACGATGGCTTCCCTGGCTACTATTACTCAAGTGGGAGATCTTCATAATAAATGTCAATAAAAACTTGTCTTAGTTATTTGTGTCTTTATTTCATTCACTAACACCATGTTCACAGTTTTGTTCACGTTTTGATAATTTATTCTTCATAAAATATTCAAATTTTCAAATTTTCGGCATTTTCTAGGTGAAATTCTCAAAATTCTGCTCTTTGACCCAAAATCGTAATTTTTTAACCCAAAACGGCAAAATTTTTAAAAATTTAAAGAGGCTGTACAAATTCCTTACACTGAACGATGTTCATTCCAAGTGTTTTGTACATAAAACGACATTTTATGTCAAAAAAGTATACAAGTTTGGCTTCAATTCTTCCATATTCATTCAAAAAAAATGTTCCCTCATTTCAAATTCTCGTAAATTCCGTAAATTTCCTCTGATTTTGACACGGTTTTCAACAAACGGAAGCGCCATGTTTACACTTTCATCCGGGTATTCAACAAAGAAAGATAACTCGTGTTTGCACTGTTTTGAGCGGGAAATATAAAAGATGTATTCCGATCCCGGTAAAACGGGACTCATTGTCAGCTGTCTGAAGCGTGAATCCCGGTTAACCGGGACTCATCGGCGAAAGGGTTAAATCTTATACCCCTTCAAGGTTCTTTTGTAATAGCTTGTGGTTCTGGTGTGTTTGAATTTTCCTATGAAGACAGTCATCTCTTTTCAATACCTTAAAATGGATACAATTGGGGTATCACTAGTTAATTAGATTTCTATTTTATAAATAAACAAGCGTGTTTTTCCCATGTTATCATGTAGAATTAATAGGAAAATCTTACTTATAAAATTTGTAAATCAAAGCACTGATCTATCATTTCATGGAAAACTAGACCAATACCAATGCTTTGCTGCATACAATTGATTGACGTTAACATGTGTACTGAAGCATAACTGATAAAGATGATTTCCAAAACTATGTTCAATTGAACTTGAATAAAGTATTTTCATTGATGTAAAGTTAAGGGATGAAAGTGTTTGAACATAACAATTTATTTAGCATAACAACTATTGTATTTCTGAAACGGTTTGAGGAATATCAATTTGTAAATATGTAAAGATAATGCACATATATAGGATTTCATTCAATAGCAGATTTCCTGTACAACAAATGTTGTAAAATTTCAAACTGTCAGCAAACAGGAAGTGGCTGCAGGGAAGATGTAAAAATTACTTACATGCTAAAACTCAACCTTATCAAACTCTAGACCAAATAAAACATTATTCTCTTCCATAGAAGCAAGAAAAGATCGATGAAAATTTACCATGTTCAATGAGAGGTGTAATATAAATATAAAACCATCAGCAAACAGGAAGTGGCTGCACAGCAGATGCAGAAATTTCTTACCCACTACATCTCAACATTATCAGGCTCCAGACCACATATAAAATTATTCACTTTCATAGAAGCCAAGAAAAATTTGACAAAGGTCTTTTGGACGGAGGAAGTCCAGGGAGTGCCAGGAAAATTAAATGCTTAATGTAACTAACCATATACATAAATATAAAGTTAAGAACACTTACTTGTCAATTTCATCATCAGAACAAATTTCTACCTTCTTTTTTCTACCCTGAAATAGAAAAAAAAACAACTTCACAGTGCATTCATTACTCTGTATTTCTTGTAACGACTTTTAATCTGTAATGCTGTTTTAAATTTGTATTTGTTACCTTCAGCGTTCTGTAGTGATGAAAGTTTTGTTAAAACCAAAACTGATATGTATGTATCCATATGTCTGGTCAACATACATGTATATTACTTCTGCATCAAGGAATTAAATAGATTTAAAATTAGTATTTTATTTTAAATAAAGGACAAAGCATAACATGTTTCTTTCCATCATAGAGATATTAAATTGTAAATGCATTACAATAAAGAACAGAGTTCTCATGTCCCCCAGCGTTGCACATATTTTATCTATCCAAAGTACAAAGGCAGTAACTAAATAAATGGGGAATGTGTCCATGGGACACAGATGATGCCCCCTCTTGCATATCATATAAAGTTATAAAGGGTCATAACTGAAGAACAGTAAAAGTGACACTACCCAAATTTGTACTTGACTTGAGTTTTGTGGTAATAAGCATTGTGTATAAGTTTCATAACATTTGGTTGAGACAAACTATAGTTAGAGAAAGGAAACTAACTTTAGGACGTATGGACGTACGCTACGACGGGGGCATAAAAAAAACTTTTTGTTCTTTAAAACTTTTTATAAATATCTAAGAGAAATGAAGGCTTCAAAGGAAATGCAATGTGATTTCCGTTTTATAATTAATATTTCCAAGGGGGCATAACTCTTTTAAAAATAATTGATCGGCACTGATTTTTCAATTTGTCCAAGACATTGATGATATAAACCTACAATATAAATTTCATAAAAATCTGGCAAGAATTGTACAAATGAGAGCGCTAACGATGCAATTTTCTATATAATTAATGTTTCCAAGGGGCATAACTCTTTTAAAAATAAACAGCTGCGCCATGAGCGCATGATAAGTCTGTCACGTTTTCAAAGAATAAAGTTCAATGACTTCTCAATGTCATATCCTAAATTCATAAAAAAACTAAAGGGATGTTATCTTAATAGATATAAATCAGTCACCAAAGTTTAATGAAAACTGCTCAAAGCACTTTAAGGATATTGTCCGAAAACTGGAAAATCCCCCCTTTTTTATGAATGAAACCCATAACTAGTAAACGTAAAATCTGAAATTAATAAAAATTGAAAAGGACCTTACGTCAATAGATATAAACAATTTACCAAAGTTTAATGAAAACTTCTGAAAGCATTTTTGAGTTATTGTCCAAAAACTGGAAAATCCCCCCTTTTTTAATGAATAAAATCCCATAACTAGTAAACCTAAAATCTGAAATTTATAAAAATCAAAAGGGAGCCTAAGTCAATAGATATAAACAATTCAACAAAGTTTAAGGAAAACTGCTCAAAGCATTTTTGAGTTAATGTCCGAAAATTGGAAAATCCCCCTTTTTGTAATGAATAAAACCCCAAAACTCGGAAACGTCAAATCTGAAATTTATAAAAAACAAAAGGGAGCTCACGTCAATATATATAAACAATTCACCAAAGTTTCATGAAAATTGGTTTAAGTGTTTTTGAGTTAATGTCCGACATGTTGACGAGGGACGGACAGAGGTATACCATAATACGTCCCGTAAACAGAGGTATAATAAATTATTAGCACTAATTCTCATACTCGGCTAAAATATTGTTGATTTTAACTTATGATATAAGTGGCATAAAAATCTGGCAAGAATTGTACATATGAGAGCACTAACAAGACCGAACAAAAAAGTACTAGTAAGACATATTTTAGGTTTTTTTTTCATTATGAGGGTGGAGGATCAAATAACATGGTAGAAACATCTTTAGGTGTCATCACTTGTATACTGTTATTTCTATATTAAATTTATAATCACTTGGGAAATTATACTACTGAAATTTTCAGTGAAATTCATTAGGACAACAAAAGTATGTGCGCTGGGGGTTTCTTTCAAAATATTAATAGGGTCATCCAGCAAACACGTTTAACCCCGCCAGAATCTATATGTGCCTGTCCCAAATCAGGAACTTGTAATTCAGTGATTGTCGTTTGTTGCTGTATATCATATTTGTCTTTTGTTCATTGTTTGTACATAAATCAGGCCGTTAGTTTTCTCGTTAGAATTGTTTTACATTGGTTATTTTGGGGCCTTTTATAGCTTACTATGCGGTATGGGTTTTGCTCATTGTTGAAGGCCTTACGCTGAGCTATAGTTATTAACTTCTATGTCATTTGGTCTCTAATGGAGAGTTGTCACATTGGCAATCATACCACATCTTATTTTTTTATCATCAAGTTGGGTATTTTTTCAGGAGGGATGCATACAAATTTTACTCCGACTTACCTCCTTTTTTTTCCTTCTTAATGATTCTTTCATTTGGAAATGCACAGGTGATTGTGAATCAATTGAGACAGCTGGATCTACACCTCTGTCTATATCTATTGGCAAATTTGTACCATTTAACTTAAGATTTGACTGTTGATTTAAAATATTTCCAATTCTGACTTGTTGTGAATCAGAGGAATCCTCATTATATATATCTTGAGTTGCTTTACTCTTATCATCTGATGTCATGTTTGACAGACGTTTTGATATTTTTCTGAGACTGACTTCATCAAAAACTACAGACTGCAGATTAGTAGGGTCTAACCGATCCGAATCAAAAGTCTCTTCAACATCTGGATAAAATTCAAATTCTTTTTGCACCTTTCGTTGCTTCTTATCACATTCATCTTTGAACGAAACTGAGTTGTTGAGTTTACCTTTCTTTGAATCTTTTATTTCTTTGTATGATTTTTGTTTATTATTATGACCTTTTGACCTCTTTTTCGGTGCTTTTGTCGCTTCCAATTGGTATGTATTGATCTCATCATTAAACAATGGAAAATCAGGTGACAGCCCTTCCCCATCATGATTAGATTTGTTGTGTCTTTCTTTTTTAGTTGTTTTGTCTATCATACTTTCATCATTAAATATTGTCAAGGGTGTAAGTCCTACATGTTCAGGCAAATTGAGACTTTTCCTTTTCGTCTTTTTACCTATATCATCCTGAAGTTTTGTTTTTGACAATAGTTGTTTTGATTTTGCACTCCCTTTTTTCTGCAGAACTTTACTTGATTTAAAACCTTTCTGTCTGTTGCATTCAGCTTCAAAGTCATAAGGATCAGAACCAGCATCTCCTTTTTCACATGGTAACAAAGTATCTGATTGAGAATAAGACATCAACAACAACAAACTTCTTTTGGAATTCTGGGACTTTTCAGTTATATGATCATCTCGTGGATTTTCAAATCCAAAACAAGAGGAAGAATCTATTTTCTGGACTGTAGTTGTAATGTAGTGTCGACTGTTCTTTGTCTGTGATAATGAATTTGAATGGAAGAATTTTCTATTTTGTGTTATTGCACTATCACTCTTTCTTTTGTTTGGCCCATACTGCTTTGGTTTATCTAGCAAACTGACAGTCTCATCTTTATTTTCAAGAATTTCAAAGGTTGAACACTTGTCTGTTTTGTTTGGAGTATAACTTATAATATTATCAGGAGTTAACTGTAATTGTTTATTAAAACTATCAATATTTGAATTTTGTGTACTTGATATTTCATCTTCAGCATCTGAGATTTTGTAGGCTTCCTTTAATTTCTCCTTGTTTCTTTTTCTAAGTGAATATTTTCCTATTTTGCTCATTCTGTCAGTTCTTGCTTTACCAGATATTGGCACTTTTTTATTGTTTACTGCATCTAGAACTTTTGTTTCCTCCTTAGTATTTTCTATCAAAATGTGACTAGGAACAGTGATATTATCCTTTTCAACATCTATATGTAATTCTTCAGCAACATAAAGCTTTGGTACAGTTGGTCTTTTCTGGCTTTTGTGTTTCTCTTCATTATCACTATTCTCTATGTTTAATTCCAGACTTTCACAGATGTTGTAATCAAATTCCTCATCGTTGCTTGGTTTTCCCTTTGATCTTTTCTTTGCTTTATCTTTAACACTGATACGTTTTGTTTCAGTTTCATTATTTGATGGTAGACCTACTGCTAAACTGTCAGGAATGGTTACTTCTAGCGTTGTGTCATCCACATTTATTCCGCTATCTTCAAAAACAGTAAACTTTGGAAGTTTCTTACAATTGAATTTGTATGATGAATTAGCTTTCAGGTCATTATCAGATTCTTCATCTTTAACTATAAGTTCATGACCAATACTTTTCTTCCTATTCTGTGTTTCCTTCTGACTGTCTTTCTTTTTCTGATTATTTTGTTCCTTTTTTATTGTAGCCTTCTTATCAATATTAAAACCATCATGACTATCTTTACCACTTATTTTCATATTTTTGTTTCCCTTTGGTTCCTTTTCAGTCTTATTTAAACTTTTTGCTTTGGGTTTTTCTTGTTCAACTTTATTTACTATACATGGAACTGCATCATCTTGATCACTGAACTTGAAATCTGGAATTTCCAATTTCTCTATTTGTTTACATTTTTTATTGCTATTACATACTACTTTGTATTTTTCAGGCATTACAAATTCAAATTGTTTTCGAAACTTGTTGTCATCTTCAATCACAAGTTCATAGTCATCACATTCTACAAATTTTTTAAATAAATCATTATTTTTCACTGTTGTGGTACTGTCATGAATTTCTATTTCTTTATGTGCAATATTATCATCATCAAATTCTTGCATTTCTGGAAGGTTAAATGTTGCTTCTTTCATATTTTTGGCTTGCTTTTTAATGTCTGGGTCAGAAAAAGGAAGTTCCTCGTTCCAAGAAGAATGAAGCTGTTCTTCAGCAAAAGAATTCTCAGGAAATGAATTATATTTAGATGTAACACTTGTTTTGCCATCACTAGATTTATCTTGTCTCAATTTCCATGAATTTGTTTCAAGATCTTTATATAATTCTGCCTCTTTTCCAATCAAACTTTTGAATTTTTTATTGTTATTTGAAACATTCTTATTTTTGCTCCCCATAATTTCTTCATAATGCTGGTTATTTTTCTTATCCAGACAATCTTCTAAATCAACACTTACGAAAGTGTTTGTTGCATGCTTGATAGCTTCACTTAGTCCATCTTTTGATTTAGATTTTTTCATCTTTTTATTTAGTTTAGAAGTTGTGTTTGGTTCTTTTTTAGTGCCCTTGGTTTTAGAAGTTACAACTTCTATAACATTTACATCAATATTCTCTTTTCCAGAATTTGAAGAAAAATCACAACTTGATTCATCTCTTCTCATACTGGACACAGTATTTTGTTTATACTTGTCATTCAACAACTCATGCTCATCATTATTTTTCTGTTTTTTCTGGCATTTTCCTTTATTTTTTGTAGATTCTTTATTTGGTTCTGGAAAAGATTCTTGGACTTGAATGTTATCATTAAAGTCAAAATTACTTTCTGTATCATCAATATCAAGGTTTAAAGCAATAGCCTTTGGTGATACAAGATCATATCCATTTTCTTTAGTAAAGGTATTTTCTGTAATTTTGTGTTTTCCTTTTTTTGTTTCAGAGAGATTATCAGTCATTTTAAACTTCATTTGCATTTCAGCAGGTCTACATTTTCCATTTATTTCATTTTTTTCATCCTGTCCTAAAGATATATTTGTATCTATATTGGACAACTTCTTTTCACAATGTTCACGTTTAAGCATTTTCTCTTTATCATTATTTGTCTGTATGTTCGGACTTTCTTCTTTTTTGAGAACAGTATTTTTTGTTTTATTTTTAGTGGATCTTTTCTGTGCTTTATGAAAAGATTCTAGAATTTTGAAATGATCAGTATCATCTTTATAAAATTCTTCATTATTGATAACCTGGTTAACGGTGTCATACTCTTGTGAAAGCAGATTACACTCTTCATCTTTTGTGTTAGGGGTTTCTGAAGTGATACTTCTTCCTATCTTTTCTGGTTTAGATACAAAAAGATTGAAACCCTGTTTCAATTTCTTTTGCGTTTCCTTTTTGATATGATGACTATTAATATGTTCATCAGAATTGAAACTAGTTACTTCTTCATGTTTTGTGTGTATTTCAACTACTTCCTTTAAGGAGAATGGATACTGAAAAGAGAATAATTTACATTAGGTGCATAATGGCGTAAAGTGACAAAATAATATTCTGACTTTTTTCTGCACTGTTAATCAATGATATATAGAACATAATGTGTAATTAACATCAGTATCCTTAATTTAAAGTCATTTAAAATAAATGGTGAATGTGTCCATGGGACACAGATGATGCCCCCCTAGCATATCATATAAAGTTATAAAGGGAAATAACTGAAGAACGGTTGAAGTGACGCTACCCAAATTTGTACTTGATCTGAGTTTTGTGGTAATAAGCATTGGGTATAAGTTTCATAACATTTGGTTGAGGCAAACTTAAGTTAGAGAACGGAAACCAAAAATAATTTAGCAATTTTTCCATTTGTAAAGGGGCAAAACTCTAGAACAGTAAAAGTGACACCACCCAAATTCAAACTTGATCTGTATTTGGTGGAAATAAGCCATGTGTATAAGTTTCATTACATTTGGTTGAGGCAAACTTACGTTAGAGAACAGAAACAAAAAATTCAGCAATTTTTCCATTTGTAAAGGGGCATAACTCTAGAACGATTAAAGTGATGCCACCAAAATTCAAACTTGATCTGTGCTTTGTGGTAATAAGCATTATGTATAAGTTTCATTACATTTGGTTTAGGCAAACTAAATTTAGAGAACGGAAACCAACTTTGGGACGTACGGACGGACGGACAAGGGTAAAACTTAATGCCACCTCCTCTACGGCATGGGCATAAAAAAGAGTTAATTCAAATAGTATGCAAAAAGGCTCAAGTCAGGAGCCTGTAGTTCAGAGGTTATTGTTGGTTAATGTCTTGTCATATTCGTTTTTCGTATAAAATTGTTTTGTTATAAATTAGGCTGTTAGCTTTCTCAATTGAATTGTTTCATATGTTAGGGTTAGGGCTGACTATACGGTATGGGTTTTTCTCATTGCTGAAGCCCGTACAGTTGCCTATAATTGCTTACATCCACTTTATTTGAACTTTAGTGAATAGTTGTGTCATTGGCAATTATACCACATCTCCTTATTTTTATATCAACTATCTCAAATGTAACATAGTACATTTTTCATTCATTAGAAATGCTTAAATTCAATTTTCCACTACCTCGGAAATGAAATAAAAATTGTTGGAAAAGCAAGGCTTCCAAAATCCAAACTCAATCACCTGGATATCCTCCATTACATTTCCTGTACAATAGATATGTGATCAAGTACTTTATTATTTCTCTATTCATAAGAACTTTTCTGCACCCCATATAAAAATAAGAGCAAGTATTACTGTGACTTGACTATAGGTGTTGCTGTTAACCTTTACCTATTGTTCAACCAGATTTAGAAATTGACAATACAATTGGGACATTTAAATTGACCAGTTGGTATTGTTAAGAGTTGAGTCTACCTTGATGCTACCTGTACTGTTTTTATTCACCTAAACAACCTTACAGCATGCTTTTTTCCTGAAGTTTTTCTTCACCTAGGGTTATTCTATTATTAAATTTAATAGGGAAGAAAATATCATTTGTTTTCAATGTTTCAAATCCCCATATTAGATGATTCATCTAATTTTGACCCCAAAAATCTTAATCAGTGAAAGATTTTCTTACTGCAAGTTAACATGTACGTAAAGTATAACTGGTTTTACATAATAAATGAATCTTTAAATTTTTTACCCTTATACAAAGTATTGTCCAGTTGTCAGTGAAACAAGAAATAGCTATTCATGTGTTTTCAGTTTCAGTTTATCTTTGATATAATTCAGATGGATATGTTATGCATTTCTTCATATATCCCTTCAAACTTATAATTTTAGTATTATTCGCAGTGTTTGATATCTATTGGAAATTGGAATCAATGTGCATAAAATATTGGGATATTTTTTATTTGAATTCACTTCTTAGTTGCCATTTAGATTTTGCTTCTTAAAATGTGACTTGTTTTTTTCAAGAATGGATTGTCATGAATGTATCAAGGAGGAAATAATTTATTCAAAATGTTTTGTGTGGCTTTCACATGATGATATACATGTAAAATTGGAAATAATTTTGGAGTATACCTTGAAGTGTTTTTCATTGAAATCTATTCGGATTTTTGTGCATAAAAATAATATGTCCAATCAAGGGAATTCACTTTATATAAAATAGGATTTAGTTAATCTAAAAGGTAAAAAAATATTCAAAACTGAAATGCAATCATTCCATACACCAATATAGTTGACCTATTGCTTATAGTTTCTTAGAAACAAACTTAAGCAGGAAAACTTAACATTGACCAATGAACCATGAAAATGAGGTCAAGGTCAGATGAACCATGTTAGACAGACATGTACACCTTAAATCAATCTATGCATTAAATATAGTTGACATATTGCTTATAGTATCTAAGAAACAAACATAACCATGAAAACTTAACATTGAACAATGAACCATGATAAACTGTTAACACAGAGATATGTCTCGCCTATTTGTTATTTTGATAATGCAAATGTTGAAATTAAAATTACAATACTTTAACATGTAAGTTATGCAAATATTCAAAGTCAATGAACCATGACTGAATGTACAGGGCTAAACAGTCTCCATGGAAATGAGATGTGCCAATGCTAATACAACTGCAAACCAAATACCATTGACTTTTCATAAGTCGTTCCCTTTAAACAAACCTAAACACAAACATTAACTTGTAAACTATGTAAAAGTTTCAAAGTCAATGAACCATAATTAGGGGGTGGGGTTATATAATCTCCATGGAAATGAAACTTGCAAATGCATTGCATACCGAATATCATTGACTTAACATTAGTGGTTCATCTTAAAATGACCTAATCACAAACTAATACATGTAAACTAATCAAAAGTTTCAAAGTCAATAGACCATGACTGAGAAGTAAGGACCAAATATTCTCCATGGAAATAAGATGTGCCAATGCTTATACAACTGCATACCAAATATCATTGACCTACCACTAGTGGTTCCCCATAAACTGACCTAATCACAAACTAATACATGTAAACTAAGCAAAGTTTCAAAGTCAATAGACCTTGACTGAGGGGGCGGGGCCAAATAATCTCCATGGAAATGAGATATGCCAATGCTAATACAACTGCATACCAAATATCATTGACCTACCACTAGTGGTTCACCATGAACTAGACCTAATCACAAACTAATACATTGTTGAAGTCGCCGCCAACAGCATACCTGTGTCTTGCTTTTTGACTCCATCAAGGCGAGACAAAAATGAGGTCAAGGTCAGATGATACCTGACAGACAGACATATACATCTTACAATCATTCCATACACCAAATATAGTAGACCTATTGCTTATAGTATCCGAGATATGGACTTGCCCGTGAAAACTTTACCTTGTTCACTGATCCATGAAATGAGGTAGAGGTCAGATGAAAACTGTCCGACAGGCACGAGGACCTTGCAAGGTACGCACATACTAAATATAGTTATCCTATTACTCATAATAAGAGAGAAATTAACATTACAAAAAATTTTAACTTTTTTTTTTCAAGTAGTCACTGAAACATGAAAATGAGATCAAGGACAATGGACATATGACAGACAGAAACTTCATAACATAAGGCATCTATATACAAAGTATGAAGCATCCAGGTCTTTCACCTTCTAAAATATAAAGCTTTTAAGTAGTTAGTTAATGCCAACGCCGCCGTATCACTTTCCCTATGTCGAGCATTCTGTCATAATGTTATTTGACAAAGATAAAAATTGAAGCCTGAATAACTTTTGAAAGACCTTTCCCAGTTACACCCAGGTAGACTCTAAATGCTTGAGTGATCACCTATTCATCAACTCTAACAATATCAACTGGTCAATTTAAATGTCCCTATTGTATTGTCAATTTTACAATCTGGTTGAACAATAGGTAAAGGTAAACAGCAACACCTATAGTCAAGTCACAGTAATAGGAGTAAGTTTCTTGTTTATGGGACCGCAACTCCATCGAGTTAACCTTAACCAACAACTTTAATGTTGATGTTGAACAGACTAACAGACTGACAGGTGCTCAAACCAGAAAACAAAATGCTATCCTATTATCGTAGGCAGGGTAAAATTAAGTACTTGGGTTTTTTTTTATATATGTATATTTATATATATATATACAAAAAATCTATTACACTAAAAAAACTCTCAAATACCTTTTCTTCATCTTTTTCTTCTACTGACTGAATAGACATTACTATCCTGGCCTCAACACTACAGTAAGTAAGTAATTATGTTATTACACAAATTCTTTATAAAATCCACAATAAAATGAATATGATCTCTCTTGAAATGAAAACTTTCTTTGGCAAATATTTCATGCATATTCAGGATGAATACTTCTAATAAATAGGTTTTAGGGGTACTGTGTATAATCATGTCACTGAAACCAGCATTTGAAAAGATAAAATTTGGGGTTAAATCCTCCTTAAAAATCACTCATAAAAATTCATTTTACATATAAAAACAAGTCCCTCAAATTCATTTAAAACAGACAATGGCCCTCCAATTAATGCATGTTCAGCTTCAACCTTATTTCATACTTTTAAGTTTATAAACGGGTAGTGATGGAAATAAGATTGAAGCTATCTCTTTCTTCAGTTGATAGAGTAACTTTTACTATATTGTAGTATAAAAATTTATTGATTCTTTGTTGGAAAAGTAATATGAGCAAATGAATCTAGTAAGACTTTTTCAGCATGGAAATAGCTGAGTATATTCAAACTAAGCAAAAAATTTTGAAAAGGTGTAGTGTATATTTAAATTTCAAATTAAAGATTTCTAATTAAATGTACAGTAAAATTCAGTCTATCAAGAAACACACTAGTATAGTACAAACATCATGTTTTACTTACTCCTGAGACTCCTCTAAGCGAACAGATTTCCCATCTTCCATAGGACAAGAATCTGGAATACTTTCAACATCAACATTGGAGGACAGAATAGGAACTTCTGAAATTGATCATAGATTGTTATACATTAAAAACATATGATACAATATAACAAAGTTCCAAAGTCTGCAAAAATAGTAAAAAAATCCTCAAATGATTCCATATCAAGTGCACATCTTCAATAAATGTGCAGTCTTTCTGTAAAGTTTCAAGAATCTGGGTTAAAAACAACAGGAGGAGTTGAATACACAAAATTGGTATTGTCTTTTGTAAATTTTGTAGTTCCCAAGTCTGAAAAAATCCCTCAAACAATTGCATAATTGCAGGAGCACAATTTCAATTTGTTTGCAATATTTTTGTGATGTTTCAGGGATCTGGGTTGAAAACTTGTTGATTGCACAAAATTGATACTCATATTTCCATGCCCACCAAACATCACCTTACTATAACCAAGGTTTGCACTTGTGCAAATTGACCAGTGAGCTTTAAATGATGGTTGTGTAATTAGAAATTCATCTTAATTTCACATCTGATTTAAGTTCATCTGATGTCAATTGCATTTCTATATTTCAAATTAAAGAGAAACAAATTATTGCATTCTTATTTTCAAGAATATTTTCTTATTCATAGTTTATTTACACTTTGCATTAAAAGGGTGCTCTTTGAACCTGTATTAAATTCCCATTGTACCTGGAAGAGAAGCTTTTCTGTTATTTGATGCTAGAGTTTTGTCATCTTTCAACCCAACATTCATTCTTTTATTAACATCTGTTAATGATATTGTTGGTGTTTTCTTTCTCGACTTTGATGGAGGTGTAACAGTTACTACTGGCGTCTTTACTTTTGGCTTTGGTTTGGTTACAGGAACTGTAGGAGTCTGGAATACTAGATTATATATACATGTAGCAATAAAAGAAATATCAAAATGATCCATGACTGTAAAAGAACATCCACAGTTTTCCCTAAAAGTTTGAGTTCAACAACTGTAAATTCAGAAATTATTGTGTGCATAAATTATTGCATTTTTGAATAATGGACAAAAATGCGAGATTAATTATTGCAATTAAAGGAAAATCTCCAAACAGATAATTTCCGAATTTACAGTATAGATATGTTTTTAGCAAAAAGGTGAAACAAATTCAACATTCATTAGTATCAACCACTTACTTTTTTCGACATACTTTTCTTTGGTTCTATAGAGGATCACTTTTTTTCTTATATAATCCTTTTTTTTTCCTCAAAAACACACTGTGATAAACACTTTTCTAAAAGCTTTTTTAAGATTAATATTCTAGATAAAACCACATATCAAATTTGAAAAAAAATCAACAACATCAGAATGAAATATTTTTTTATTGTCACTTAATGTTAGCATTCATTTTTTGGGGGTTGTCACTTAATGCAAGTGTAAAATCTTGATAAAAAATAAATAAGGCATGTTTTTGCCTGTTGTATCCAAATATAGGCAGAGATCGAATCGTTATATGTTTGGATACAGGAACCCCCAAATATCACTAACCCGAATAATTCAGTCCCTCCCCGTGATCGACTCTCCCACTCGCGAGGGCCTGAATTCTTTATACAATAAAAACGTGTCACGAATCCAGGATTTTGATTGGTGCTCTCTGTGAGAGAGAGCCAATCAGCTAATAGCTCAATGTTATCGAGATGGGTAAATCCCGAGCTAATTCCGAATGATTATTTGATGATTTTTTATTGACAAGGCCTTCAGGCGTTAATGTAGCCATCGTAGAGAAGTGGAATATAACGACTGAATTATTCGGGTTAAAATATCACTCGATTAAAAAATAAGGATAGCCGGTGCACAACTGAATGCCCTGTAGAAGAATCTGTGCAGTTTGGTTGACTTTTTTTCAAGCTATTTTTATGGAGTAGCGGATTAAGAAACTAAAATAAGCAGAAATGAATAGTCCATGTTTTGGTATTGGAAACCTCAAAAATTAGATAAAACAAGTGAAACTGTGAGCTACTGCTCACTGATGATACCCCCGCCCAAATATTTCGGTAAACAGGAAGTTGTTGAGTGATCAATCTGAAAACGCATCACACGGTATAGCTGACTCATATAAACCCAGAAACCAAATTTCAGAAATCCTTGTAATGTAGTTCCTGTGAAAAATGCGACGAAAATATTCATGGGACGGACGGACGGACAGACAGAGGTAAAACAGTATACCCCCACTTTTTTTAAAGCGGGGGTATAAAAATAAATAGCAGGTGTACAACTTCATGTCCTGAAGAAGAATCAATGAAAGTTTGGTTGAATTCTATGAAGCTGTGTCAAGGAGTTGCAGATAGCTAAGTGCAACAATGACAATGACAGCAGAAGAGATTCCTATGTGTGGCCCAAGCTGAATCCTAACAGGCAACTTGATGATGCAAGATATTCCTATGTGTTTCCCCACCTAAATGCTGTCAGGTGACCCAGCACTTATTTTCGAATTTGTCTGAGACATTACTGATATATTCCTTTGATATGAATTTCATTAAAAATATGATAATTGTATGCGAGTGAGTATTTACAAAACTGCAGGGAAAGAAGTGTTGCAGAAAGGGCAATAACATTGAAACTGCAAAGATGAACAACTATATTTTGATAAAGTAAATAAAAAGAAGGAAAGAATACACTTAATGTAACTACAAATTACTGAATATACATTAAAATGCTTATGGTTTTATGAAACAGGTACGAAAAGGGAAACTCTCCCTTGTCGATTGCTGTTTCTGCCTCTCCTTTCTATTAACTGTACGTACGCCTGTTGTAAACTTTAAATCTAATGTTGAGAATGACAATGCAGCGACAATCTAACATTGATATACCCTTTAGGAATAAAACCACTAGTTCATAGCCCCATTGCTTTCTATGTTAAATTCTGCAATTTCAAGCATTAATGGCTTCTTTGTCTTAAGTTCAAGTAAAGTTGCAGTTATTTCACGTCAAAACTATACCTTATCCTGACTTGTGATGAAAAATTCAACATAACTTTAATTGCATATTAGAGCGCACTGGTTCCCAGAAGTTTGGTAGCACAAAAACAGGTACTTCCGATCTGAACAACAGGGCAAATGTGCCCTCCCATTATGATTTCATATATTTTTTTATTAATTGAAATAAACTTTCAACAAGGGTCCTACAGTGATCCCAAGTTCTTAAGCTTTCATTTGATACCAAATATTTTTCTAATAGACAAAGTTACAGCTATGTGTAGGAACTATTTTGTTTAAAATATGTACTACTTTCTTGTATGTTCTTTCTGACCGGGCCCGAACTAGTGGTTCTATACCTTTATGAAATCTGATGCATAAAAATTCATAAAAAGGAAATCTGTATGTACCTTTCTCTTCTTTAGATTTGCTGGTATTTGCTGATCCTTGTTTCAGTGGAGTTTTAGAAAAGTTGATTCTTATGGCAGATACAGGTTCTGATATTTTAGAAGAAATTGAACATGCAGGAGAAAGTAACACAGGCATATAAACATCAGGAACAGATACTTTTCTTCTATAAACTAACGATACTGGTGTACAAGGTATTTCTTCATCTTGCAATTCCTGTAAAGAAAGAATGTAATTAAAACAGATCATCAATTAAAGTCCCATTACTATTCCTTTTGGATATAAGAAACTATAATGTCTTCAAGTTCATACTTATTGTCAATAAAAACTTATGATAGACTGAAAGGAGTAGAGCCAGGAACCCCCAAAAAACGGCCCTGTAAAGGTGTTTTTTTCTTAAACTTCAATTATTAGACTAAAAGTTATGTGTATGTGTTGTTAAATGTATTCTTTGAAAGTATGAAAAGAAAAATTGTATATTTGGTTCATATCTGTAAATATTATTAGCCTGAAATAGGAATATATTTCATTTTCGTCAGTTTTTCTAGATACTTGTTAATTTTGTCAACCTTTTTTTCATTATTTTATATGTGGTGCCACCCCTCGCCTATTTAATTTTTTGTTGAGAAGTAAAGAATATATCAGCAAAATTATTTGTGGGCCACTGTAAATTTTTCAGAAAACTGTCATAAATTTTGCATAATTCTGCAAAAAATCTGCTTTTTACGAAATTCATCTACATTTATGACGTCACAAATGATGCAATTGGTGAAAATTGGTTTTAGCTGAAACAATTAGACATTTTAAGATATGTTTTCATCAAAATTTAAACACATTATCACCGTAAAATTTTTTAAGATGTTTAGGGCCAAAATTACGAGTTAGTGAACCAACTCCTTTCTATCAATTGATCCACTGAAATAACCCAAGATTCTTTTTAGAGTCTCATCATCATAACATGTGTGTAACTTCTAATGACCAATAAAAACTGAAAGTGATCTAAATCACTAGTGAAAAGATTGAAAGGATTTTGTGCATAATTTCAAATCATATTTACATCTACCATTGAGGTATGGTGAACAAAAAATGACTCATGGGAACACAACTTTTAGTTCACTGACAAGGTCTTATCATGGTAATTTGAATACATGTTATAGGTGTGGCAATCTTGACAGTTTTTTGAGATGTTTAATAATTTAAAATAACCCTTTGTTTTTGATTGTGATTGCTGGTGTCAGTATTAATGTGCAATTTTGATTAACAAAACCTATGTCCAATTATCAGTAAAGTGTAAGAGATAAATTTGTCCTGGTAAAATATGTCCGGGCGGACACATATTACTAGTATAAAAAGTCCATGGTTATAGAATTTACTAGTATTTTTAGTCCGATGTTAGTAGTGTATGTCCCCAGACAAATTTTCCTAGGAATTCAAGTCCATGTCATTAATATTCCTAGGTAAAAACGTCCATGTCCTTTTTTTTTATAGGAAAAATATTAATGAATCAAATCATTTACATATAAACGATATTGGAATTTAAATATTAAGTTTTAATATTGTTTAAGAGTTGTGCATTTATATTTTTAATAAAATTCATGTCCCCAGACTAATTTTCCTAGGAAATCCATGTCCATGTCATTAATATTCCTAGGTAAAAATGTCCATGCCATGTATTTTAAAAGGAAAATTTTAATGAAACAAATTATTTACATGTTAACAATGGAAATTCAATTTTTATGTTTTAATATTGTTTTAGAGTTGTGTATTAATATTTTAATAAAATTTATGTCCCCAGACTAATTTTCCTAGGACATCATGTCCATGTCATAAATATGCCTAGGTTATAACGTTCGGCCATGTCCTTTATTTTAATAGGAAAAATTAATGAAACTTTCCAATCTTAACTAAGAAAATATGTTGTTTTTTTTTATTTTCAATAATTTTTAAAATATAATAAAAATTACTAGAAAAACAAGTCTTAGGACAATTTTTCCTAGGAAAATAAGTGCCAGACATATTTTACTAGCTATGGACTTATTTTCCTAGGAAAATTTGTCCTGGGACTTAAATTCCTAGTAAAATAATGGTCATGGACTTGATTAACTAGGAAAAAAAGTCTGGCGGACAAATTTTTCTACCGGACCAAATTTACTGTTACAAAAGTACAGAAATTTTAATTCAAAAAGTTCAAAATTTTTCTTCTGCTGTTATTTCTTGATCATGAGGTTGCTCTTGTCCATGTTTGGTAACATTCTATGACAGTCTTTCAAAGTTATTGAGGTCTAAAAAACTTAAACCTCAGACTGTAAGTAAATGTATAAACTGTAAAAGTCCATCAGTAAATAAAAATATTAAAGGATGAAAAAACACTATGTTCAAAATCTTGCTCTGAAATCAGTTTTTTCTAAATCATGAGTAAACTGTAATCCTAGTTTTGTAAAACTCCATGAAAATTAGACAAAGTCATTGCTGTATAAAAAATCTTTAACAACAGACTAAACTTTAATGTTGACGATGCTGACAACAAAAAGTAGGAATACTATGTTTCCCCTTAAACAATAATCAATAGGGATTTTCCTCTCCTTATATTTTACCATATATTCAAAGTTTGGTTCCAATCCGATGCAAGATCCTGGAGTTTAAAATTATAAAACCTCTTTTCTTCCCTTGTTTTGTTTGTTTATCATTAGACACTAGATACCATAACATACTGATATCTGAATAAATATGGATCTTCATTTCATTATATGCATATCATATCATTTCGGCCAAATAATGTCCATGCAAATGAGAGGTAACAGTGCTAATGCAACTGCATACCAAATATTGTTGACTTATCACAAGTGGTTCCCCTCAAACTGACCCAATCAAAAAGCATAAAGACTTGAAGGAAAGGGCAAAACAATCTTTTGATAATGAGATGAACCAATGATTAAACAAGTGCATACCAAAAATTATATACCTACCATTGTTAGTTACCCTTAAATTGACCTAATCCCAATCTTCAATATGTAAATTTGAAAAAAAAGTATCAGTCAACGGACATTAAGTAAGGGGGAGGGGCAAAATAATCTCCATGAAATAGAGATGTGCTTTACTAATACTAGTACATACCAAACATCATTCATTTAGTATTAGTGGTTCCTTTAAAACTGATCTAATCACATACTTATATCATTCATCAGGGGCGGATCCAGGATTTTGGAAAGGGGGGGCGAATTGATTTAATTTTTTGGACCTTTTTTTGGCTAAAAAACATAAAATAAGTGTAAAATGCACTTTTAAACGGTTCCTGACGTGGGGCATGTATATTTTATACTAGTAGTTAAAGGTTGGACATTTTTGATGCCGTATTCTCCCCATTAATTGTCTATTATAAAATGATTGGATCCAAACGGCTATGTACTAATATATTTGATGTGGGACTTGTCAGTAAAAAATGGACATGGAAAATACTCGTTTGTTGTATGTTTAGTTAGCATAACTTCACAGATTTCTTGTTGTAAACAAGATATACGCCAGGCTATTCAAAGACATTTACAATACGACCGACACGAGTTAAGAAAGACAAACAAGCAATTTTTATCCAAATGTTTGGTTGAAATGTTTCACCCAACAAGGGAAGTGAGGGGTTCCAAATCAACCAAAGGCTACGAATGAGTCTGAAATGACAACGATTTTATGAATGACGGTCGACAAGTGGCGACATAAAGGCCACACTCAGCAGGCAGGTTGCAGTCGGGCCTTGAAAAAAGTATTCAAAATATCAGTTCGGCGAAACAGACATTCCTGTCAGATACATGCACACCCCCGGCCCCAAAAACACTACGCCCGTTTTTTATTCATCATGTTCATTTAATGCTAAATAATTCTGTTGGAAATTTTTGTTTCTAATAGCAAAACAGTGGACAAGATTATTGTTTTAAATCTTGATACGACCAGAAGTTTTGTTTAAGGCAAAAATCAGGGTCAGAATTTTTTCTCTCAAATATCTCAGACTGTCCCCTCAAATCAAATGGTCCGTACCTTAGACTTTAAATCTATCTAGAGCTTACTGACTGAGGATCATTATTCAGCTATGTTATTAATAAGCTGGGGCGTGTGGGGTTAAACATGTTTTCGAAGGTAAATAATACTGCTGTGGACATTTTTTTGCATGATAGTGTAATAGAGTATAACTTTCTGTTTGGTTGAATTGTGAAATAGAAGTCAATGCGTTCTTGCTCAATCCTTTGTCGCTTTGAAGGTGTCATGCTTATCATCCTCAGCCTAAGCAATGTGTTACTGAAATTTGAATTTCAAAATGACTGAGTGACGTTTTTTTCGACGCACTGGTCAACTCCACCGTAGTGAATCACATGACTTTGACATAATCAGTAATATATTACAGTAAATACGAGCGAAAAATATCTTTATAAGTAAAGAATCGTCGCATAAAAATGAAATACACGGGAAATGGCAAAGTTCACGAAGTCTAGTCTGATTAATCATTTTACAAAAAAAAAAAGTGCAAGCAAAGGGGGGGCGTACGCCCTCTACGCCCCCCTCTGGATCCGCCACTGTTCATTGATGTTGCAGACAACAGAAACTAGAGGCTCTAATAAAAGAGCCTGTGTCGCTCACCTAGGTCTATGTGCATCTTCAACAATGGATACTCTCCATCTTTGTGGACTTGAATAGAATTCATGACATAATTCTCTCCTTTGTTGATCTAGTATTCCTCATCATTTTTTCTTATTTAAGTTTCTATCTATCTAATGCAGTTTTTCAGATAGTAGGCAACAACGCAAAAAAATGATAAAAATCGTTATTAAAGAGAATAACTCCAATAAGGGGCCATCAGACAATTTCAACCAATTTGACTTATTTGTAGAACTTATCTTGCTGATAATTTTTGCTATATAAAATTTCTCTCTTTCTATTATAATTTTCAAGATAATAGGCAAAAATTTAAAAAGTTTGTAAAATTTGCCATTTAAGGGCAATAACTCCTATAAAAAGTAGTCTGACAGTTTGGCAGTATGTGGACAACAGGTAGATCTCATCATTCCAAACATTTTTGCTCATGTCAGATTTTCTCTATTTATAGTGGTTTTCAAGATAATAGACAAAACTTGCATTTTACCCTTATGTTCTATTTTTAGCCATGTCGGCCATCTTGGTTGGCAGGCAGGGTCATTGGACACATTTTTTAAACTAGATACCCCAATGATTATATTGGGCATGTTTGATTAAATTTGGATCAGTAGTTTCAGAGCTGAGGCAAACAGCTGGAACAATCATTTGCATTAATAGGTGAACAGAGATGGTGGAATACTCTCATGCTACCCTCATTTCTGGCAGGATAAAATAAAAATTATAATTGAAAGAACTTACATTGATTAATAAACTGTTGATACAGACATAAAAACTTGCCTGCATGCAATTTTGATAGTACATGTTTTAATTTGCATTTTAATTAGGCCAAAAAAAAATATATGTCTGTTTAAGGTTACATACTTTAAAAAAATAGGGTAGGTAGGTCGGTATTTTCATTTTATTTTATTTTTTCATTTTTTTTTTTGTGACATGATTTTGAGTCATGCCGTTTCAACTTGTTGTGGTCCGAGTTGATCATGGGCCGAGTTTACCCGTATTTTTGATGATGGGATTATTTCCCTCGGAAAAAAATGGCGGCAAAGTGTTTATTTCATCACACGAGTTGTGAATTTCCTTAAAACAGCTGTCATATTCACAATTGTGAACATTGGGATGTATCAGGCAATTGATTTATATCATTTGCAACACTAACTTCGCTTTTGACACGAGTTCAGTTTATTTTTCACTTTACGACGGAAATAAAATGACTTAGGGTTGGCGCTCAAAAGTAGGGTAGGTAACCGTAAACAGACATATATTTTTGTTTGGCCTTAAAGAGAAATTATGGTGGACAGTCAGAGCTCAGACATAAATAAGTCTAAATCTGCTTTTGACTCGGAGGTCTAAATTTGTAGGTTTCAAGATTTGTCTCCCTTTAATTTAAGACAAATTATGACTTCAATAAGTCAGTTAGTGTTAAGCAAGAAATATTTAACCTGAATTAAAAAGTTGCAAATATTGACTCCTACAAGTCGATAAGTTTCCCAAATTGGTCAACTTCAAGACCCAAGCACATTTATAAAAAGGTCAAGCATCTACATGAAATTATGACAACATTGAAAGACAATGCTTTGTCTTCTTAAGAAAAATATGCATGAGAGCCTAAAAGAACGGAGATAATATTTATTTACTTTACAATGTAACCATCTATAATCACACAAAATGAGGAAAATAACCTATATGTTAAGTAAAAATGTTTAATTAGATAATTAAATATAGATAGCTCAGGTTCTTGTGAACTCTCAGACAGGTTTATGATGTCATAGGTGGGGCACTTTGGCCAACAATTAAAATTAAGTCTTTTCATAAACATAAATAGACCTAAACAAGTCTGTCATTTTCTGACTTAAATAAGTCTGAAAATGAAAACACATTTTTATAGTAAATACATTTTTTGACTTCTGTAGGTCAAAAACAAATAAAATGCTTCGCTGAGTGCAGCCAGATACGACCGCAGAGGTCTAACCCTGAACAGTTGGGGCAAGTTTGGACACAATATTCAAGCTTGATACTGTCTGAATTTGGATTGTGATCAAATTTTTGACATAATACAAGTTTCTGACACAAAATAAAAGTGGTCAAAGATCTTAAAAATTTGAAATGGGACATTTCATTTATCTAGAATGGTCTGATATCCAAAATCTATTAACATGGTTAGATTCAGCATTTAAAAAAAACAACAAAAATTTAATATTAGTTGAAATCAAACAAAGTTTAATTTTAGACCCTTCAAACCTTAATATCAACTAATTTGAAAACAGGGCACAAATAAAAAATCTAAATGCACAATAAGATTCAGCATATCATACAGCCGCAATAATTCAGTTTTTGATGAAATCAAACTAAGATTAATTTTGGACCCTTTTGACCTCAATGTAGACCAATTTAAAAATGGGGCCCAATATCCAAAAAATAAATACAAGGTTAGAACCCCCAAAAATTAAAGACTTTAAATTAATCCCATTGAAATTGGTTAAAAGATTTGTATTTATTTTCAATAGAAGATTTCTTGCTATTGCGCAATAATACTGTGTTGTTGCGCAATACTGGCCAATTGAAGATTTCTTGCTATTGCGCAATAATACTGTGTTGTTGCGCAATACTGGCCAATTGAAGATTTCTTGCTATTGCCCAATACTGTATAATTGAAGATTTCTTGCTATTGCGCAATAGATTTCTTGCTATTGCACAATACTATGTTGTTGTGCAATACTATGCTATTGCGCAATACTGTGCAATTGAAGATTTCTTGCTATTGCCCAATACTGTGCAATTGGATATTTCTTGCTATTGCGCAATACTGTGCAATTGAAGATTTCTTGCTATTGCCCAATACAGTGCAATTGAAGATTTCTTGCTATTGCTCAATACTGTGCAATTGAAGATTTCTTACTATTGCGCAATACTGTGCAATTGAAGATTTCTTGCTATTGCACAATACTGTGCAATTGAAGATTTCTTGCTATTGCCCAATACTGTGCAATTGAAGATTTTTTGCTATTGCTCAATACTGTGCTATTGTGCAATACTGTGCTATTGCGCATTACTGTGCAATTGAAGATTTCTTACTATTGCGCAATACTGTGCAATTGAAAATTTCTTGCTATTGCCCAATACTGTGCTATTGCGCAATACTGTGCAATTAAAGATTTCTTACTATTGCGCAATACTGTGCAATTGAAGATTTCTTGCTATTGCACAATACTGTGCAATTGAAGATTTCTTGCTATTGCCCAATACTGTGCAATTGAAGATTTTTTGCTATTGCTCAATACTGTGCTATTGTGCAATACTGTGCTATTGCGCATTACTGTGCAATTGAAGATTTCTTACTATTGCGCAATACTGTGCAATTGAAAATTTCTTGCTATTGCCCAATACTGTGCTATTGCGCAATACTGTGCAATTAAAGATTTCTTGCTATTGCGCAATACTGTGCAATCATTTGAAATTTCAAAAATTTTGAAGAAAAAAATATGAACCCCCAAAAAAATTGGAAGAAAAAAATCCACCCCAAACATTTGAACCCCTTCCCCCTTGGAGTAATTACCCCCAAATTAATCCCAGCCTTCCCTTTGTGGTATGGAACCTTGTAGTACAATTTTAGAGAGATCGATACACTTAAACACAATTTACTGTCTGGAAACTAGAAAAATGCTTGTTTTTGGCCCCTTTTTTGCCCCTAATTCCTGAACCGTTGGGGCAATTTCCCCCAAACTCAATCCCAGCCTTCCCTTTGTGATATGAAACCTTGTGGTACAATTTCTGAGAGATCTATACACTAACACACAAGTTATTGTCCGGAAACTACAAAATTGCTTGTTTTTGGCCCCTAATTCCTAAACTGTTGGTACCATAACCCCCAAAATCAATCCCAACCTTCCTTTTGTGGTATTGAACCTTCTGGTAAAATTTCTTAGAGATCCATTCACTTAAACTATTAAAGTTATTGTCCGGAAACCACATATGTCTTCGGACGACGACGACGACACCATAGCATTATATGACACAAACATTTTTTTTGCCGTCGTATAAAAACGACTTGTTTATGTCTGAGCTCTGACTGGTGGAGAGTAATCTCATTGGCAATCATACCACATATTCTTACTTTTATATTATATCTACCATTTATAACTATCTCTTAAAAAGTACCTGACTACTTTCTTCTTTATGAATAGCAAGTGGTGTAGAAACTGATGAAACTTTCTGTGTAGTCTGAAAAAGTAAATAATTGAGTATGGAACATGTTTTTTATGTACACTAGGCATACCAGTTTATTAGTCTGAATGTTTAAATAAACTTTCAAAATGCATAGCCACCCAGTTCTGTTCATAAAGCTATGAATCAAATTTATTTGCAGTTACCAAGTTTTCATGGTTTAAGAATGAAATAATGACATCCGTTGGATACTCCTATGAAAGCAACCAATTATTTCATATAAACATAAAAGACTAGTTAGTGAATAGATAATATCAACCATTGCAATAATAGTAAATTCTGCTAAAAGTGATTTCACTATTTATGCTTTCATTTATAATCTAAAATCTTGAAGTTAGTTCTATCAAAATAAGGTAACCGAATACATGAAGGAATCTAGTGACTTACAATAATTAACTCAATTATATACAAAGTTTTAGTTTGAGAATCAACACTTTTTTGCAAAATACAAAGCGAAAATTATTTTTAATTAAGTATGCAGATATCTGAACAGGTAGATGTAGCTGAGAGGCAAAATTTTTCTGCTTGATACTTATAATACCATATCATATTCTTTAAACATAACTACCCTATCTGATCCAAATGTTAATTCCAAGGCATTTTCTACACAACAATCAGCATAAAACTGTAATCTAACACTCCGTCCACTCACATCCTGTTGACTAGGATATATATCTGATACCATCTTGGAGAACAAAATGTTCACAACTTTCACTTCCTTTATTTCTAAAAAGAAAATTGCTAAGGACTTCAGGATGAAAGTATAGTTCAGCTATCAAAATTCAACTTCTGTACTTGCATCTTTTATTAAGCTCTGAATATTTAATATTAAGGTTTATTTTAAAAATTAGTAAAAGGTTTCATGGAACTCTGTCTTCCCCTGCCCCTTCTGCTGATAATATGAAAGTCTTATAGTGACTGCCAAACAAATAAGTCCATTTATAAAAAAAATGCAGAAAATGAATTTTAAAAAAATCGAAGTTTTGCTCAGGGTGAAATCACTTTATTATGAAAAACCTGAATAAGTTTCTTGAAATACAATAAATTTTGAAAAAGGTTATTGATGCTTTAAAACCTTTAACCATATACATTTTTTTTAAATGTTGATGAAAAAAAAATAATTAAAAAACATTTTTAATCTCAATTTTTTCTTGATCATTAGGTACTGACCGAGTTTGGGGAAATTCCATTATGGTTTGATAAAGTAATGATGTCTTAAAGAACTTCAACCAGAGACCAAACCTAAATGTTCTCTAAATATAATTGCACATCAAGGACTTTCCTTTTCTTAGAATTATTGAATTATTTTAATATTGTATAAAGGAATCCTGTCACTTATGTTTATGATTAATTAACTTACTTTTGACATTAAATGAATTTACATCATCCTTCCAAACTGTTAATGTCTCCCACATATCTTCATGTGACATCTGAATTGAAATAAATCAATAATAAATAAAAGATACATGTTTTGTCAGCACTTACTGTGTAAACATGTAAAATCCAGAATGCATTTGTTATAAAAATCCAATTTAGATATGCACAATTTCAAATTCAGATGTTTTGCTGAATTTCAGTCATGGGATAGGAAGATTTGCAGATTATGAAATGTGCGTCCACTTTGGACTATTTATGTAAAACTATTTTTTTACACTTACAATCTGAAATCAACTATAATTTTATAACTTTTTACATGCACAAACATTGAGGGTTTTGCATGACTTGTCAGCTAAGCATACCAAATCATAATTCAGAATCGGAAAACAGAAAGTTGGTGCCTTGGCACATCCAAAAAGCACTCACAATTTACCACTCATCACTGCCAAGCTGCTGACTAAATATGAATTCATTCTGTTTAGAAGCTTCTGATAAATGTGTGCAGAAATTGTTTTTCTTCAGAAATCCATTCAACATATTGAAAAATTTAAAGTATTGGCAAACAGGAAGTAGGTGTCTGACAAATCTTGAAAGTGCTCACACATCACCATCAAGCTGCTGACTAAATATGAGGTCTTTCTTGTAATGAGTACTTCAAATGTCGCTCACCGTAGGTCTATGTGCATCTTCAACAATGGACACTCCCCCAAAAAGAAGACTAGAATATAATTCATTTATAAAACCTGTTTATTGTTGAAATTGTATTGGTAATAATTTCACTGTTCACATTTTTTTGTATCTTCTTTTTTATTTGCCCAAAACATGAAAAAGGGTCAAAAATCGTCATTTAACGGCAATAACTCCTAATTGATGAAAACTGTCAATTTCAGCTATGCTGACCTATTTGCTGATCATTTTTGCTTTTTTAAAGTATTTATCTATCTATTATAGTTTTCAAAATAACAGGCAAAAATGCAAAAATATTTACAGGCACTAACTCCTAAAAGGATTCTATTTAAGATCACTACAATACTGACTTAAATCAAGATCTTGTCTTGCTGATCCGTTTTGATAGCTTCTATTTATTTTTCAAGATAAAGGCAAAACCACAAAAAATGTTAAAAAATTGTCATTCAAGGGCAAAAACTCCAATAACGAGTCAACTGAAGATTTCAGCCACAATGGCTTATTTGGAGATCTCGTCTTGCTGATCACTTTTTGCTCTTTAAATTTTCTGACATGATGGCTTATTTGTAGATCTTGTCTTGTTGGGCATTTTTGCTATTTAAATTTTCTATCTATTATAGTTTTTAAGATAATTGGCAAAAATGCAAAAAATTGGTAAAAATCGTCATTTAAAGGGAATAACTTCAATATGACTGACAATTTCTACCATGTTTGAATCATATGTAGATCTTGTCTTGCTGATCAATTTGATGTTTAAATTTTTGTCTATGTAGTATTCAAGATAATTGGCAGTGATGAATATTTCAAAACTCATTCAACATATAGAAAAGATAAATATCGGTCAACAGGAAGTAGGTGTCTATCAGATTTAAAGTGTGCTCACACATTACAAGCATCAAATATGAAGTATTCTGTTCAATACAGTTCCTGAGAAAAGAATGATGGAAATGTATGTTGAATAAACAGACAAACAAGGTAAATGTAATATAGCCCCCATTAAAACAATAACACATAGTCTATAATCAGAATGAACATTAAAATTTAGGGAAATAGGAAAATGGTAAAAAACCTTAAACATCTCCATAATGAAAGGTGTACAAACTAAATAGGTATGTAAAGTTTGTGTTAAATTCCAAACACCTGGGTTAAAAAACAAAATTTGGTACCATCCCATGAAAATAAAGTGGAAAATTACTGAGTTGCCAAGTCTGGAAAAATGGAAAAAGTTCATCCAACAATTCCATAACAATGGGATAAGCTATGTTCAATCTATCTGTGAAGTTTCAGGATCAGGGCTGAAAAATTTATGAGGAATTATTTTCAACATGTACAGACTATCTCTGAATTTTCTGGAATCTTTGTTGAAAACTGTTGAAGTTGATTAAACAAGACTGGTACAGTGTTTTGTGAATTTTGTTGAAAAAAAAGTTCCCTGAATCCCTGAATCTGGGAGAATAGAAAACAAATCTTTAAAAAATTCCATTTGCCAGACATCACTATTCTATAGCCAAACCAGGCCAATAACCATATAAACAATGTAGAGTAAAATGTAATGATTTATCAGATATTTAAGTGAACTCATCAAAATTACTTTTACTTAAAAAAAAATTCTTTTTCAACATTGCCTGAACTTGTTCTAAAATATTTCTTACCTCTGAACTATTGTAAGATCCACAGAAGATAGTAAGTCTCTCACTGCCAGCATTTAAGTCTACCCAGAAGGTATCATAATTTGGATCATCAGGCTTGTGCAACTACAACAATACAATTTGTTCATAAAATCAAATTAGCAATGTATAATTTATGTATGAAGATGACAACATGTACATGATCAATTGATTGGCAGAGACATTGCTGCAATCCCTAATGTATATACACAGCATGTACATTATTTATAAAACAGATTACCTGCACATCAGTAAAAAAACGTGGTCTACACTTTACCCAGATAATGCTGGCATAAGCCTTTGATATAAATTTCATTAAAAATTCAACAAGAAATATAGGTGTGTGAGTGCTTACAATGAAATGTTCAATATAAATTAAATTTCAAAGAGACACAACTCCTGCAAAAATAATTGATCAGTGCTGATTTTCGAACTTACCTGAGGCAGAGCTTGTGGATAAAACTTTGATATAAATTCCAGAACAATGCTACAAAAACTGTAGATGTGAGTGTGCTTAATACAAAGCAATTTTCAATATAATTTATATTTCCAATGAGCATAACTCTTTAAAAAATAGTTGATCAGCACCCATTCTCAAACTCACTCCAGATATTGCTGAAATAAACCTATGATATAAATTTCATAAATATTTGGCAAGAATAGTACACTTGAGAGCACTTACAATACAATTTTCTATACAATATATATTTTTAAGGGACATAGCTCCTGTAAAAATAATAGATTCAAATTGTCCCAGACATTGCTGATATTCACCTTCAATATAAATTACCTTCAATATAAATTACATAATAATCTTACATGAAAAGTAGGCTTGCGAGCAATTACAATGCAAGTTTTCCTAAAATGTATATTTTTAAGGGGCATTATTCCTTTAAAAATAGTAGTTTGGCACTGATTTTCGAAATTGTTCCAGACATTGCGGATATAAACCTTTGATATTAATTTCATAAATATCTTGCAAGAATTGTACACATGAGAATGCTTACAAGATCAAACTGACCAACACCCCACATTTCTATGTCTACTGCACGGCATTGGACAAAAAAGATAAATTCACTGCAAAAACAATACAGAAAATAAATTTAAAAGTTGAGTTTATTTCCTCAGGTTAAACATATGTTACTCTTGATGCAATATATATATACAGGAACATGTTTATAACTAAATTAGCATTTTCTCCCTTGTAAAAGAATTTCACATACATAAATAATGGATAACTGATTAATTTGTCTGAAGATAATTCAAGTAATTATTTTACTAATTTCTGAACAATTTACCTTTTAATTGACCATGACTTAATAATATAGTGGAAACATCATCCTGCACTCTGGACACAAAGTCCTATTAATGGTGTAGCAATAATTATGTGCAAAGAAAAGGCAAAAACACTACTAGAATGGGAAACAATCAGTGATAGATTAGTAACAGCAAGATTTAATTCAGACTACTGTAAGCTTTCTATCATATAGTGTTACGCACCAACAAATGATGCTGAAGATGAGACCAAGGATGATTTTTACGAACAGCTGCAGACTGCCATTTCTAAAGTACCTCAACACGACATGCTGGTAATAATGGGACATCTTAATGCAAAAGGAGGATCAGATAACACTTATGCTGAAAATGTCATGGGCAGCGAGGCATGGTTGCGGGATGAAAAATGAGAATGGGGAATGTACTATCCATCTTTGTCTTTGCAACAAATTGGTGATAGGAGGGATCATCTTTCCTCATAAAAACATCCATTAACTAACATGGAAATCAGTAAACCAGATTGACCACATATTAGTGAACAACAAGTGGCGTAGATCATTTAGAGATGTACGAGTACTCAGGGGCGCAGATGTAAATAGTGATCACTATCTACTGAAAGCCACCATCAAATTAAAACTAAGAAAGGCACCAACTGAAAATCAGAACAGAAAGAGACTAGACACAGCAAGGCTGAAGTCACCAAATGTCAAGAAAGCATTTTACTTAGAATTGAAAAATCGGTTTAGTGTGCTAGACAACTCTGATGATGGAGAAGGCAGTATACAAGAGAAATGGGATAACATCAAAGATATTTATGTAAAGACTGCAGAAAAGACAGTTGGTCACAAGACAAAAAAGAACAAAGATTGGCTAACACCGGAAACCTGGGAAAAAAATTGAAGAAAGAAAAACTATAAAACAGAAAAAAGTAAATCCAAAATCCAAAAAGTAACAAGATCAACTACAAGTAACATACAGAACAAAAGACAAAGAAGTTAAAAGAAGTGCTAGAAATGATAAAAGACCATATCTGGAGGAACTAGCAAAAGAGGCAGAAAAGGCAGCCATTCTGGGAGAGTTGAGTACAGTTTACAAAATCACCAAACAACTTTGTGGAACATCAAATGCCCAGACAGCCCATGTAAACGACAAAAATGGCAATTCTTTGAGAACAGAACGGGAGCAAGCAGAAAGGTGGGTCCAACATTTCAAAGAGGTATTAAACTGCCCTGAGCCTGATATCATAGCTAACCCTGAACCATCAGAAGATGATATAAACATCAACACAGAACCACCAACTATAGAAGAAGTAAGAAATGCCATTAAATCATTGAAAACAGGCAAGGCACCAGGCATTGATTCAATCCACGCAGAGATGTTAAAAGCAGACTTAGATACATCATCCAAAGTACTTCACAATCTTTTCCTTGTCATCTGAAAAGAAGGGGACATACCATCAGACTGGAGCAAAGGCCTCATTGTGAAATTACCAAAGAAAGGTAATCTATGCAACTGTGACAACTGGAGATGGATTACATTATTTTCTGTCCCTAGCAAAGTATTCTGCCAAATTCTTCTAAAAAGAATTGATAAAATGGTAGATGAAAAGCTTCGAGAAGAACAAGCAGGCTTTAGATGAGGGAGAGGATGCATTAACCAAATTTTCACGCTCAGGAACATCATTGAGCAATGCATAGAATGGAACACACCACTTTTCATCAATTTTATTGATTTCTAAAAGGCTTTTGACAGTATACATAGAGACACTCTTTCGAGAATTGTAAAATCATATGGAATTCCACCTAAAATTTTGATGCTAATAAAAGCCTTCTACAACAGCTTTGAATGCAGTATCCTTGGTAGCTCTATCTCAGACTCATTTGAAGTTAAATCTGGTGTTAAACAGGGATGTATTATGTCACCCATCCTATTTTTATTGGCCATTGACTGGATACAAAGGCATACAACATCAGAGAAGAGAAGGGGTATCCAGTAGACCATGTTTAATCAGCTAGAAGACCTTGATTTTGCTGATGACATAGCCATACTATCAACAACAAGTGAACACCTCCAAGAGAAGACCAACATATTAAACTATGCATAGCAAATAGGTCTGAATGTAAATGCCAAGGAGACCAAGGTAATGTCATAAACACCAGGAATACAACACCAATTACAATCAATGATCTGCCAGTAGACAGTGTTGAAGAATTCACTTACCTTGGAGGCATTATAAGTAAAGATAATGGGGCAGGAAAGGATTTGAAGGCTAGACTATCTAAGGCACGTGCAACATTTGCAAGACTTCATACAATCTGGAAGTCCAACCAGTACAGTTTAAGGACCAAACTGTGAATCTATAACAGCAATGTAAAATCTATCCTACTGTATGGTTCAGAAACTTGGCGTGTTTTAGCAAGTGACCTTCAAAAAGTAGATGCATTCCATACTAGCTGTCTAAGAAAGATCAATATAATATTCTGGCCAAATAAGATCAGCAACAAGAGCCTTTTGGAGAAATGTAATGCTAAGAGCATAACAGCAGAATTCCAACAACGAAGATTTAGATGGTTAGGCCATGTGCTGAGAATGCTGCAACACCGCACACCTAAAAAAGCTCTATATTGGACACCACCAGGAAAAAGGAAACCAGGGAGACCAAGAATCACCTGGCTAAGAACTGTGACAGCAGAATTGGAAGCAATGGGTTATACCTGGGGCCAAGCCCAGTACATGGCTAAGGACAATGAGAAGTGGAGGCAGTTTGTTGTGGCCTTATGTCCCACTGGAGATGAAGAGGATAAGGAAGAAAGTAAGTAAGTAATAATATGATTAACAAATTTTGTTCCTCCAGTCATTAATTTCATCAGAAACATCCTAGCAGTGTTGCAAAGGAGGATCTAATGAGCCTGTATTGCTCACCTGGTATTTTATGCAAAAATATATACAATGTAATATGAATACTTCTGTTGTATGGAAACTGAGAGGGCTAAAATATTGTTATTCCCCCACAACGGCATGGCTGTTGTTACATCATACCATCAAGTGAATTTGACAATATTTCTTCATGGGGAATCACTGTTCAAGTTTTTATCAACATTAATGTAGCTTTGGTGTCTTCTGCCATTTTTTGATTGTTAAATAGCAGAAAACAATCAGTCTAGATCTTTAATAAAATGTGCAAATTATGAGAGAAGAATGACAATTCATTTGTTAGACTTTTCATCTGAATGAAAAAAATTATGTGTTTTATCATATTTTTGCGACTGCTTTTGACAAATACAGAATATTTTAAGAGCTATCTTCTCATATCTTATCTTAAAATTCTATGGTTTAGTTTTCTTTCTATCACACAAAAATGTGTTTTCCATGAATTCTGACAAATTTGCACAACCTGTAGCTTGAATAAAAGCCCTGTGACCCTTACTTTTTATTACATATTTGATATAGACTATTTTCATATTACCGACTTTTGACTCCGAGGTTTATATTTTTTCAATAGGTTACCTACTCTTTGGTAGGACATCTTGGTACTCGGTCAAGTAAGACCAACGTAAAGAAGTAAAATCAAGCTTTCAATCGGTACAATTTTGAGGGGAAATTTACTTTTTTTATGTTTTCTAAACACGACAAAATTATCGGAAAACTGTAAATTTTCCCCAAAAATTTCACAGATTATATGTTTTATTTTACTTCTTTTGGTTGCTATTATCTGACTGAGTACCAGGATGTCCTACCACAGATTAGGCAACCTGTCGAAAAATTTTATAATCTGGAGTCAAAAGTTGGTAATATGAAAATAGTCTATGGAATATATGAAGTCCCTTTATTATTCAGTCAATAAGTTATAGATGTACAAACTAGTATTTTTAAAGATATAGGTGCGTGCCTCTTTTCAATCTTAAGTCTATGCATTTTAATCAAATATATACCTCTTTATCTCCAAGCCACGCTTTGTTACATGGTACTGAAAACACTCTAAAAAGAAATATACAACGGTTGATTATTAATAGACAAATCAATGAACCTGAAATATTCCTAGTCTAAAGAAATATAAATTCAAATATAATGTATATAACCAATACATGTGTCTATTTAAATGAATTTTTTTTTAAATTGAGTGTGGAATTTTGACAAATCAACCTTTTTTTTCAATTTCATTCTTTTGTTAAAAATAACTTATTAAATCAATTTCTTATACTGTAAATTCAGAAATTATTGCGGGCATTAATTATTGCAATTTTTGAAGATTGGACAAAAATGCTAGATTGATTATTGCTATTGCAGGAAAATTTGCATACAGATATATGTATCAGATATCAGAATGCCAGTTCTTATTAGTGCGATCCTCACTAAGTCCCATTATTCACATTAATTAAAACCTCGCAATAATTTCTGATTTTACAGTAATATAACATAGCAGTACTTTTCACTGTAAGGAAATATAATTAGAGGCTCTAAAGAGCCTTTGTCACTCACCTAGGTCTATGTGCATCTTCAACAATGTAGACTACCATTTACAGTTTCTCTCTATCTTATTTAGAATTGCCCAAAACATAAAAGAGGGTAAACAATAATCGTCATTTAAGGGCAATCACTCCTTTCTACCAACTTTTTCGGATGAATTTTACCTGATTGTAGATCTTGTCTTGCTGATCATTTTTCTGTTTTTAAAGTTTCTATCTATCTTATATAGTTTTCAAGATAACAGGCAAAAACCAACAAAAAATTGGTAAAAATCGTCATTCAAGAACAATAACTTCAATAACCAGTCGACTGAAGAATTCAACCATTTGACTTACTTGTAGATCTTGTCTTGCTGATCACTTTTGCTGTTTAGAGATTCTATCTATTTATTGTAGTTTTTAAGATTTGAGGCAAAATGGCAAAAATATTGGTAAAAATCGTCTTTATAGGGCAATAATCTAATAATGAGTCGACTGACGATTTCCGCTATTTGGCTTATTTGAAGATCTTGTCTTGCTGATCATTTTTGATGTTAAAAGTTTCTTTCCATCTCTTATAGTTTTCAATAAAAAAGGAAAAAAAGCAGTAAAATTCATCATTTTTGGGCAATAACTCCTATATAAAGTCCTCCAACAGTTTTGACATACATAGACAATAGGTAGAGCTCAACATTCTGAACATTTCTGCCCCTTTCAGATTTTCCATATTTCTAGCGGTTTTCAAAATAATCGACAAAACTTACATTCTACCCTTACATTCTATTTTTAGCCATGTTTGCCATATTGGTTTGCAGCCAGAGTCATCAGACACATTTTTTGAACTAGAAACCCCAATGATGATTGTGGACAAGTTTGGTTTAATTTGGCTGAGTAGTTTCAGAGGAGATGATCTCTGTAAAAGTTAACGGACGACGATGACAGACGATGGACGCCAAGTGATGGGAAAAGCTCGCCCTTCGAGCCAGGTGAGCTAATAAAGCACTATGTTCTTGTCCATGTCAAACATGCACTCCTTTCACCCAAATCTATATAAAGAAAAAAAAGAGGAACATTTTTACATGCTCAAACTCTTTTTCAGAACATTTAATATTGATTTTACTTCTGGTCTAAATTTGTTTCTGTGGATGCCAATATGACCATGATGACCATAGAACAATTATTTCTATTTACATTAGAAATTTGACAATTGAAGTTTTTCAAATTGTCCTCCTGATATCGCTCCCAAAATTTTTCGATACAGACTGTCATACCTATTGCTTTTCTTCAATGATGCATTCAACTTGTTTAAAAATATTCTGCAATCCTAAAAAATAGAAATATTTCAAGAAATTATAATTAAATGTAGTGCACTATTAAAGGATAATAAGAAACATTATTTTTAAAATAAAGGAAATCTAATATTGATTACTTTAGAATAAAACTTAAAGATGACAAACAAAAACAACAAAAATACTTCAAATGATGTCTATATAAATATTTCCAGTATTTCTCTGATGACATGATTTAAATGAAAACTTGATTGTAAATGTTTGGTTTATAAACCATATAATTGTAATAAGGGTTCAAACATTTTTTTTATGAAAATCTATGTCTATCAAAGTGTTTTCATGGAAACTTTTATTTTTTATTAGTTATGAATTATCCACAAAAATCATGAATGCTATAAAACAGAAATAATTCTTTTCTTCTTATGTCAATCTTATAAGGCCAATCAAAATAAATTGGTACATTTTCATCCTCTCCTGCCCCTCTGAAATCGTCCTGCCCTGATTTTTTTTTATTTTGGGAAATTTAGTTTCTGGATTTTGTTTGTTTCCATTTCCGTTTACTGCGCTGATAGTTTCGTTTCATACAAAATATTGACATAGTTTTTGTATTTCTCCGAGTGGTTTAACCAGAATAATTAAGTCAACCAACAATGGCTTAGTTACATTGTGAGTAGGAGAGACTAATTACAGGAAGGGCCTGAAATTATTGGGGTTGCAAGTAATTAGCAGTGTCAAAGAACACAAATCTCAGCAAGTCACAAATTTCAGTGATTAGAAAACCTTGGATTCTTTATTTATACAATGATTTTGTGTCAGGAAATTTTTGCAATATAGTTGAATGATATCCAAAGCGCAAGAATCATGGCACACATTGGTATGAAAAACATGACTTGAGTAAAGAAATCAAGTTGAAATACAAACTTGTGTGATGTATTACACTGTTCTGGATTGTACAAACTTTAGTACAGATATGGGCAAATATATATCTAGATATACCTACAAATTTTTCTTTTAATTTGACAAAAACCCAAGATCCTCCAACCCTAGCCACACAATAAAGTCATTTAGGGCTATTCCATTAAAATTTATGTGGGAGGGTAGGAAGTGAAGTTTAATTATTGAATGTGGGTCATGGGTCTTTTTTCAGTATGCGTCTATTACCATTATGCAAAATTATCTAAAAAATTCGTAAGGGTGTGCGGAACCCAGTGTCTCGCCTACTTTTGCTGTTAGTCGCAGGCTCAACAAAAATGGGGAAAAATTATTAAAAATTTTCCTCTAGATATTATCTTTTGATTGTAAGAAGCTTCTATCCAAGTCTGGTAAAAATCCAGGATGGTTTATGAATCCAATAAATGTTTTAAAAACTTTAACTGCAGACTGTATGTAATGTTAACTGGAAGAAAAATTAAGTCCATTTATAAGTAATATACGGAAAAACAGGAAATAATTCTGGATACTATCTTATGATCATAAACAAGCTTCTGTCCAAGTTTGGTACAAATCCAGGATAGTTATAGAAAGTTATTAAAATTTCAAAAACTTTAACCACAGAGTGAATATTTGTGGACACCGCCTACAGGGGCGGATCCAGGATTTTGGAAAGGGGGGGCGTAGTAATGAAGTTTGCCGAGCGGAGCGAGGCGAAAATTTTTTTGGGCCTTTTTTTGACTAAAAAACATAAAATAAGTGTAAAATGCATTTTATAGTTAAAGTGTAGGGGTTGGAATTTTTGGTGCCGTATTCTCTCCATTAATTGTCTATTATAAAATGATTGGATGGATCCAAAGCTATGTACTAATTAATTTATTTGATGTGGGATTTGTCAGTAAAAAATGGATATAGAAAATTTCGTTTGTTGTATGCATGGTTAGTTAGCATAACCTCACAGATTTCTTGTTGTAAACAAGATATACGGCTATGAAATTTACAATACGACCGACACGAAGAAAGACAAACAAGCAATTTTTATCCAAATGTTTGGTTGAAATGTTTAAACCAACAAGGGAAGTGAGGGGGTTCCAAATCAACCAAAGGCTACTAATGAGTCGGAAATGACAGTGAAGTTGTGAATGACTGTCGACACATGAAGACATATAGGCCACACCCAGCAGCAGGTTGTAGTCGGGCCTTGAAAAAAGTATTCAGTATATCAGTTCGGCGAAACAGACATTCGGTCAGATATGGGATTCACATGCAACCACCCCCCCCCCCCCCCCCCCCCCAAAAAAAAAAAATTACGCCCGTTTTTTATTCATCATGTTCATTTAATGCTAAATAATTTTGTTGAAAATATTTTTTTCTAATAGCAAAAAAGTGGACAAGATTATTGTTTTCAATCCAGATACGGCCAGAATTATTGTTTAAAGCAAAAATCAGGGTCAGATTTTTTTCTCTGAAATATCTCAGACTGCCCCCTCAAATCAAATGGTCCTTACCTTAGACTTTAAATCTATATTTAGAGCTTACTGACTGGGGATCACTATTCAGCAATGTTATTAATGGGCTGGCGCGTGTGGGGTTAAACATGTTTTCGTAGGTAAATAATATTGCTGTGGAACTTTTTTTTTCATGAGAGTGTAATAGAGTATTACTTTCTGATGGTTGGAATTGTGAAATAGAAGTCAATACGTTCTTGCTCAATACTTTGTCGCTTTGAAGGCGTCATGCTTGTCATCCTCAGCCTAAGCAATGTGTTACTGTAATTTGAATTTCAAAATGACTGAGTGACGTTTTTTCGACGTACTGGTCAACTCCACCGTAGCGAATCACATGACTTTGACATAATCAATAATATATTACAGTAAATACGAGCGAAAACTATCTTTATAAGTAAAGAATTGTCGCATAAAAATTGAATACACGGGAAATGGCAAAGTTCGCGAAGTCTAGTCTGATTAATCATTTTACAAAAAAAAAATAAAAAAGTGCAAGCAAAGGGGGGGCGTACGCCCTCTACGCCCCCCTCTGGATCCGCCACTGGCCTACTACTACGACGACGACGGAATGTAGGATTGCTATGTCTCGCTTTTGAGACAAAAGTCGCAGTTCGACAAAAATAGTTCTTGGTTGTAGGGATATTTTGAAAGTCCCTTCCTACCCTCCCACATACATCTTAATGAAATAGCCCTTAACAACTTCTTTTGGTTCAGTTCATGTTTAGGCAGTTGATGCATCTTGCATAAGTATCTTCAGAGCATTAACTAGTATTTTCAACACACATTTGGTTTTTATCTATGTTCCCTCTATACTCATTATACTTGTTTTTTATACCAATGTGTCTTAATTCTTGCTCTTGGATATCATTCATGGGGTTATCAATCTGATGTGATTGGTTATCGCTGCAAATCAACTGACAAGACCCTTTGGTGTTGCTGTAACACTACTTCATTTTTTTGGCACTTTGTTTATAAACATAGCTCAGAAAGCGAAAGAAAATTGATCCAAGTAAAAGAGAATTCTTCCACATTTCTGCTACTGGCTGAATATTGGTTCTAAAGCAATTAGAATAGTGGTTGCAAATCAGAAATTTTATTTCAGAATTAAAATATTGGAAAAAGTATGCAGAGTTCTTTATATGTAAGCTATTTTTATTATTCAAGAACACATTACAAAAGGGTTTCAGAGGAAAAAAAAAAAAAAAAAAAAACCCTCCTACCTGCCCCACTTTTTTCTACAAGTTGGATGAAAATCTACTGCAGTCAAACCTGCCTTTATGGTCACCTCTTTTCAGTGGTCACCTGCCTCTAACGGTCACTTTCAGACCCTTCCAAATGTTTTCTCTATATAATTTAACTCATTTCAGGAGTCTCCTAATTTTCGCAAGAAATCGTCATTTCAACTTTTGTCAGCGGTCATTAAAATGATTTTCATGTTTTTTACAACCAAAATATAATCATGACGAATAATAAATGTGTTCAGTATTGAGGTTAAAATGAGAATCAGAACCTGTCTGTAACCGAGATTGCGCAATAGGAGGTGAATTAGTGAATTTCTCATGTTCTACTCCTTTCATTTTCCATTGAAAACCTTATCATCAACTTATTTCTCCATGAATATTAACTATTTCGAATGTTTTCCTCAAATTAGAGCGCAGCAATCCACCAATTTTTTTTGTCTGCTCGCACGAACGATAACTCTACAGCTTGAAAACACTATAATAATTTTCCCTGAGCAGGAACAGATATTATGACATTGTTTATAACAAAGTTTCCAGTGGAACTTCTGTTAGGCAGAACAAATATACGTTTACAATGTAAATATTTGTTTGGTATATGAATGCATTCAATATTTCCTACTCAGAAGTATGTCAAAATATGCAGTTTTTGTCATTTTTTGTAGAAAACTCATTTATCCTATCTTTTGACCACAAAATCTTGGTAAATTTTCATAATATCTATATTTCCTTATGATTTCAACTTTTCGAATACATATCAAATATTTTTACGGCAAAAATAATCTAATTTTGTAATACTTGATTTGATTCTTAGGCAACTCCTTTTTGTGTATGAACAGATGGTGGCTAATTTCAAAATTAAAACAAGGCACACAATCATTTGTAACATAAAATGTATCAGAACTTACAGTTTCAAATTCATTGTCTCTAATGCTTAGAAAGTCTTTTCTTCGTGCTTGGTTTTTGAAAACTGTAGATATTGTCTGGTCTCGCACCTTTTTTGGTATAATTCTAAATAAGCACTCAGAAATACAGACTTGAAATTCATAATCTAAAATTAAAGAAAAAGCAAAAGTCAATACAAGCAATACAGACTTTAAATTCATGTCAAACATTCCAGTTATATATATATATATATATGTTGATATTTTGCCAGCTTGCTTCTCCTTATCATGCTTATCTACTACCGATTTTATTTCCAGTAAAACTTTGTCATCAAAGTTTTGGTTGATTTTCGCTTGTTATATGATTTCATGTATCTTAGGTCCTTCAAACATTAAAGCCATAGAAAATTTAAGTCTTTTACTTTACTTTACTATTATTGTAGGTGGGACATAACAATCTTAACTTAATTAAATACCATCCTAGGTCAATTTATGAACATATGTCTTTTCCTACATTTCTATTTCACTTGTGTGATTATCAAAATTAGGTTTTCAAAATTATGAATTTATTAATTTATACCATAACCCTTCACATGGTTCATGCATTCAATTTAAATATGACATTTACCTCCAATTTCATTTAGCAAGGTTGATAACTTCTTTCTGAAAGTAAAAAAAAACTATAGCATAAAACTAAAGCATCAAAAGGAGAAGTTGATTGACTGATTGATTGTTGGTTGCTTAACGTCCAGTGGCTAATATAGAAGTTGAATATGTTGTTCTAAGCATACCTGTAATCGTAGTTCAAAGTATAAAAACTAGAGGCTCTCAAGAGCCTGTGTCGCTCACCTGACTCTACTTTGGTTTTAGATATCATGTAAAGATAGATAAATATCATAACAGATACCCAAATAATGATTGAGGCCAAATTTGGTTTAATATTAGTCCCGTTATTTAATAAAATATCCTGGTGGCCATCTTGAACAGTAAATTAGCAACAAAGAAGCCACACTTAGTCAGCACCTCATAAGGAACATTCATGCCATGTTTGGTTTCATTCCATTCAGTGGTACTCTAAAAGAAGACATCTTTAAATATGGATCAGCTTCAAAGTAACAACACTTGGTCAGCACCTCATAAGGAACATTCATGCCATGTTTGGTTTCATTCCATTCAGTGGTTCTCTAAAAGAAGACATTTGTATGTATTTCCCATAGGGTCCTATGTTAAACTTAGTCCCCCGCTGGCGGCCATCTTGGATGATGGATCGCCTGCAAAGAAACAACACTTGGTCAGCACCTCATAAGGAACATTCATGCCATGTTTGATTTCATACCATTCAGTGGTTCTCTAAAAGAAGACATTTGTATGTATTTCCCATAGGGTCCTATGTTAAACTAAGTCACCCGCTGGCAGCCATCTTGGATGATGGATTGGCTGCAAAGTAACAACACTTGGTCAGCACCTCATAAGGAACATTCATGCCATATTTGGTTTAATTCCATTCAGTGGTTCTCTAAAAGAAGACATTTGTATGTATTTCCCATAGGGTCCTATGTTAAACTAAAGTCATCCGCTGGCGGCCTTCTTGGATGATGGACAGACTGCAAAGTAACAACACTTGGTCAGCACCTCATAAGGAACATTCATGCCATGTTTTGTTTCATTCCATTCAGTTGTTCTCTAAAAGAAGACATTTGTATGTATTTCCCGTAGGGTCCTATGTTAAACTAAGTCCCCTGATGGCAGCCATCTTGGATGATGGACCGACTGTAAAGTAACAACTCTTGGTCAGCATCTCATAAGGAACATTCATGCCATGTTTGGTTTCATTCCATTCACTGGTTCTCTAAAAGAAGACATTTTTATGTATTTCCCATAGGGTCCAATGTTAAACTAAGTCGACCGCTGGCGGCCATCTTGGATGATGGATTGGCTTCAAAGTTACAACACTTGGTAAGTATCTCATAAGGAACATTCAGGCCATGTTTGATTTCATACCATTCAGTGGTTCTCTAAAAGAAGACATTTGTATGTATTTCCCATAGGGTCCTATGTTAAACTAAGTCACCCGCTGGCAGCCATCTTGGATGATGAATTGGCTTCAAAGTAACAACACTTGGTCAGCACCTCATAAGGAGTATTCATGCCATATTTGGTTTCATTCCATTCAGTGGTTCTCTAAAAGAAAACATTTGTATGTATTTCCCGTAGGTCCTATGTTAAACTAAGTCCACCGCTGGCCGCCATCTTGGATGATGGATTGGCTACAAAGTTACAACACATTTGGTCAGCACCTCATAAAGAACATTAATGCCATGTTTTATTTCATTCCATTCAGTGGTTCTCTAAAAGAAGATATTTGTATGTATTTCGCATAGGGTCCTATGTTAAACTAAGTCCCTCTCTGGTGGCCATCTTGGATGATGGATCTGCTTCAAAGTAACAACACTTGGTCAGCACCTCATAAGGAACATTCATGTCATGTTTGGTTTCATTCCATTGAGTGGTTCTCTAGAAGAAGTTCAAAATGTAAAAAGTAAACGTTGACGACGACGGACGACAAGTGATGAGAAAAGCTCACTTGGCCCTAAGGGCCAGGTGAGCTAAAAACAAGAAACGAGAAACAAAGTTTATGAACCACACCAACAAACGACAACCACTGAACAACAGGCTCCTGACTTAGGACAGGTGCATACAAATGCAGCAGGTTTAAATGTTTTAACAGGCGCCAACCTTCACCCTATAGCCATAATTCCTAGAGTGGGGGAATGATGATTATTGATAATTCTATTGCAATTATTTTGTATCAATGGTTTTGATTGGATGACAATAAGCGTAAAATTCTCTATCTCCCTGTCTGTTACTAAGGAAGCCGACATTTTGAATTCTGGAATGTGTTGACATGTAATTTCTCCAATAATAAGCCAAAAAACTCACATTTTGCACCAAGATATCTTCTTTTTATCAAATTTTATTACATTTTGAGGCAAATAAGAAGCCAGAAAACATCCAGTGTTTACGTTTGACGCCGGAAGCATGCCCATGACATTACCTAGTTTAGGCGCCAAAGAAGATAACATAATTTCGCGGAATTTTCGTTTAATGAAAATTTTACAATGAAATAATTACTAAAATTGAATGATTTGTTTATTTTGCATTAGAATAGAGATAACTGTATTGTATTTGAAGCTTTGCGGATGTCCATCGGTAGTTTTACTGTTGCAAACTCAATTTGCGACAGTAAAACAACCGATGGACTTTCACAAAGCTTCAAATACAATACAGTTATCTCTTAAGTATCATTGAAAGGTTGTTGTTTTACAAGATGACATTTTACTGCCAAAATATATATAAAAAATAAACAAGCGAAAAGTTGTCACTGCAAACAGATGCTTCCTGAACTATACATTTATTGAGAAAAAAAAACAGAAATGAGCCCCATATAAAAATAAGGAGATGAGGTATAATTGCCAATGAGACAACAAAAGCAATTGAAAAATATGGCTGAGTTTACACGACAAAATTTACTGAGTACAGACAAACCTGTGCACCTAATTAAGTTTTAAGGTAGATAGGGTGTCTTCCTCCATCTTGGATTTTGAAATACCAGAAAACAATAGGTCTAGATCTTTAATAAAATGTGCAAATTTTGAGAGTAATAGGTAATTCATGTGTAAGAATTTTCATTTCAATATAGAAATTGACATGTTTTATTATATTTATGGTTGTATTTTACAAAAAACGGAATACTTTTGTTTGATTCATTTTTTCCAACTTTGACACATAAGGGGAGGCAACTCAAATGTAAGGGCAGATAATTCAGATAAAGTTACTTTTACAATAGAATGTGTTAGGAATTTACTTATTTTATTATGTAGCAAGAAAACGGGTCCCGTGACCCCATTTTTTCTTTTTCTTACCTGAAAGCATAATATGAGAGCTATCTTCTCATATTTTATCTCAAAATTCTATGGTGTAGTTTTCGTTTTATGGCAGAAAATTGGGTTTCCCATGCATAATCTATACAAAATCTGTCAATTTTGCACAACCTGTAGCGTGAAAATAAGCCCCTTGACCCATTCTTTTTATTTATTTTTTTTAAAAAGCATGATATAAACTACATTTTGGCAAATTATTAAAAAATTCTATGGATTATAATTTAGACACCCCATCTACCTTAAGGCATGGCAGGAAGTGGATAATCAAATTTTTAATGTATTTTATATTTCAGAAGTTTATAAACTTAACTGGATTTTGAGAATCCTTTTTTTGTTTGTTCTATAGTTCTATAATCTTTCTATTGTTGAAGACTGTATGGTGACTTCTAGATGTTTTGGGAACTTTGTGTTGTTGAGTTGCTGTTACATTGATGTGTCCCTTACCAGTTTGACATGTACACCACCTCTTAAGATTTTTTTCTTATAGTATCTAAAACATTAACCTAAGCTTAAAACTAACATTGATCATTTAACCATAAAAACATGATCTTTGCATGAAAAACTTGAATTTGACCAGTTAAAAAAAAAACAATAACGCAGTCATAATAATACTTGTAGTAGTTCACTTTGCATAACCTACCTATTAGTCTTCACAATAAAGTTTGAAATCTACAAGCCCGGAGTTCAATTTTTGGAAAATTTTAGTTAGATTCTGTTGGCCTGTAGGGATGATTTTACATGCTCGAAAGGAATTTTACAAGTCTGGGCTGCTGGGCCTGTGGTTCAGCGTGAAGACTGCTATTAGATTTATTGTTAATTTTTTATGGTCCAAATTATGAAGAAATATTAGCCATTGTATGTGTTAATGAGTTAATAAATCACAATACTGGTAGTTATACCATTTTTGGTTTTTTTTTTAGGTCTTTCCACTTTTCTGTGGAAAGACCTATTGTATTTGTTCTGATTATTATTATTATTATTATTATTTTTTTTTTTTTCCCGCCAACTTTTGAAATTTTTGTTTCGCAATATGTCGCTTAGATATTTCTCATATTGTATCGTATAGTTTATGCGCTTTTAAATTTCACCCTGCTAAGCCGAACAATTATCTTTGTAAGAGTTATCTCCCTTTTCACTGTTTATCAAGTGTGTGCATCTCCTTCGTAACAAAAAAAGATATCGACAAAATTCTTTTTCTAAATTGTTCGTTACATCCTCAGGAATTTTTGGCTATTTTGGATCGAAGTGATTCGATGAAATTTTATAGGAGTTATCTACCTTTATCAAATAAATTTGTCGTTATGTTTTTGTTACTCATAAACTGTAAGCCGACTAAACCTATAGTTTTTTTATTTGAGGTCCTTGGATCCTAACTTCGAAAATGAGGTCAAGGTCAAAGGTCAAGGTCATGTTCTGAATTTTGTCTTTTGCTTGTTTTTGCATTTTCTCCGATATTTTTAATGTTATATATTAAAGAACAAGTGCAAAATGTTTGTTATATTGTGATGAAGATATGATACATTTGGTCTGAGACAATCCAGCGACATCTTATTGGAGTTATTGCCCCTGAAATGTTTTATTTTAAGGTTAATTGATTATTACTTCATATTGGTACATGATAAAGCCATAAGATCTTTAGCAAAATGTTGGGTGACATATGACCTTGAAAAATGTCAACCGGAAGTGACCTTGAGTGAACCGGAAGTAGTCATTT